GAGGGCACTGCCCGGGGTGCTCTGCATGGGCCGGGACCAGCTCAGGGTGCGGGTCCCACACACGTCCTTCCCCGTGCAGGTCCGGGCTGCCCGCGCTCACCTCGGGCCGGGCGGGCGCAGCGCATGGCGCAGCCGGAGAAGCAGCACTTCTCCTGCCGGGGACAGTCCCTGTCGTGGGCGCAGGAATCCTCCTCCTCCTCACACGGCTCCGGTGCCTGCCGCGGCCTCACCCTCGGGCACTCGCCGGGTTTGTCTGAGGGTTGGGAAGGGGTGACAGGGGCAGGCACTCCCTGCGCTGCGGGCACCCCCTGCCCTCTGGGCTCTACCCGCCCCACGGCAGCTTTTCCATCTTGCCCTTGTGGCCACGTGGCCCCGGCAGCTGTGTCCTCACCTCGCTCAGGGGCTGAGCACACGTGCCCACATGTGCTGCTGCAGCACTTCTCATCCCCCGGGCACTGCCAGTCCCCAGCACAGGCAGTGCCGCATGGCGCCGCAGCGGGTGGTGCCTCCGGGGCCACAGGGCAGATGCCCGGTTTCTCTGGGGACAGGAGGCAGTGGAGCTGTGGGCACGGGGTGATGGTGACCCACAGCCCCACAGCTGGGGAGGATCCCAGCCTGGTGCTCACATGCTGGGGCTGAGCAGCTCACACCTCTGGCCGGGGGCAGGCAGACGTAGTCACAGCCACGCAGGCAGCACTTCTCCTCACCGGGACACCCGGCGTCGTGCCAGCACCAGGCTCTGCAGTCATAACTGGGGAACAGCCCAGCACGGGCAGGGCAGAAGCCGGGCTTCTCTGGAGGGCATGGCATGGAGTGGCTGTGGGGCTGCCCAGGGCATGCATCCCTTGGCACCGCAGCCCCCTCAGCACCATGGCCCTGCTGCACCAGGCACCACAGCACAGCTCTACCCTGTGGCAATACTTCAGCATCTCCTCCCACCAGAACCACGGGGCTGGCACCAGACCCTCTCAGAGGTGTGGAGAGGAGCTGCCTTTGCCCCCACAGCTCCCCGGATTTAGTGGTCCCCCCGTGTCCCACCTTGGTGCACGGTGCTGCAGGACCCCGCGCACCGGCCGTCGCAGCACATCTCCCTGCTGCTGCAGTCCCCGTCACTCTGGCACCTCGCTCCCTCCTGCCAGGCTGCTGTGGCCGTGGGGGCCTCTGCAAGGCAGACGGCCCATGGGGTGCCAGGAATGCCAGTGGGGACCGGGACACACTCATCCCCTCCCACCCTGGCACTGCCTGGCTCCTGCCCTGGCTGTGGCACTCACCCATTGCCTTCGTGCAGCACTCAGGGCCGCAGCAGTGCTGGTATCCCTGTGCCCTCTGCTCCTGGCACTGCTCAGAGCGCAGCCGTGGCCACCAGGGTGGGCAGAGCCATTAAAGCTCCATGGCAGGTCTGACCCGCTCACCTTGGCTGCGTGCGTGGCACTGCCGGCTGCACTGCTGGTGGCAGCACACCTCGGAGGGGGGACAGTCCTGGTCCTGGCGGCACCTCTGCTGCTGGGGCTGCGGCGGGGTGGCTGTGGCAGGGCTGGTGTCCCCTGCACCGCAGAGCGGGACGGTGCCGGTGGTGAGGACAGAGCGGGATGGTGGCCGGCCGGGGGTGGCCTCGGGTGCCCTGCCCGCCCCAGTGCCGGCCCAGGAGCCGCGCGGTGCGTCCCTGTAGTGGCACCCGCACGGGGGCCGCGGGGGATAGCAGCGAGCGGCTGGCACCGGCAAAGCAGGGGGCGAGGGGCCCCGCTGTGCCACAGCTCTGTGCCTGGGTGGGGTCTGGCCCCACGGCATCACCCCTGGGCCCCAGCCCTGCCTGCGCTGCCCGGCCCGCCCCATCCCGCCCCATCTCACCTGCCGGGGCTGGGGGCAGGCACTGCCCCCCGCAGCTGCTGCTGCAGCACTTCTGCACGTCGGGGCAGTCGCTGTCGCCGCGGCACCGCTCCTGGCACGGGCTCTCCGGCCCCGGCCGCGCCGCGGGGCGCTCCCCGGGCTTGGGTTGGTCTGGGGGAGCAGAGCGGGTGCGAGGCTGCAGCATCCCCGCGGGTGCGTGCCCGCGCCGGGGCTCGCTGGCCCCTCACCGTGGTGCAGGCGCTGGCAGTGGAGGGGAGCGGCTCGTGGCCCGTGGTGGCGGGGAGGTGGCTCCGGCACGGCCGGGCCCCGCGGACACGCAGCGGGGAGCCGGGGCTGTGCCGCTGCCCTGGGCCTTACCCTGCACCGGCTCCAGGCAGGCAGAGCCGCAGCCCAGCGCGCAGCACTTCTGCATCCCCAGGCAGTCCTGGTCCTCCAGGCACGGGAAGGAGCAGGGGTAGAAGAGCCCCTCGGGGGCTGCCGCCGGGCAGGCGCCGGGTTTCTCTGCAGTGTTGCGGCACGGGGCTGAGGTGAGGCTGCACCGACGGTGTTGAGGGCAGCGCCTCCTGCCCCTGCCAGACCCCTCTGCTGCCTCTGGCTGGAACCCACCACTTGCCCCATCCCAAGCCCCTCCACATGCCCCAAGCCAGCCTTTGGGGCTGTGGGCAGGAGGCTGCCAGCAGCACACGGAGAGCTGCTCCGGGGCAATGGGGATGGCGCAAGTGACAGGGACAGGGGAGAAGGGTCATGGCTGCCCCAGGACAGAGGTGCTGCTGGTGGCCGTGCTGCGGTGCCGTACCTTGTGCCGGGGCGGTGCAGCGAAGCCGGCACTCTCGGAGGCAGCACTTGTGCCAGCCAGGGCAGCTGGAGTCATCGGCACAGAGCGGGGGCTCCAGGCGCAGGCAGCGAGTGAAGTCCCGCGGGCACCTCCCTGGCTTCTGGGGCTCCCCTGCAGTGGAGTGGGACCAAAGCTCCTCATCCTCCATTCCCAGGGCAGTGGGATGGAGCTCCTCATCCTCCATCCCCGGGGAGCAGAACCAGAGCTCCTCACCCTCCACCCCTGTGGCAGCAGGATGGAGCTTCTCATCCTCCATCCCCAGGGCACTAGGAGGACCTTCTCATCCTCCATACCTGGGGGCCCTGGTAGGAAGGGGACTGATTGGAGCAGGACTGGGGACTCCCCTGCAGCATGTCCCTTGGGATGCTGTACCCACACACTGAGACCTGCATGACACAGCACGGCATGGTGTGGCATGGCTTGGGACTGCGTGTGCCCTTGTGAAGCAGCGAGTGCCAGTGGTGTTATCATGGGGAAGCTGGTACAGAGCCCACATTGGCTGGAGGTCAGGATCCATCCCTGAGTATCCTGGTGCCCCATGCATCCCCACTGCAAGCAGTGTGCTCCTTGCTGCTGCCACTTTCTCTTCTTCCTCCTCCTGGCACCCTGTGCTCATCTTGGCCACCCTGGGAAAATCAGGATAGCTCTGCCATGGGCACAGGTGAGTGCATGCTCCAGCCGGTGCCTGTGCCCCATTGCCAGCAGTGGGCAATGCCTGTGGGCAGTGGTTTCTGCAAACACCCAGAGCCAGCCGCGCTGTTTGGGCTGCAAACAGAGACACTGCAGGAGGTTTCACTCCAAACAGCAGCTGTTTGGTTGAAAAAGAGGAACCTGGCCGCTGGGGCGGGCAGAGCAGCACCACAGCCGGGCACAGCTGCCCCTCATTGTCCCACGGAGGGGGGTCCTCCAGTGGGGTCTGTGCTGGGAAGTGGCACCCACAGCCCCAGCCCCTCCGCTGGTCAGGGGCTTTGTGCAGGGGTGGGAGGTGCAGGGACCAGAGCCCGGACACTGCAGAGCTGCAGGTCTGGCACCCACCACCACCTGCAGAGACCCCTCCTCAGCTCTGGGCTCTGCGGGCACAGACATCCCAAATCCAGGTCCCCCTGTGTCAGTGTGGGGTGCCCAGGGAGGATGGGGAAGGGGCCCCTGCTGCCTGCAGGACCCCGGGTGCTGACAGCTATTGTGCATGCAGGATGCAAGCGGTGCATGTGGTATGCAGGGTGTGCATGTGGGGTGCAGGGGATGCAGACATGCCCATGCAGCCCAGAACGGGAGTGGGCTCACGGAGGCAGCAGGGTTGTGGCACAAATGCTGCAGCTGTGACAGACATGGTCCCCACCAGCACGTGCCAGGCAGTGCCAGCATGCACCGGGCAGGGCCAGAGGGACACAGCAGGGCAGGTTCTCCTGCAGTACTCACCTCCCTCTTCCTGGGGTACAGCGCCCGCCTCTGCCCTGAGGGTGATGAGCCCCAGAAGGAGCAAAAGCAATCTCATGGTGCTGCCGGGAGCGTTGTGTGTCCGGAGCTGAGCCAGGGGTGGGTTTAAGGTCCCCGGTGTGGGTGCCTGGTGCCGGGGCAGCTGGAGCCGGGTTGCCGGCCGTGCCAGGCTGCCGGGGCAGGGGGCAGGAGGAGGGGCAGTTCCTGGAACCCGCCGGCTCCCTGCCAGGCACCCGCTTATCTGCGGCCGAGCCCCGCTTGTGGGTCAGGGCGACCGCGGGGCCGGGGAGGGCGGCTGGGGTCAGGCGGCTGCTGACCCTGCAGTGCACGGCCCGGCCCTGCCCGGCCCCCCCTGAGACCCCCGCAGGGGGACCAGAGGTGGGAGACGTGTCCTGGGCCAGCTCCGTGTCCCCTCGTGGTGACGGGATGGGGCTGGGACAGGGGAGCGAGTGGACTCGTGCATTCCCACATGCACCCCCTGCACCCTGCAGTGGCCTCTGGCAGGTGGGTGCTGTCCCTGCTTGTCTGAGTCCTTCATCTACCCCGTGACTGCTTTTCCAACCAGGCTTTGACATTTTGGGATGCTAATGAGCCCTTCCTCGGTGACAGGAATCCGAGGGAACTGGTTTCTGCACTCCAGCCCGTGACTGCTGAGGGGACATCGGTGCAGCCCCAGACGCAGTGGGATGGTCACTATGGGGTGATGGTGGCTGGAGGGCGCCCGCATGGAAACGGGAATCTCTCCTTGCCCCGGGCCAGTGCCTGCCTGCAGAAATGATGCCGGGCACCCGCCTGCACTTCCCTGCCTGTGACACAGCCCGGGGCTGCCTGCGCCTCCTGGAACCCACCGCAGAGCCACCCAGAGCTGAACGCAGTTTATTTTGTTCCAGTGCTGTGGAGCAGCTGGGGCCGGTGGGATGCAGGGTCTGGGGATGCTGAGTGCCCTGGACAGGACCCGTCAGAGCAATGCTGGTGCAATTGGCTGGCAGTGCAGAGGATCTGGTGCAGGGACAGGTGAGGGGCAGCTGGTGCTGGGAGCAGCAGCAGCTCTTTTCTCACCCACAGGGTGCGATGACAACGGCTCTGGCACCCAGCTCCTGGTGCAGCCCTTCCCAGCCAGGGCTAGGCTGTGCCTGGGGGAGATGGATGGGGCAGTCAGTGCAGGATGGATTCTCCTGTCCCGAGCGATGGGGACCATGGGGTGCTCCCACCCTGGGCCACTCTTTGTCCCGTCCAGTCTGGATCCACTGCAGGGTGAGACCTATGTGGTGCCCAGGGCTGCTGGACCCGAGGGCCTCAGGGGGGAGTCTTACCTTGCAGCGGAGGGACGCAGGTCCGGCCGCAGCCCCGCAGGCAGCACTTCTGCTCGCGGGGACAGTCCCGGTCCTGCAGGCACAGGAGGAGGCACTCGGCTGACCGGTCACCATCAGCCATGGGGGGACAGAGCCCGGGATGCGCTGGCACATGTGGAGGGACAGAGGGGTGAGGGGCTTACCTCTGGGGAGGGCACCCCTCTAGGGTAAGCTCCTCACCTGGTCCTGCCCCATGGGGATAGCAGCTGGGTCCCTGCACACCCACTGCCCCCGCAAGGGTGCTGGCCCTGGCAGGGGAGCTCAGCGTGGGACAGGGCAGGGAGGGGACATGGGGGGTTCTCAGTGCCACAGGGCGCTGGTGGTTTTACCCTCGGTGGGTGGTTTGCAGATGTGTCCGCAGCCGGTGGTGCAGCACTTGGCAGTCCCGGGGCAGTCGCTGTCGGTGTCACACAGCTCCAGGCAGGGTCCCAGGGACCCCCGCAGCACCACAGGGCACGTGCCGGGCTTCGCTGCAGCATGGCGGCTCCCTGGTGACAATGAGGACCACGGCAGTGCCAGGTCTTGCTTCCTCCAGCCCCGTGTGACCTCGGTCCCCACTGTCCCCCCATCACATCCCCTGGTCCTGCCCCCCGTCCCCAGGCTCGCAGTGTCCGGGGCTGTGCCAGGGTGTGCGTGCGGCACCAGGTGCCCCAGCCGGCAGCACACGCTCCCCGGGCCTGGACGGCCGCCATCGGCTGCACACCCCGCTGGGGACACACTGGGCTTCGCAGGGAGCGGCTGTGCCACCACCAGTGTGGCTGCGGTGGACACGGGGCGGCTGCGGGGCAGCCACGGGCAGTGCCAGGGGCACTCGGCTGCGGCGGCTGTGGGTCTGGTGAGCGCCTGCTCTGGGGAGAGCAGAGCCCCGGGAGGGAGGTGGCGGGGCCCTACCTCTGTCCGGGGAGGCACAGGCCAGCCCGCAGCCGGAGAAGCAGCACTTGCGGTTCCCGGGGCAGTCCCGGTCATCGGCGCAGCGGTTGGAGCAGGCAGCGGCGCTCCTCCGGACGCGCTTCCGCGGGCAGAGCCCGGCCTTGGCTGCAGAGAACGGGAGGTCTGGGGCTCCGCGTGCCGCCGGCCTGGCCCCGCGGCGCCGTGGGGGCTGCGGAGCTCGGGCTTGTCCGTGCGTGGGGACGCGGGGCCGCCGCACCTGGCTCTGCGCGCAGGCAGCGGGCGCAGCAGCCGCGGGAGCAGCGCTTCTCGCCGGGGCTGCACGCGGCGTCGTTGCGGCAGCTCGTGGCGCAGCTCCCGCCGCCGGCGCTGCCGGGACGGGGGCAGTAGCCGGGGCTCTCTGCAGGGGGAGATGCCGCGTGCGGCCGCGTGCCCGGGAGCGGGGATCACAACGCGGGCACCTGGCCCCGGCCCCCGCCCGCCTCCCGCCCGGCCCCCCTGGTACCTGTGCTGGGGAGGACGCAGGTCCGGACCGGGCCGCGCCGGCAGCACCGCTCGGCGCCAGGGCAGCCGCGGTCCCAGAGGCAGTACAGCCCGGGCGCGAGGGGCGCCCCGCTCCCCCCCGCCGGGCACTCGCCCGCCTTGCCGGGGGCCCGCAGGGCACCGGGGGGCCGCCAAACCCGCGGGGCCCGGCGCGGTGCCGCAGTGGCCGTGGGGGCAGCGCCCCGGTGCCTGGTGCGGTGCTGCTGGGCCGGGGCGGGCGGCAGCTCCGTGGACAGCGCCAGGAGCACCAGGAGGAGGCTGCGCCCGCCGGACATGGCGCTGCCGTCGGGGAGCCGAGCTGGGGCTCGGCCCCAGGACCGGGATTTAAACCCTGCTGGGGTGGGGTCCGGCCGCACCGAGCTGCTCCTTCCCACAGCAGCACCATGTGGGCACCGTGGGAGCGCCGGGCACGAACAATCCAGCTCAGGGGAGGCTCCCGGGGCAGCGCTGGGCTCGCAGCCCACAGTGGTGCATCCTCCACAGGGAGCCCTTTCCAGGTCACCAGTGAACCGTGAGCAGCTCCTGGGATGGAACACCCGGAGGGATGGGACATAGGGAGCGGTGTCCTGATCCCAGTCCTGCCTGGGGAGCATTGCAGAGCAGAGAGCAGGTCTGCTCCCATGGGACACAGATGTGGCCGCACCTTGATGACCCCACTCTGAGCTTGTCTGCACAGAAGTAGAGGCCATGGCAGAGGCTGGGGACCCTTGGAGATACGGTGCAACCAGTCAGTGATGGTCCTTGTCATGTGGAGCCCTTACAGGCAGCACCAGCACCAGCAGTGGGAGGATGCTGCCCATTCAGGAGCACAGCAGCAAAGAGAGGCAGCCAGGGGGGTGGCAGGGAGAGGCTGCTTTATTGGAGAGGATGCAGGGGACCCCAGGGAGGAGGATGAGGCTGAAGGCTCCGAGCCAGGGGGATGGTGCAGGGCCAGGGCCTGGGCATGCAGGACTGGTGTCGGGCAGCAGCTCCCCTGTGGCCGGGCTGGCAGGAGGCGGCTGTGCCTGCAAAGGGAGCAGAGAGTTGTCAGCGGGATGGGCCATGGGGGCTGCAGGACCCCCGGGGCTGGCGGGCACCTGACTGACCTCAATGGAGTGGTGTCACGCAGGACACTTTGCCGCAGCCATTCCTGCAGCACTTCTGGTTCCCGGAGCAGTTGGAGTCCGACTTGCACTGGTTTGTGCAGACACCCAGCATGGGGATCCCGGGGCTGACGGGCGGGCACGTGCCGGGCTTCTCTGCAAAGGCAAAGGGACACGGTCTGAGCCCTGCCGGCACCAGCACACGGGGTAGGGCTGACCCTGCAGCCCCCGGAGCCATGGGCATGGCCTAGCCCCTGTCTGCCACAGTGGAGGGACCCCCATCCTGGCCAGCAGACCCCCGGACCCCATGGTGCAGCCTCACCCGGTGGCACAGAACACGCAGCCGCGACAGTGCCTTGACCCCACTTTCCCCCACAGCTGCCGTGGCCAGCCCGGGCTGTGAGCTTGCAGTGTGTGGGCTCAGCCGGGGCCCAGTGTGCAGGGTCCCTGCCATCCTGCCCAGCTGCCTGCCACCAGCACTGGGCTCCCAGCTCTGAACCACGCCATCCTGCACTGCAGCACAGCCGGGACAGCTTTGTCCTTGCAGGTGGCCGTGGAGGTACCAGAGCCTCAGGTTCACATCCGTCCGTTTGCCACTGGAGATCTCAACTCCTGCACCCGTTCACGGGGGCTGCCCTCCAGCAGGACCGGCACAGAGAGTGAGCTCAGTCGGGTGGCCGTGGGGCCGTGTCCATGCAGGGCCAGGGATGATGGCTGGGAGGCAGGACCATGCCCACGCTCTGGGCTGGCTGCTGCCCAGCAGGCTGAGCGGGTAATGAGGGCTGCAAGGGGAATGGCACAGACCCCTGCCCACGGCACCGGTCCCATGCTGCTGGCAGGAGAAAGGGTGAGTGTGGCTGCCGGGAGCACACCCCAGCCCCTCCGGGGTCCCTGCTCAGTCCCCGATAACCGCACTGCAGGCGATGCACAACGGGCGCCCAGGCCCCGCACCCTGGAGCACCGGTGCTGCCGGCTGGGCTGGGCTGTGGGCTCGCGGCAGCAGCACCGGGAGCAGGAGGGAGCGTTACCGTCGGGCTTCTGGCAGGCCTTGCCGCAGGCCGCCGGGCAGCACTTGAGGGTGCTCTCGCAGTCGCCATCGGACTGGCACCCCACCGTGCAGTTCACTGCTTCTGTCGCCGGGTCTGGGCACACGCCGGCTTTTGCTGCAAGGCAAAGGTGGAGGCCATGGGTGGGGGCCGGGGCAGGAGATGCTGCCGCCAGCACCGGGGCTGGGTCCGGGGATGCTGCTGAGCCCAACCGCGCCGGGCGCCGGCTGGTTCTCGGCCCCGGCCCCCAGCCCGGCAGGCCCTGGGGCTGGGAGTGATGCTGGCTGCTGGCCCGGGGCGTGCCGAGCCGTGCCGAGCCGTGCGCTCATACTCACTGGTGACATTCTGGGCGGGTGCTGGCGGCAGCTCTGCCCAGAGAGCCAGGAGCCCCGCCAGGACGAGCACGCTGCGGGCCTTGGGCATGGTGCGGGACCGGCGCTGCGCCTCGGGCCGCCCGGCGGCCTTTAAGCTCCTGTGCAGGTGGGGCGGCGGGCGGGAGGGAGGGCTCGGCCTTCCGGGTGGCTCCCGGGGGCCGGGCAGGGCCAGGCTCCCCCTTCGCGCTTGCACAACCCGAGTATCAGGTATCTGCCGCTGCTGGCGGCCGACCAGGGAGGGGGAGCCTGGAGGAGACCGGGCGGCCGCGCCGAAAACTGGCCGGGCAGGAAGAGCAGCCGCCAGCGCGGCCCCGTGCGCTGCGCGCCCGAGCCCTCCGGACCCCGTGCCCGGCCGGGGGCACCGTGCAGGGCTCGCTGGTGGAGCCCGAGGGGATGCCGCTGGAACGCCTGGCACGGGCGCACCGGGGTGGCCCGTGATCTGCCCCTGCTCAGGCTCCTCCTGCCACCGCCGCTGCCGCGGTCTTAGGCTCGCCCGGAGCCCCCAGCCTGAGCCACTGCTGCCCTGATGCTGGCGCTGTGGATGGGCGGCTGCTGCCGCTCGCCCGGAGCCCCCAGCCCGAGCCACTGCTGCCCTGATGCTGGCGCTGTGGATGGGCGGCTTCTGCCGCTCGCCCGGCTCCTGCTCCAGCCGCGTGTCCTCCTCCAGCTTTCGCTCCTCCACTGCCGGGCTCTCCAGGCTGCTGTGCCTCCGGCCGGCGCTTGCCCCGGGGCTGCCCCTGGTTCCCCCCGGCAGCTCCTGCTGCCCGGGCACAGCCTCCTCGCGCAGCCCCCGCCATCCTCGCAGCCTCCAGCGGCCCCGGGGATGCGGCCCGGACCATCCGGCAGCACCGGTTGGGCGAGTGGCTGGCGGGGAGCGAGCAGCCGGCACGCTCTGGCTGCACGCCCGGTGCTCCGGGCACGGCGGTGCCGTAGGACCCAGAGCCCCTCGGCACGGCCGTGTCTGGGATAGCCCTTCCGAGGCCTGTGTGCGCCCTCCGGCACACGGGGATGCAGCATCGAGCCGGGGTTTGTTTGCTCCAGGGGCCAAGCAGCCTGGAGCAGCCGCTCTCCTGCCCTGCTCTCAGCAGTTTGCTGCCCTGCCAGTTCCTGTCTCCTCCACCGGTACTGTCAGTGGTGGCTTTAATTCCTGCTGATGCCCAGCACACTGCGCGGGAAGCCCAGGGTCTCCCCTTGGCTCGCAGCTCTCGGTGTCAGCTCAACACCTTTGGTTGTTTGGATACCGCTGCAATGAGGGTCCTCCTGCGTGGTGCTGGTGCCGTCTGGCTGGGGGCCATGGGCTGGGCCCCGTTGCTGGGGGTCAATCCTAGAGCATCCCAGCTCACTGGGGCCCATCCTGGGTATGGTCACAGGCGGAGCCTGCACAGGGCAGAGGGTGAGACCTGCCCCATCTCCAGTGGTGTGCCCTTGTTGCTGGCAGAGGCACCAGGGGCAGACCCAGCTCCAGGCTGGAGCATCCTGCAGACCTGTGTGGCCAGGGGCATGTGGGGCTGGGACACAGTCCCTGCCCGAGTCACGAGCCAGTGTCCACTCTGCCGGGGTCCGTCTCCAGGTAATTTAACCCCACAGTCAACAATGCGGCAGTAAATCAGTAACTGTTTGCCTTTGCCTGCGGTCCCCTCCCTGCCACCGGTGTTTGTGCAGGAACAGGAGCTGGTGTGGATGGGCCAGTGCCTGCACCAACACCGCTCCGCACTACACCAACACCAGCAGCAGGATCCGACCAGCGGGGATGGGAAAGGGCTGGGTGCTCAGAGAGCAATGGAGCTGCTGGGGCTGGTGCCAGGACCCAGGCACGCTCGGGCTGGTGGGATGCTCCCACTGTGCCCATGAGACTGGGCCCCACTGGGGACACTGCACCTGGGAACTGGGCTGGGCTGGTGTTTCCAGCCCAGGGCTGACGCTGGGACTCCATGAATAAAGGGTGTTGCAGCCCAGTGGCCCCCAGGCCAGGGCCGGGACACGGTGCTCCTGTGGCGGGGGTGGGACGTGGGTGGTAACATGGCTGCTGCAAGCTTGAGCCTTGGCTATGGCCTCCATCATCCGTGCTGGACGTGAGGGACCTGTGCCATCCCTGCCGGATCTGTGCAGGCACAGAGCTCACCCCGATCCTGGAGCAGCAGCACTGCTGCCATTCCAGTGCTGCCAACCCCGTGGTGCCGTCCCTGCTGCCAGGGCAGGGGGTGCCCCATGCCCCACTGCAACTGAGCTGCTGCTCCCGTGCCAGAGGCGCTTCCCTTCGAGGGCCATTGCCCGGTCTGACAGTGTGATTGCTCTGCCCCAGCGTGTGGCATGGCCTTGGTGCTGGTGGTGAGCAGCCAGCACGGGGACGCTGTGAGGATGGATGCCAGGAGCTCGGCTGCGCTGGAGCAGCCGGATGGGAGCAGGTGGGAGCCCAGGAAGAGGCAGGTGGCAGGAGACGAGGGGGAAACCACAGGGAAGGCGAGAGCCGTGGGGAGCAGTGTGGGTGTTGGCGGGTTTGCCCAAGGTTGTACCTTGGCCCCAGTGTGCCCGGTGGCTGCTGAGCGGGCGATCCGGCTGGAGCTGCCCCCAGCCAGCCAGAGCTGTTGGAGAGTCGGCATCGCTTTCCGGAAGATAGAAACGCTTTGGCTCCTGTCCCCAGTGCGTGGCATTCAGGATGCTGCCGTCCCCACCCTGGCTCTTCCAGGCACTTCCTTGACAGAGGCTGAGGATGGCTGTAGGGAGCACGGGGATCTGCCAGCACGGCGTCCCCATCCCAATGCCTGTCCCGGGGGGTTCCTGCCTGGGGACGTGGGGTCAGCAGCCCTGAGCCCAAACCCAGAGGCTCTTCCCTGCAACATCCCTGGGTGGCAGCACCTGCCACCGCCGAGCCTGGTCATGCGGGTTGCACCTATGCCCTGCGGGTGACTGCAGCTCCTTCGTGGCAGCAGGGAAGGTGCTGGAGTCACGTCTCCCTGGGAGGGAGCATGGTCAATGATTAAAAGGGCCAGGCAAGGTGCCCCCGGCTGGCTAACCAGCCTCCCACAGCGGCAGAGAGCGGTGAAAGCTGGGAACAGAGGTAGAGAAGGACGCCCCTTCCTCTGGGAGACATCGGGCCCGGGCAGTCACAGCTCGGGGTCCCCATTCTGGATGCATGGGCTGATGCATGGCATTACCTGACCCTGCCCGGTCCCAGGGGCCCCTGCTGGGGCCCAGAGCACCCAGTGGCAGGGGAATGCTGCTGCCATGCTGCTGCTGCCACACCCCGTCCTGCCTGCGCTGCCCGCACCGTGCAGACCACGGCGGCCCCTCTTCATGCTGCAGAGCCAGAGCCTCGGTGGGGTGTGGGGTGCCCGGAGCTGGGGAAGCGCCTGGCTCTGCGCTGGTGTGATCGCTCTGACCGGCTCATCCCATGCAGGACCCCAGCCTGGGTCAGCCCCACGTCTGCCCGCTGCCCCCCGAGCACTCACCAGTGTTGGCAGGAGCCGCAGCATCCGGCTGTATGTGGGTGCACAGGGCGAGGATGCCCAGGAGCAGAACGATGGCAGCCTTCATGGTGCTTCCTGCAGGTACCGATGGGCAGCGCGGGTCGCCGGGGTTTATATCTGCATGGGGCTGAGGAGGGGCCGCGCACACATAAACCTTCATGTGCCGAAACTCGGCTGCAGCTCAGTTGTGCCCGAGGCAGCGACAGCCCCACGTTACTGCCTGAGAATTATTTACCACAGGCCTGGCCCAGCTGCGGCAGCCGGGCTGCAGCTGGGGTGGGGATGGCAGCACCCCACAGCACCCAGAAACACACCCTGCCCAGGGCACAGGGGGATGCCGCCGTGGGCTGTGGCTTCCCCCATGGCCATGGGGAGCCTGGAGGAAGGGACTGGAGCTCTGGGGCTTGGGAAAGAGGGGACGGGGAGAAGGCTGGTATATTCAGAGTGGCCCAGAGGGTGCAGATGGGACTTTTCCTATGACTGTAGGACCTAGGGGTGCTGGGGTGGGCCCGTAGGTAGAGGTCAGAGGGTGGTTGGTCCCCTCACCAAGGCGTGGGACTGACCATCACCACTGAGGTGCTGTTCAGGTGTCACAAGTGATTAGACGAGTTTATGGGATAGGAGCTGAGCAGGAGAATGGTCCCGTGTGGCAGTGGCCATCCCGACAGCACAGCACAGGGTGTTGTGGGACAGAGCAGCTCAAGGTCTGTCCCCGGCCATACCCACACATAGACCCAGCGCCTGCCTCCCCCGTCCCAGCTCAGTGCTGACATCTCCCAGAGCCGCGGGTGAAGCCGACGTCCCGCAGGCGAGCGTGGCCTCGGGGGAGTGCAGCCTGCAGTGACGTGCCCAGCTCGGCACACCCGCGGCCCGCACCGTGCTCCGAGCACCATTCCAACGTGGGGACAGGCGGGCGGCTGCTGCCGTCACGTCCCGGCAGACGGGTGCTCTGGCGGGGTCAGCACCGGGGCTGCCTTCCACCTCCCCATGCAGGGATCTGTGGGGATGCCCAAGGTCAACAGTGCGGGGAGGACACGGGGAGCCCGGCGCAGTGAAGGGTGGCTGTGCTGAAGCTGAGGTCTGCTCTGTGCCCGCAGGGACCCTGCGGTGCTGCCACTGCTGTGCCCTGACCCCACCAAATGGGTTTGCACCTCTCACCGTGCCCCACCGAATCGGTAAGGTCGGGCAGAGGCAGCGGGTTACGCCGGGGACGGTCCCTGCCCCGGGGCTGTCACAAGGCCAGCCCGGCTGGAAGGAGCTGCCTTTGTGCCGAGGCCAACGTGAGCTCTGCGGTCTCGTTCGGGGTTTTACAGCTCAACGACTGCATTTCCCTACTTGGGGAAATTCCTGTTTGCGTCATCCCTGCTCCGAGTGGCCAAACGCACTTCTTGTTACTGAAACTGTGTCTGAAACAAAGGGTCCATCGGCCAGAGACCCAGGGCTGTGGAAGCAGTCCCGTCCCTGTTTATGTGCACGGGGCCTCTCTAAGCGATGCCTTTGCCCTGACGTGACACGTGCCGCGGTGCTGATGCTGGGAGTCACCAACGTCCCTTGAGCAGCGCCCGGGCCTTTGGCTGGTGCTGGTGGCTCCTGGCTCAGGGGGGCTTCAGCCTCCTCTAGGCTGCGTGTGCCCATCCCGTGCCATTGACCGTGCTCGTGTCCTGCCCTGTGTCCCGGGGGACGGTGGCCACCACCTGCAGCCCCACTCGCCGCTGCCCCCTCCCTGCCCGCAGCCACCCGCCCCGTGTCCCGCAGCTCCGCGGTCCCTGTCCCAGCGCAGCCCCGCGGGGCCGGCCGCCAGAGGAGGCTGTTGCTCCGCCAGAGCGCGCCGGGGCTCCCCGCCGGGATTGAAGCGGTCACGGGGCCGGGGCTGCTCCCTCGGGCCGGTTCGGGGGCGGACGGGGCAGAGACTTCACCGGGTCCGAGCGCGGCGCTGCCCTCACTGCATCGGGTGGGGAATCACGGAGAGGCCGCGGGAGAGCCGCGGCTCGGGGCAGTCCCGAGGGGCTGGTGCCGAGCCGGTGGGCGATGCCTCCTCCCGCAGCGGCAGGGCTGAGGGCTGGGGCGGCGCTCGGCTTAGAACCCATCATTCTGGTCACGGAGCTCCCTCCCCGGATTTGGGCGGCAGGGCGGAGCAGGGCTCAGTGTCAAAGCCGCGGCACCCTCCCCATGGGCCCCTGGCAGCTCTGCAGGCGCAGAGAGCGAGGAACCAGGAGCAGGGGAGATGAAAATCCTCCTGAAAGTGCGATCGATCATCCAGCTCCTTCCTCGCCTGCTCTGCTCGGCCCGAGCGGGCGCCGCGGCAGCTGCTGAGATGAGAGCCCCTGTGTGGGGGAAGGATGGGGCCAGCATCTCATCCCCAGCACCCTGATCCCCGTCCCCAGCATCCTGACTCCTGTCCCCAGCCCCTGTGGTGCCATGCTCCACAATCCAGCTCTTGGGGTTAATGGCACCTGAATGATGCCATGGAGGCTGCTGCTCCGTAACAGCTCTAATAGCTCTGATCCATAACCACCGGCTGTGGTGGTGCCAAGATGCTGGCATGGGGAGTCTGGGGCTGGGTGGTGCTGATATTTGAGGCCTGGCGGCAGCCCCATGCCATGCATGGTGTGCCGGCTGGCAGCACAGGCAAGCAGCCTCCCAAAATGGGGTTTTTATTACAGCCATACATCACTGCGGCGCCTGATGCGGGCAGACGGCAGCGATTTTTCTTCGTGGTTTACAGACAAATGAGGGGAAGGAAAATTGATGTGAACTTTGCTATAGCGAGAGGTCGGGCGCGGGCAGGGAGCTGGTTACGGATGAGCCGGGGGCTGCCTGGTCCCGGCCCTTCTCTGGGCTGGATGGCTGGGAGCACTGCAGCGGCAGGGCCGGGAGCATCGTGTCCAGTGTGGGGACTGTGCTGCAGCTTTAGCGCCTGGAGGAGGGGGAGCTCTGGCTTTCCCAGCCCCCATTGCCCGCAACACGTCCTGAGCAGGCGGCTGTGCCCGTCCTGGCTGCGGGGATGCTCGGAGGGATGCTAAGGGGGAGCATGCGGGCAGGGTGATTAATTCCAGCCGGGATTCAGTAGCGCTGCAGACGCTGTTTGGACGTGCAGCATCGGGTGAGCTGCTGTCAGCGCCTTCTGTCGACGTCTCGACTGCTTTTACCACGGTTAAAGATGCCTGCAACCACCACAGTCCTGCCCAGTGTAAGAGAACAGTTAATACCTTCCAATAGCGCCTATCAGCTTCTCCATAAGGCCCATAAATATTAATACAATTCTAATTAGTTCCTTTAAATACATTACCTAAGTGAAGCGTTTCCTGGGCAATAAATCAGTGGCAGTTCAGCACCATTAAGCAGATCATGCACTCTCCCCGCCTGTCCCGTGGCCAGTCCTGCTTGCCAAGGGATGGGGCCCACAGCAGCCTGTGCTGTGCCATGTGAGGGCTGGTGGTGCTCCTGCCTTGGGAGTTTCCAGCTGTGGGATGGGAAAGGAGGTGGGTTTTGGGGCTGGAACAGCCATGAGCTGGTGTCTGCTGCGATGCCTTCCTGCTGTGCTCGAGGGCTCTCCCAGCCCATGTCATGACAAAGCAGCTCTGCATGGGGAGGATGCATCGTGCGGTGGTTGCACTGGAAAAGAGCAAATACCAAGCTCATTTGCTTGAGGAGAAATTAATACAGTGTGAAACACGTAGTGGGTGATTTAAGAAGTGAATTTAAAATCTCAACACTAATAGATTTTTTCATAAGGTCAGAGGAAAGATTAAACTCTCCAGACAAGCACAGCACTTACCATTCCCAGCTTCGTTTGCACCATAAATATTTGGGGCTGGTGCCATGTGCCTGCGCTGCCCATGTGGGTCAGATCCTGCTCGCCTTGGTGAGGTGATCTCAGATCCAGGCCTGGTGCTGCGTGAGCAGCAATGTCCCGGCATGTTGCCATTTCCAGCTCCTCTTCCCACTGCCAAGCAGGGACCAGGATTGATAGTAAGAGATTTGAAAGGCTCCAAGTTGTATCACGGAGCCACCCCATCCATCACGAGACGTCCATTATTAAGTAACACCCTGCATGCTGGGCTGATTTCACACCTTATCTGAACCCAGCAGCTGTGCCCTAAATCCTGAGCGCTGTGACTGTCTGGAGGAATTCGGCTGCCTGTGCTCAAAATTAGTGTTAGCATCTATCATTTCCCCACACCAAATGGCTTTTGTGTCGGCACTTGGCAGCACTCATCTGTCACAAGGGCTCTGGCTGCCCAGGTCTGTCCCCTCTCTGTCACTTGCAGGACCCCGCGATGGCAAAACATCACCCAAAGGACAAGTGAAGCCGTTGGGCCTCTCCCTTCTGCCCGGGCTGGTGGCACCGCTGGTGGCGAGCACCTCCTCCGTCCCCTTTGGCACAGCAGGCACCAGCTCTGCTCCTGGCTGGGCTGTCCCCATCCCTCCATCCCCATGCAGCCAGGCACAGCCTGCAGCCCCTGTCTGGGCACGTGGTTCGCGGTGCCATGGTGCCGCGGTGCCGGGCCCCTCCTGGCTGCTGCTGCCTGCAGCTGTCCCTGGCGAGGAGCTCCTGCCAGGCAGGCGATGCTGGAGCTGTCGGTGTGATGAAAAGCCTCCTGCAGCAATGCAGATAACATACAAGCACAGGTCAAGCGAGGCCCCTGTAGCCCATCCATCAGGCGCAGCAGCTACAGGCGCTCCCTGTGCCACCATCTGATGCACGTTATCCGGCACAAATGTGTATCTTCCCCCAAGGTTAAACGGATGAGTGAGGTTCAGGCACTGACAGCTCCGCCTGCCCCGGCGCGAGCGATAAACGAGCTGCAACAACCAGAGGGAGAAAAAAAGGGTTTGTTTTCTGTCAGATTCTCCTTTTGATGGTGCTGGCATGAGGACAGCGGCAGCACAGGGAGAGAGGAAGCAGATCAGCTCCCGGTGTGGCCGTGGGGCGGGTGGTGATGGGTGATGTCACAGCCATGGTGGCTGTCACCGTATCACCGGTGGTGATGGACGGGCGGGAGCGAGGATTTGCCATGGCTCTGGAGCATGTGCTCAGTGCAGCCCCAGCACAGTGCCGAGCTGTGCCCACTGTGTCTCTGGCTCTGCCTGCTCCGGGCACTGCTGGCGCTGGGGCTGAGCACGGTGCTGCGGTGCATGCCAGGCCGGCGTCCTGCCACGCTGCCACTGCCCTCGCTCAATGTCACACTTGGAGCCTGTCAATGTGAAGAAAGGGTTGCGGGCGATAAGCGATCGCGCTGTCAGCCCCGGGCGCTGATTTACCACGGCGGCGCTAACGGAGCGCGGATTTCTCTTAATCTAAATTGAAAACTACTCAAGGAGAAAAATAATTTCATTGCTTCATGTTGAAGGGGCGGGGGGAGAGGGAGGGGAAGAACTGCACAGGGCGGGGGGCCTGGGGCTGCCCGTGCCCCCCACGGCTTGCTCCCAGTCCGGGGCAGCACCCCCAGCCCATCAATCTGGATCTGCAGTATGAAATACCTGGAGGGGCTGGGAGTGGGAACGGGAATGGGCTGTGCCAGTGTGAGGGGTCTGGCGCATGGCCATTTCAGCATGGGGATCCCCATGCTGAATCCCAGCATTCAGGAGGTCAGGATTCAGGTCTGCAGGAGTCATTTTCCATTAGCCAGGATCTGGGACAGGGGTGGGGGGGCCACAGCGTGGTCCCAGCCCCACTCGAGGCTATGCCGCAGGTCCCCGGTGCTGGCACAGGTGGGGATGTGCTGCCTTGCAGAGAGATGAGTAATTTGGAGTGCGAGCAAATTCTGGGCGCATTTGCTGAGCTGGGTAATAACGTGCCCAGTGAGCTGCAGCCCGAGCACGCTGCCAAATTAAAGGGATTTTTTTCCCCTTTAATTTAAAAGTCACCGTTGGGAAATCTCCGTTGGCCACGGCACTGATTTCCCCCCGGCCGCCTTCCTGCAGAAACCTTTAATTTTGATTGTCACACTTTGTGGAGTTTAACTCGAAGAAACAGAGCCATAAATAAGGCGCTGCTCTGGCTCCGAGGCTCCAGCTGTGCCGGGATGGTGACAGCACCAGTATGGCAGGATGGCAGGATGGGCATGGGCATCCCACCAGGACCATGGCAGGGGTTGCACTGGACCCCTTTGGCCTTGGAAGGCAGCACCAGGGAGGGTGTCGAAGGCTGCAGGTTTGGCTCCGGGCTCCACTCTGTCACTGGCGTGCTGTGGGGCCGGAGGAGCTGCCATGGGCAGCCTGGGGCATCTCCCGGTGTCTCTGGTCCCCACAGCTTGGTGGAACCAGTGTGTGACGCGTCCTCTCCCTGCTGGGGGTTTGGGAGGGAACCGCCTGGCAGCCTGGCTTGGCGCAGAGCTGGTGTGAGCTCTGGGAAGGTTCCAGCCCGTTTGCATTTCACCCTTCAGTAATTTCACATTTACAGGTGCAATTAAGAGGCCAGCCTGGCGTCACGAAGCCATCAGTGTGGAGAGACCTGAATCCTGACCGGCTCCCATGTGTGTTATCACCCCTGGCCATCCGTCTGTCCATGGTCACATCGCGGTGATGCTGCAGTAACGGACCTCGACTACATTAGATGAGGTCTGTTTAACTTCAATGCTGCCTGAGCCCTTCAGGTGGTGGCACAGGGCACAAGCAGGGGGGAGTGGTGGTGTTGAATGGTGACCACAGCACAACCAGGGCTGTGTTGGTGCCATGTTCATCGCCTCAGCAACCCTGTGTTTTACAGGCAACCCACCAATGCGGCACTGCTGGCTGGGCCGTGATGCCCAGGACAGCACCAGCAGCACATCCCTCCTGTCCCCCTTCTCCCACTGCAGTGGGACACGGCTCGGAGAAGCCGTCTTTCCCTTTAAGCTTCCTCCCAGTTTAATTGGATAGCTTCGAGCCCCAGCTCATGATTTCTGCAGCAATTTGGTCTGAGATTTCTTCCTTTGCCTCCATTATCCACTCTGATTAACTGAGGTGCCCCTGTCAGCGCTGCTCGGTGGCGCGGGGAGCGCCGGCGAGAACCTGTTAAAATGCATGAGCCTCTCCTGGCCAGCGATGCCCAACTGCAGGACGGGGGTGCAGCTGTGGGGTGGGGGGGGCTGTCCGGGGCTGGTGGCGGTGCTGGGGTCCCGCGGGGTGGAGGGCTGCAGGCAGGGCCCCACCATCCTCCGTACTGCGGCTTTTCCACTTCGCAGGCGCTCATTTCACATTCCAGCTCCAACTTGTTCCCTGTTTTTCCATTTTAATAACAGCAAAAGCATCCGGAAACACTGCAGCACCCGCGGAAGAGCGAGAGCTGACATAATTAAAAAGTGGCTTCAATCAGGCTGTTTTCCTAATGGTTTGTCCTATCAGCCCACACGGCCCTGCACCCCCGTGCTCCCAACCCCCTGAGGCATCATTTACATTCCTTAATAACCCCTCATCACTATTCATGACGTGGGGAGGGCAATAACGGCTGAGTGCACAGCACTAATTCAATTTCTGCGAGGCTCAGTGTGTTTAGTTAATCACCGCGGGACCCGGGTTACTCAGTACAATTATTTATTCAGAATTAGATCTCAAAGCATCTGGATTGAAACCTGAACTCGTGATAAAATGAAGCCGGGATTCGGCTGCCCCCGCCGCTGCTCCCGCACCAGCGCCCAGTGCCGCGCTCGGGGCAGCCTTTGCGGGTCACTTCTGGGTGCTGGCGGCAGAGAGGGGCTCTAGAGCAGGCGTGCGGGGGCCGGGGCCCTGCCTGCAGCAGCAGCACGGCCTGGGGGGCTCCCACATGCTCGGGCTTCGCCCCCGGCTGCGTGCGGGGGCTCGGGGTATCCTCCCTGCACGGCGCAGGTGCTGCCCCCGCTGTCTCGTTCCCATTCCCGGCTTTCAGCGCCGGTGCTTTCACAGTCCCCAGCAGCGGGGCTCTGCCGGGTTTGCAGCCGTCAGGGTGAGAAACGGCCCCTGAGCTGCTGCGCCTCTCCCGCGAGGCTGCCGGCTCCCGGCGATCCCGTTTTATTTAGGGCAGTTAATGCAGCAGCTTCTCAAATTCCTGACTTTGTTTTTCTGAATGTTCCCCCCCACCCCAGTCCTCCCGGGGAAGCGAATTGACCGTGCTCTATCCCTTCCTCTAACGAGGAGAGGCTGCAGGCAGGAGGTGCCGTTCTGAGTGAAGACTATTCACAGATCATAGGACCATGGAATGGTTTGGGTTGAAGGGGCCTTAAAGCTCCTCCAGCTCCAACCCCTGCCACGGGCAGGGACCCCTTCCACTGGAGCAGCTTGCTCCAAGCCCCTGTGTCCAACCTGGCCATGAGCATCCCTGGTGCCTGCCTGCGTCCGAGGTCTCCTGCTGCCCTTTGCAGGTTTTACAGCCATGAGGGTATTTATTGCCCTGGGTCAGCGCTGCTCGAGGGATCCAGCTGTGTCCCGGCTGGAAGGACCCCAACGCTGCACACGGCAGAGCCAGAGGATGCGCTGATGAACCCTTTATCCCAGCTTCCACACACAGATTTGTCGTGTTAATTCTGGCATGATGGATGCCGCTGCTCTGTAATGGAGCCACGGTGTTATAAATGTGGCTCAAATAAATTGACGAGAGCCAGACCAATGAATCTAATCGGTTTATTATCGCTATTACAGCAAGCAAAACAGCGCTGGGCGGCCGGGGAGTCTCTGCTCTGCCAGCAGCACGCACCCCACTTCCCCAAAGTCACTGGTTTTATACTCTTCTTCATCCGATGTACGTGTCACTTCCTGGCGTATCTGCGTCGTTGTGACCCGTTGATAAGGGGTCTCATTCTGCCTCCCGGTGGGCGTGTGGAGGAAGGCTCCTTATCCCCTTCCCCCATACACCCTGTACTTTACCGGACGCCTGCGGTCTATGAGCAAAATGTCGAAGTCGTAATTTTCCAATAACTCTTAAGCAAGCAAGATTTGATTAACAAACGGGGATTTGCTCATTACACCGGGACGCTCCAAACGTTATCTACATCTTTAATTTGGTGAGCGCTGGGCGCGGGCTCCCGCCGCGATGTGCGCAGGAGCCGCAGGCGGTGCCGTGCGGGAGCTCCGCAGCTCGGAGCCCGTTTCTAACGCTAAGTCACAATAAATCCCGCCACGCTCTTTAATTGCTCCCATTTGTTAAGCTGCGAACGCTGAACAATGGTGGAGCGTTGGAACGGTTCGGGTGCACCGCTGACGCTGCGGCCCAGCGGCGCGCACGGGGCGCGCTGGCGCGGGGCTCGGCGGAAGGATACAGGAACAGGAGGCTGGCGGATGGCGCTGCGGCGCGGAGGCGGCCGCGACCTTTGCCCTCGTAAGGCCGCTGTAAGAAGTAGCCCCGGGCGCTTTGCGGCGGTGCCGTGCTTTTTGCCTCTCGCTTTCCGGCAGAGTGGCGCGCTCCCAGGCCCGCCTTACGGCGCGCTGTCGTGCGGCCCCGGTTGTTGGCGACAGTTCCGCGGTGGCGGGGCCCGGCCGGTGCCATGGACGTGGGGGAGCTGCTCAGCTACCAGGTGAGCGGCGGCCACCGGGCCCGGGGGAGCGCCCCGGCTCTTCCTGCCGCCCCGCTGGGGAGGGACGGAGCGGCCCCGGCCGGGAGCGCGGTGCTTGGCCGTTGGTGTCGGTAGCGCCGCAGGGCCGGGCCCGCCGCAGCTCCGGGCGGGCCTCCGTGCGGAGCGTGCCCGGCCGCGCTCGCAGGGCCCCGGTACGGTGCCGCTGAGGCGAGGCCTGTCCTGCCCTGGGACACGAGGAGCCCTGTTGGGAGCCGGTTACCGGGGCTGCTGAGGGCCGCGGCCGCGCCGCTGATGGGTTCTACCGGCCAGACGCAGTTCGGTGCCGCTGCCGGGCCCTCTGCCGAGTAAAACCAGCGCTGGTTTCTGCCCTGTGCTCTCGCTCTTCCTTCCCCTCTTTCAGGACAAACCCCATGCGATTCTCACCGGAGCCCCTGGGAAGGTTTTCCTCCTTGGGAAAGTTTCCTTTTATCCTGTGAATGTGCTGCTCCCGGTGTGTGGCTGCGCCTTGTTCGGAGCTCGGTTATAACGTGGATGGTGTTTCAGCGCCCGGGGGTGGGTTCACGTCCCTGTGTGGCTCGGGGCCGGTGTGCGGCAGTGTTGGCTGGTACCTCAGTGCCCGGCGTTATCCCAGCGCAGGAGCTGTGTGACTCGATCCAGGTCTTAATTCCAGCCACAGGATTCCTTATGGAATGCCTTCCCACATGCCCCGTGTGTGTTGTTCTGGGGGGACACCGTGTGTGTTCAGAGGTGGAAGGAGCATCCTGCTGCACAGCACGTGTCTGGGTGTCTAGAGGGTGTCCCTGGGAGGTGCACAAGCAAGGAGGGGATGTTGGAGGTTACCTTTTAGTCTGGGGGATTTCTCACCATCTCTTGAGTTCAGACCTCCCCAGTCGGGTTAGGGTTGGGGTGAATACAGGTGAGGGGAGTGAGGAGCAGGAGGTGGATAAACAGCCTTGCTGGTCCTGAGAAGTGGGATTCCCCTCTGCGAGGGCTGAAAGATGGAAACGGGAATTGGAAGGAGCAGGTTCTGCTGCTTCCAGGCCATCAGGTGTCTGCCATGGCTCTGAGTCAGGCAGAACAGGAGCCTTTCTGTGTTGTTCTTGGAAATGCACACTCTTCTCCACCAGGAGAATCAGATAGAGTGGTTCTGTGGTGCCTGCGCCACAGAAAGGAGTCCAACCTGTGTGTGGTGGAGAAATGAAGGGAGCTCCGTGTTGTTCCCAACTGATCGGCTGGTGCTTCTGCGAGGAGGAAGAGCGCTCAGGGGCTGCTGAGGAGGAGGATGGCTGCTGTCTGCTGCCTTGGGCACAAGCTGGCCCCTTTCCTGTCTTGGGCTGGTTCAGGATCTCCTTTACCATTGCTGCAGGGGTGGCACTGGCTGTTGGGGGCGGATGTTGTGCTCCTCAGCCATCTGATTTTAATCTCTTGCTGCAGATGAATCTGTCTCCTCAGCTTCCCTCAGCACAGCCCACAATAATTGCTTTCCTCTTGCACTGTTTTGAATTTCTCTCCTCTAAATGCCTGATCTGTGCCCTTGCTTAATCAAGATGATGTTCTCCCTCGCTGCCAAGCCCGGCGTGGAAGATTTTGGGCACTGTGCCACCGACTCAGCACCACGTGTGGGGATAAGGAGCCACTTCCGACAAAAAATACAATTAAACAGCACCTGGCAGTTTATACAAGCTCAGAAATCCATAAACTTTATGTGTTGCTGCAAAACAGTTGCAGATGGTCTGAGTTGATGGTTAAATATCGCTGCTGTTCTGCCTGGCTCCTATATCTGGTCTCCCATTATGGGGGTAACGGAGGGGACAGAGCCAACCCTGGCTCTTCCAAGAGATTCCTTCCAGTTGGGAGTAATAATGGAGCCTGCTTTAGCTGCCATTCAGTGCAGCTCTCGCTGCTGTGAGTGATCATTACAAACTGCTCATTTTTTTAATGCACTATTAGTAAACTCAGATAACAGAAGCAGCAGCAGGTAAGGGATGAGGTCTGACTTGGGCTGGGCCGTCTGCTCACTGGGAATGGGCTGAGTGTGGTTGTAGTGAGATGAGTCCCTGTGGATCAGCAAAGGCATGATTGCTGCTGCTGTAGCTCATTCCCTGTAAATCTGCACTGGAATGGGTCCCCTGGTGCAGGGGCCGCTCGGCGGTGCAGGGTTTTAACTCCAGCCTTGTTGTCCTGGTTCTTCTCATCCTGCTTTTGGCTTCAAACATGGAGCTGTCACTGGCCCCATGTGGCAGAGCCTGCGTGTACTTGCTGGTGCGCTGGTACCCAGGCTGGTGCGCTGGTACCCAGGCTGGTGCACTGCTGGCTGCAGCTGAGCTTTCAGTTTACTTTTTGCTGTGTTATCCCTGGCCATCAAACCAGGGCAGGGAAGGTCCCTGCCCTGCAGGGTCCCAATGGCTGCACTCCTCAGGGTGAGTCTGGAGAGGATGAGGGCTCTTTCTCTCTGACAGTAATAATCCATATCCATGGGAGTACAGAGCATGACTTGCGATTCGGTTGCCTCAGCTTATGTGAGTTTGAGCTCTTGGGGCTTGCTGAGATTTCTGGATTTTCCTGGTAGCAGTTCCCCATTTTTAACACTCAGTCCTGCACCATCCGAAAGTGTGGTGTTTCGGGAACAAACCCCAATCAAAGTACAGTTATCAAAGCTTGGTTCATCACAAACGCTGGATGCAAAATGAAGACGTTAGTGACGATACCTCTAGAGACTGGGGCTTGCCCTCAGGGGTCCTGCCCTGGCAGCTCCTGCGGCGCTTGCTGCTGTGGCAGCTCAGGGCACGCTGCGGCCGCTGCAGGAGCTGCATCACTTAGGAAGATTTATTTCAGGTTTCATTAACAATTTCTGAGCTTGCAGTAACGAGGTTACGTACAAAGCAGATGTCTCAGTAATGTGAAACTCCATTACAGAGGCTCCTCCAAACCTGCCTGGTGCTCAGAGAAGGCTGGAAGCAACTGGGGGCCTAAACAACATTCTTGGATCTGATGGGATGCTTAATCCTGGTATTAATGTGCCACCAGTGCTCTGAGGGAGACAGGCCGTGGGCAGAGCCTGTCCTGTGCTTGGGGTATGGTTGCTGTCATGTCTGCTGGGTGCTTGTGCTCCAGGGGCTGTGACCAGCGGGTGCTTCCAGGGCACGTCTGTGCCCACCTATGGTCTGTCCTTACTGCAGAGCACATATGGCTGGGTCTGGGAGGGAAACAAAGGTAATTCCCTTCACCAGTCATGAGCTTTTGTTTACTTGCATTTTATAAATGTCAACTTCTTAAAGCCCTTTTGCATTTGCTGCTTTTTGTGTGGTGATATCAGTGTTAGATTTAAATGAAAATGTCTTTGGAATAAATTACTGTGAATGCTCTGCGCTCAGTGGAACAGAATTAAGCTTAACTAACAAAACAATCCCACACTGCTCTTCTTGTGCCTTTACTCATGAATCCCAGCTCCTGGCCAAATGCACCTTAGCACAGCTGATTATAAACCCCATGTTTTATTTTGCAAACGAACTTTCCCTTCCCTGCCAGGAAGCAAAACTTGTTTTGATGTGCATGAAGCTGTGACACTGTTTAAATGAATGTGTTAGGGCACAACGTATGTGTTTGCACAGCATCACTGTGAGGATGGTGGGACACAGGCACAGGGTGCCCAGAGAAGCTGTGGCTGCCCCATCCCTGGCAGTGTTCAAGGCCAGGTTGGACACAGGGGCTTGGAGCAAGCTGCTCCAGTGGAAGGGGTCCCTGCCTGTGGCAGGGCATGGAACTGGGTGAGCTTTAAACTCCCTTCCAACCCAAACCATTCCACGATTCTGTGTTTCTATGGACATACACCAGTGTCAGCACAGCAGTGGATGTGCTTAATTCTTGTTGGTTGGTGACAGTCTTCAAGCAAATGCAAACCTCAGGAGAGTCAATGGGCAGAGGCTGATGCTCACCTTGAGCCAGCAGCCCCTGACCATGGGAGCTGGGCAGGCACTGGGTGCCTCCCTCCAGCCCCTGTTCCTTGGTTTCAGTAGTGCTGGAGAACAGCAATATTCTGAGTGAGGTTTTGCATAACATCAATAACAGAAGGAAAAACCTTAATGCCCACTTAATGTGTTTGCTGGGAATTCAATTACTGCCTATTGCTGCTCTGTTGCAGCATTAATAATTGCACACAGGGCAGCTCCATAATTTATCATAATGATTCCTGGGATGTGTGACAGAAGATTCCTTCCCCCAACAGTGCACAAATACAAAAAGGATAAAGCAGTTGAGGCTGAGGCAGGGTGTAAATGCTGCTGCTGAGGGTGTGCTCGGAAGAAATGGCTTGGTGTCATAATGGAGTTTTAATTTGGATTTGTTGAGGTGGTGCAGCCCCTGCCCATGGTCCCTCTCTGCATCTGACACCCCTCTGGTCCCTCTTTGCAGCCACGTCCCACTGAGGGGTTTGTTCCTCTTTTAATGCTTAGAAATGAGTATGGAATGAGATTCTGAGCCCTGGGCACAGAGCAGCCGGGGCAAATCTTGTGGGGCCTTTTGCTAGAGGGTTCAGGATTTCCTGTTTCTGTTGCTGTGTGTAATGCTGGTCTGTCATGGGTGGGTCGGGATGAACTGGCTGTTACTGAGTGAGGGGAAGGGCAGGGACCTTTGTCTCTAAGGGCGCTGAGTAAGGAACATGTATTTACCATGGGTTTTTCCTTAGACGGTTCCTTTAGAAGAGCACCTTTTCTCTTTTTATTGGGTTGCTCATTGCTTGGGGAGGGTTTGAACTCCTGGTTGTTGGCAATGACACATTTGTTTCTAAATGGATCTGTGTGAAATCAGACTTTAATGTACCTAGAAGAGAAGTAATAGGAATTTGCTTTAAAAAGAGCCCCAACAACCATCCCCCCCCATCCCTCAACCCCTTCTGGCAAATGAATTTTCATTTCAAAGAATCTCTGGGTATGCTTCTACTTCCCAGCTATTGAATTATGAGCTGAGTAACTGCTTTAAAAGTGCATGGGAGCACTTTAGAGAAGTTTAAAGTCTGGAATGTTCTGTCCCTAATGGAAGTGGAAATGGCAGAGAGGATGTAGGGAGGAAGGAGATGGATAACAGGTTTGAACAGGTCTAGCTGGGGGCCAGCACAGAGAGCTTCCATTTGTGCTAATTGGGAGCAGAAACTTGATTCTGCCTCTCCTTGAAGTGGTGATAACTTGGTAACCCTGCAAACAGCCCAGCTGGTGGCCAGGCTGGTCCAGCTGGCTTCTGGGTGTAATGGGCACTTTGGGGGCCTTCTGGGTGCCATGGGCACTTTGGTGCTGCTTGGGTGGAGTCTTTTGTTGGGTTGGGTTTTGGGTTTTGTTTTGCATCTCTCCCAGAGCAGGGTTTTCCTGGGAGCAGAGCTTTCCTTTGCTGGCTTTCCCTTTCCATGGAGGTAAATAGCTGCTGGATGCTCCCTGGGCTGTGCAGAGGAGCAGCTGGAGCTGACCTGCGGTGTGCACGTCCCGCTCAGGATTGCAGCTGGAATGCTGTAGGAACAGTGATGGGAAGTCAAAGTGTTTTTCCTGTGGTCATTGTTCTTAACACACAGGCTGCTTCCAAATGGTAAAGAATTAAGCTTTCTTTTCTTGTAGGTGTAGAGCATGGGCTGCTCTGTTCCAGCCTGGTTGTCCTTCAGAAAAATAAGACGCACCAAATTTAATATCCTTGTAGTGCTTGAGGGGAGAGTTTCTTCTTCTATTGCAAATGCTGCCATCCGTTTTTGCCTAGATTAAACCACAGGATCAGGGTTAATGGACTTTTTCCTTGTCCCTGGCAAATTACCTTTAATTTTGACAATTAAATAGAAATTGTGGCACAAAATCATGGGTCAGTGGCTGGGGCTGGACTCCTGCCTCGGAAGCCGTAGCCTTTGCCTGCGGAGATGTTTTCCTGGGAATGGTGTTCATAGATCAAACAAGGTAGGGTGTTGACACAGCTCTTGGCAGAGGCATTCATCTGCCCATGTGATGTTCCACTTCACTAAATTAATTTCCTTTCCCATTTTCAGAGCTGTTGAGCGCTGTGTAAGCAAATGTTTGAAGCAACTTGTACAAATTTCCTCGGTGTGTCTTGTAATACTGGAGTTCTGCCTTGCAAGGGTTGCAAGGACTTGTACTCATTCCTCTCTTTCCCTGGCTGTAGCCTAACAGAGGGACAAAAAGGCCCCGGGATGAAGAGGAAGAGGAAATCAAAGCCCGTCGGAAGCAGGCGAGCACGCGGGAGCACGGCCGTCACCGGGAAGAGGAGTCGGCTGCGCTGGAGGAGACTGATGATGAGAAGAAGAAACTCCTTCAGATAATTGAGAGGGATGGTGAGGAGGAAGAGGAGGAGGTAAATCACCAGTGTCCTGTGGGAAAGGGGAGGTGGGGAAAAGGAGCAAACACTAAATCACTTCTCTGATTTCCATTTCTTGGCGTGCAGATGATGAGACCAGCTGGTGATTTCCACATGCCTCATGCAGCGTGAGGTTACAGTTTTACTTCCCTGCCCCATGGAGTGTTCATGAATTCCAGACAGGGCTTGTCACAGATATTCTCTGAGGGCTTAAGGGGGGGCATGAGGAAGGAGGAAGGGAAAGCTTTCAAGCCTAATCTCTGCTTTAGTCTGGAATTGCCTTCTAAAATGTATTTTTAGGAAGCAGCTTGTGTTTGATCCCATTTCCTCACTGTTGTTCATCAGTGCCCCAGCCATGCAGCACCTCCCTTCTCCCCTCTCTGGAGCTGTGCAGCAGCAAATAACCATTCTGCTGTGCAGGAAAGGTCTTGGGTCAGAGGGCGGGTGGCAGCTGTCAAGGGTAAATGATTTCAAGCCTTCGAGACAGAAATCCAATGCAGCATTGGCCATTCTGCCAAGGGCCAGGGAAAAGATCACTTTATAAATGTGACACGTGGATTGGTATAAATCTCAAAGATATTTGCTTCCTGCTGCCTGTTTGATAAAAACCCAAGCGATATTCACCACCACAGGATCATGTAGGTTTGTAAAGTATCACTGTTTTCTGTACACAGCATTACTGGCCTTCCTCTCTGAAAGGCTCCCTGGCTTTTTGATGTTGAGCTATTGCCATGGCAGTGGCTGCTGATAGCGAAGGATAGCGCAGGATTTCTGTATGGGTCAGCTCCCGTGAGATGAATGGACTCAGACAAGGTCCTCTTGACTGGCTGAAGCCTCGTGGATTCCTGCAGTGCACAAGTCCCTTGTCTTTGTCAAGCAGAGCTCACTCAGCCAGACATCTTAAGGACTGACTTCCAAGGCTCCTTTAGACCCAAAGTCTCTCATTTATTATCTTCAATGCAGTTGATGTAAACGCCATTAAAATGTGCTTTGTAGCATGGAATCTGCTGGAAGGGAGCTAATCTGTGGGGTGCCGCAATACTGAATGCAAATTAAATAAAGATACAAATAGAGGAGAGGGGAGAGGTTCCACAAGAAATCTGTGTTGGCAGTGTTTTAATAAAAGTGCACTAAAGTCATGAAGCAGGGAAGGTAACAGCAGTGTGTCTGAGGTGTCTGGTGGGAGCCGGCGTTCTGTCAGTGCTGTGCAGTAAATGTGTGTTGCCAACCGAGAAACACCTCAGAAGCACTTAAAAAAAGTACTAGAGTAAAATATTGATTTTTATTTTTTTCCTTCTGAAACTAGCCGTGAAAGCTTATCCAAGTGAGGAAAATACAAAGAACATAAACTGAGGGTGGTTAAACGCAGAGCTGCGAAAGGAAGCAGCACAATGGGCTTCTGGAAAGAAACCGTCCATGATCATGAACTTTACTCTGGTACATCAGAAGCAAAAAGCCTCAGGAGGTGCTGATGGTGCTGGTAATAACGGTTATGGAAGAGCAGTGTGAGGAAGATGAGCCAGGGCAGGGCTGGTTTGGGGGTTTTCATTGATGCTCAGGGTCAGAAAGGGTCAGGAGCAGTTCTGTTTTTTTTCCAAGATCCTTCCATAATAAATCATGGTTTAATGACAATCTGACTTACAGGTTTTTGCTCTCAGGAGCTTGCTCAGGTCCTCGTTGGAGTAAATCCACAACTAACAGTAACAGTGTGGGGGTTTTGGCAGGTTTCTGACGCTGCTGGGGTAACACCTTGCTCCTGAAGGGTCTGAGCCAGGCCACAGTCTCACCACATCACTGTGCTCTTGGTTTTTCTGGGTAATTGTTCCAGCCATCCCAAGCTGTTTTGTGCTCTCTGTTTTGGTTAGGAGGAACCTTTGGATGAAAGTTCAGTGAAGAAGATGATTCTCACCTTTGAGAAGAGATCGTACAAAAACCAGGAGCTGCGGATCAAGTTTCCTGACAATCCAGAGAAGTAAGATTGTGCTCATCCCCTGCTGCCCTTTTCCCTTTTAGGTTTCAGCCCTGAATCAATTTCTTGACTATACGTATGTTTTTAGTTACACAAGGCTCATGTAACAGCAGTTATCACCATGTTCTAAGTTGTATTTGAAACTAGAGTTGTTGACAAGTCTTGCCTGGCATCTCCTGGAGGATGCTGGGCTCTGCTTTGAGGGGACTGGGCACTGAACACACCTTGTGCACCTTTTCCCTTTTCTTTAGCCATGGTTTTGTCTCCCCAGGTTCATGGAGTCCGAGCTGGATTTAAATGACATCATCCAGGAGATGCATGTGGTCGCCACAATGCCGGACCTGTATCACCTGCTGGTGGAGCTCAACGCGGTGCAGTCCCTCCTGGGGCTGCTGGGCCATGACAACACAGATATCCTTTGCTTGCTAAAGCAGCTCTCATGAGAGAGGCTTTCTACAGGCTTTGCTGTAATCTCCTATATCCTGCTCTTACAGGCTCCCATGTTTTTCTCTTCTCTCCCATCACACTGAATTTATGTCTTCTTTCTTTTTTTGTTCAAGTGAAAGTCTTCTCTCTTCAAGTAATATTGATTCTGTATTTTTTCAGTGCTGTTATTCTCCTTTCATGTTTTATGACCCTTTCATCCAGGTGTGAGTAGCTGTATCAGGGTGTGGGCAGATGAGAGCACAGGAAGAGCTGAGGTGTGGGTTTAGCAGCTCCTTGAACTGTGAACAACCCTTGCCTGGAACAGCCCCGATGAGAACAGAACCAGTTTGTCCCTTTCTCCTGAGGCTGAGCTGTCACACCATCAGCTGTTCGCTGCAGGCTCCCTCACCGCAGTGCTTCCTCTTGGCTTGTAGGTGTGGTAAATTCTTAATGTGCCCACACCTTCACTTTGGCGTGCCCAGAGGTTGAGGTTTGAGTAGGCCCTCCAGTTACGGAAATACCGGAGCTGTTTCCGTGCTCAGTTAGTTCTGGTGTTGCTGAACCAATCCCTGTGTGCCCATCCCTTCTGCCTCTGACCATCTGAGGACATTTTGGAGAGTTTTCTGTCTATGCTGTCAGAGACTTTGGTAGCTTTGAACAGTAACTGTCATTTTTTGGGTGTGCTGGTGCCTTGATGCTCAGCCGATAGATTGAAGTATGCCTGGCTTACCGCTGGGCAGCCTTTAGAAGCAGAGCTCAGCCTGTATTGCTTGTGGCATATTCTACAGTAAATGAAGCTGGAAAATTGTGACACGATGTGGGAGTTGGTGTGTCTGTGTCCTGACAGACACCGGTAGACGGAGGGAGCAGTGAAGCCCAGCAGAAAGCGCTCTAGATGTAGACATGGGACTACAGCAGCTTTTCTTCTTCCTTTTTTATTGATTCATGCCCTTAGCAAAGTGATTTATTTTTTATTTTTCTTTGTGTGAAGAAGCAGATAACACTTACCAGCTCCTCTGATGTTTTCTGAAATAGGCAATGTTAAAAGGACCATTGGTGCTAAATGTTGTGGTCTGATGCACAGGTCTTGGTTTTCTTTTTTAGCCCTTTTCCTTAGTGCCATGTACTATCATTCATTCTTTCTAAGTGGGGGCAGTGATCAGAAGGTGGAACCAAAACATTAATATTTTATGGCATATTGCTTCATATTAGAAAGAGTGCTTATGTGTTTGGGTGTGTGACTGGCATCTACCTGAGCCTTGGTGTGGTGAATGCTGGTCCCTGCAAAACACCAGCCCCCACAGCTTCCCTTATCTGTGATCTGGAATAGGAGTCACTCTCAAGTAAGCATTTGTTAAGGATTTACTGCTGTCCTGTGGGAAGCTCCCATGTGCATGACCAGCTTCATGGCTGCCAGCGTTTCAGATGTATTTTTTGGCAGGCACTGCAGCTTTTTGTGTCTCTGTGTAACGGGAAAGTTTACACTGAAGTTCTCATTCACAGGGAGGAGATGAACTCTGGAATAACAGAGCTGGTCCATGGCTGGGGTGCATGGGAACGGAGCTTGCTGTGTTCTGCCAGCCATGGAAAGCCATGTCCTTGGGTCACTGCTGCTGTCAAAGACTTGTCATGGTTTCCACTGTGAACTCTTTTTGCTGGGTTTGCAGCTTGCCTGACAGTCAGTGCAGGGGTGGGAATCTGGGAAAAGTGTATTTCTTGTTATAAAACTGCTGCAGTGTTTTCAGACCCGTTGGAAGCGGGACACAAGCTGTAGCAGTGCCTCTCCTGTGTGCCACTGCTTGTGTTCGGGGTACAAACGCTGTCAGGTGGAGCATCCAGACAAAACTCAGTGGATTCAGCTCAAGTTTTCTAATGACTTTTTGTTAAAACAAATAGAAAAGCATTTTAAAAATGAGCTCTTCAAGGAGTGAACTAAACAAATGGCTCTTCAGATGCAATTTAAATGTGGTGGCTTGAGGGACTAATGCAAGGAGACAAAAGCAATGTCCAGGGGGAGCAAATAATCTGCTGAATGATTTGTGCAGTTTTATACAGCACAAGTGAATGAAAGATGATCGCCAGCAAGATTTAGTCATGAAAGACAGGAAAGCTTCAAGTGAGGTTTTGCTTTTCTATCTCCTAAATTTTAGAGGACAACAGATACTCTCACTGGAAGCCTCCACAGAAGCTCCCTCCCAGAAGCCTGCTGAGCTCTTTGCTGAGCTCTCTCAGAAGAGCCTGGCTCTGTTGTGCATCAAGACATGTCCTGTGCATCAAGAAAATGCCCAGATAGCTTTGACTTGGTTGAGGAGGGGTTAAAGACAGTGGTGATGGTGCTGCTGCACGTCTTCTGCAGCACCTAGATACAGGTTACTTGGGGTTGGGACAGGCAGCTCTCAGTGAGTCTTCCCTGAGATTTCATGAGTCCTGAGATTTCATACATCTTGCGAAGAAAAGATGTATGAAAATGCTTCTCTACCACTGCTTGTCTCTGAGCAAATGTACAGACAGAAGGACCGGGAGGATCCTTGGCCTGGGCCCTCTAAAGGCATTCATCACTGAGCTGTGCTGAGGACGTGCTGAAAGCTGTGTCTGTGGTTCTGCCCCAGTGGCGCTCAGGCAGGATTGATCAGTGTGTCTGTGAGCACAGGGAAGTGGGTCTAATGAGGTGCAGAGTGTCTCGTAGAACTGTGTTATGCAGCCCAGAGTTAATGAGTGGGAATGGGGCTGGCAGGAGCTGTGCTGTTCCATGAGCTCCATGGAGAGAGGAGCGTGCTGTCCCCATTGGGCTGGGCAGGGGGAGGGCCGTGCTCCTGCAGCTGCTGTTGGGCGCATCCTGCTGGGTTAGTGAGGAGATTGCTGAGAGCAGGACACTCAAATCAGGTTATTGAACTCGTTTCTCTGCTTACATTCAGTCTTGACAGTGCAGGATGGTCCCCGGTTACACCAGTGCTAGCAGTTTTGGTCTGAAAAAATGAGCATAATAAGGAAAGAGCAAGGTTGCCTGATGCAGTGAGCACAATCACATCTGGCTTTACCACTCTAAATGTTGGGATTCCTGGCTTTGGTGCTTTCAAGGACTATGCTGATGCATTCGGTGTGCTCTTGGCTCTTGTGTTCCTGTGCCCACTGCTGCAGTGTTACCACTTGTTTTGGATCCTGTTGGGAGCATGCTGAAACAAGAGCAATCTGCCGTAGATATTACATGTGTCTGCCCCAATTGTCAGTTGTCCTTAACGCCTGGCACATGTTTCCATAGCAGTGGTAGACTTGCTTCAAGAGCTGACAGACATTGATACTCTCCATGAGAGTGAAGAAGGAGCTGAAGTCCTCATAGACGCTTTGGTAAGTTGTGAACTCCAGGAATGTCAATGCTTGACGTCTGCTGAAGCACTCCTTTCTGGAAGGAACACGCTCATATTGCAAAACATGCGTAGGCTGGAGATTGTTTTGTGTGGGGAGGGAGCCTGAAGTGATGTTTGTGCCTTGGACTGTGTCCTGCTGAGCTTCATTTGCATTTTTCTTCCTTCTTGCGGGGAAGGGGTGACCTGTTCACCCGTGAAAAGCTGAAGTTCATGGCAGGGCTCTGATCTTTATCTGAAGGACAACGGGGCCACCGTGAGTTTTCAGTCTGGCTTCTTGCGCAGGAGTCAGTTGCCTTCTACCCAGGAACTCCTGTTTCAAACCCCCAATCTGTGCTTGAGCTGGAACGTCTTGTTATAGGGAGGGTGTGTGGTTTTCCTAACAAGAAGTACAAGTTTTCATTTAACAGGGGAATGCATTTTACAGGTAGAGGAGGGTTCAGAGGCCATGATCCTTTTTGGTGCAGAGATTAGACAACCTATGTGTGGCAGAGGCTGCATGGCTCACTCTCCTGCCTGGTTAACCCTCTGGAGTGCCTCTTGGCCTCTGTGGTAGGAGACTTCCCCTTTTTCTGGCATCTGGGCTGGATGCAGGAGGAGGATGCCCTCTGGAGAAGTGTTGCCCCCCCAAAGCCTGAGATCTGTGGGTCCTGCCTTTAGGCAGCTCCTCCTGGCTGGTGCTGCTTGTCTGAATCCCTATGGCTGTGTCTTGTTCTATAAACTATCATGTTGAAATTGGAAGAGTGGGAATTAGGGGTTTTCTTTGTTTGCTTTGTTTGGCTGCTCTGTTCTACAATCCTTTGTGTCCAGTCCCTGTGGTGTTACCTCCAGAGGCTAAAGGCGGTGGCCCCAAGCTGTGTTCCTCCAGCTGCCCTCTGGGCTGTTGTAATTACCCTCCTTTGTGGGCAGATTGCGGATGATGAGATGGAGAGGGGCTGCTGCAGAAGATGTTTTCTGTAAAATGTGCAGCAAGGTAGTAAATCAAGTGAAGTTCCTTCTTTGTTTCCCTTGTCACTGATAATAGCCAAGTTCTAGAGGCTTTATTGTCCTCTTTGAAAGGAACAGGCCAGGCATATCTTGGGAGAAATGTTTAGATCTCTACTTTTGAGGTGACTTCTTCTTTCTTTGAAGAAAGGGGGTGTAATGCTGTAGGGATTTGGGAAGATTGCTGCACTCCCTTCCACACCAGCTGATACTTGTACTGCTTCTGTGTGTTCAGTGGGCCCAAAGCTAGTAGTTAGAATGGGAAATGTTTTTTTGTTTAACTCTCCCAAGCTCATGTCTGTAATGGAGCGTTAGCCAAAGTCAGGGTGGACTCTGCGCAATTGCAGCCTTAAAAGCACACTTACTACTTGTGATGCGTTTTTGGGGAGGAGGCCCCACCTGCAGGTGTGGGTTCCTGCTCCTGACGTTGATCTCTGGGTCTCATTGGCTTGCTTGGAATGTTCAGCTTGCTCAGACCAAGGGAGGCTTCCACTGGGGACCATTCAGCTTCTGGATTTGAGGCTGTGTGTGTAAGCATCAGTCCTTCAGGTTTCTGTACCCCCTAAGGTGGAAGATAGAACAGGAATAAGGGCAAACCAGTGTGACCAGTGGAAATGGAGCTGCTCAAAGGGCTGCCAGCCTGCCCATAGCACCTCCCGCTCGGCATTGCGAGGGATTATGAATCAATCAGGCTGGTTCAGGAAATAAGACTGTGACAAGGTGCATGTTTTCCTCCAGATGTTTTCCTGTTTAATCTGAAACACAAAAGTTGTTTAATTAATTAGGGCAAACACAGCAGCAGATCTACTCAGTGATTCCTTTGTTTCCTTGGAGATTTTAAAGCAAGACTTGTTAATGCCTTCTGCTCATGCCTGGCAGGATGCTTCAGTACAGCTTATTGACTTTTATTATTACCCCCCATTCTCTCTCCTTTATCTTCCTCTTTTTTCAGTCACCTCTTTTCTCTTTTCCTGGTGTTCAGGTGGAGGGCCAGGTTGTGGCCTTGTTGGTCCAGAATTTGGAGCGCCTGGATGAAAGTGTGAAGGAGGAAGCTGATGGTGTCCACAACACACTGGGTAAGTGGCTGTTGCCTGTCACTTCTTTCTCGATGTTGTACAAAGGGGGTGGGTTATCCCTCCCCTTCCTTCCCTCCCTCCTTCCCCTCTGAATTGCCCAGCCCTACCATTGAGGACCCAGTGCAGCTTTTCAAGCACAACTGAAGCTTGTGGCAAAGCCTTGTCCCCTGTGCCAGTGTTTGGTGCCTGGCTGCTGGTAAGGGGCCTCCTCCCAAAGCGGGTACACAGGGAGGTGCTGCTGCACAGCTCAAGCTGCACCAGGAGATCTCCACGGCCCCCGTATTTACTGTGTTCTTACTGTGAGCTCTACTCATTCTGTTGCAAGAGCTGTTTATGTCTTAGCAATATATTTAACTTCCAAATAGTAAAACATTTGCATTTCCTGGAAGTACATCATTACCTCTCCCCGGTCTCAGCACAGCACAGTAACTGCTTTGCAGTATGTGCCTGTTATTAGCATTTAGACCATAATTTGAGACTGTCATCTCCCGAGGACTGGAAGAAGGAGGGCGACTGGAAACATGAGGTTTGGAAGTTTTACTGCTGCTGTTCCTGTTAGTTTAGTTCTGAGCAGTGAGAATTGGGAAGTATCTTGGGCTTCTTCAAGTAGGAGCTGGTGTCACACTGAGGATGGGCTGTGTGGGCAGTGTGAAAACAGAGGGTATTGTACAACTCAGCCTAAGTCTCGCTCAACACAAAGGTGGTTTTTGGAGCAAGATGTGAGGAGAGTGGTGCAACCCCAGCAAAGCAGAGCTGGCGCAGGCCAGAGCTGCAGGTGGGAACCTGTGTTCTGTGTCTTTCTTTTCAGCCATCGTTGAGAACATGGCAGAGTTCCGTCCGGAGATGTGCACAGAGGCTGCGCAGCAGGGCCTCATGCAGTGGCTGCTCAAGAGGCTGAAGGTGAGTTCCTCTTCCCCTGTCATTTGGGAGATAGCCCAATAAAAACCAGAAGCTGCTGTGATCCACACGGTGCTTGGCACAACTGAAAGGCCCAAGACTGTCTGGAAGGAGTTGGTTCAATGTGTAAGTACCACCACGTTCCTTACCTCAAGCACCAGTAGTGCCAGAACTCTCCCAGCGCCTGCCTTCCTCCTCCAAACCAGTTAGTAAAATAAGCCAGGTGTGTGTGTGTGTGTGTGTGTTACAGAAGCCAAGCTAAGGACAGCAAGGCAAAAATCGGTGTTTGTGTCCTCTGTGGTTTAGTTTAAATGAACATGATTGCATCTTGTCTTGATGTCTTACAGCATTTCTTTTCTGTTGGTTTGATTCCTGTATGGTGGATTTCTGGTCTGTGGCTGAGATTTGTAGGGGTATAAAAGCTGACAACCAGTGAGCGGGGGAACTATTGCAGAACACTTCATGCCTGTGCTTCCTGTGTTTCTAACACTTCTTTGGGTTTCAAGTGGTGCCTTTGTTTAACTGCTGCTGGTGGCTTTTTCTTTGAACTCCTCTAATTGCATTCTGAATTCAAAATGACTTTTCAGTACTCTTTGCATCCTATGGCAGTGAGCTGCAAAGTGAGCTGCTCTGTCCTGTGTGAAGAGATGCCTAAACATTCCCTGGAAAATCCTGCAGGAAAGGAATGGACAGTTCAGCTGTCTCAGAATTAGGGAGGGAAATAGAGCAAACAGGTTCTGACCTTTCCTAACCCTGTTAGTAAGGCCTTGGCACTTCTATATTTTAACGTCTTTATGGTTAAAGGCCTCTGATTCACAGAAATACTTCCTCAGCTTTGTAAATGTGCAGATACCCCTCTGTGTACCTCATGTACTTGCTAGCCAAAATAACCTATAATTTCTCACTACAGGTACTAGCATAATTGTATTCCTTTTGCTCAAAACCCTGAAAGTGAAGGTAATTTTAGTTCAGGAAGGTCTGTGCTGCTGCCAGCCTCATGATTGCACTGGCAGCTGAAAGGCTGAGGACCTGTGGAGAGCAGAATAACCACAGCTTGGATTCCTCAGTGTGGTGCCACCAAAAATGGATGTTCAGGTTGTTCAGGATGTGGTTCTGAAGGCATCCTTGCTTTTTCTTCAAATTCAGCAGTTTGGTTTCATTATGATTTCTCTTAACATATTTGAGTTATGAAGGGAGCGAAGGAAATTGAAATGCTGTGACTGTGCAGGCTAAACCCACCCTGTGTTCAGTGACTGGGACATCAGGACCCTTGTGAAACTCTGCAGTTTCTATTTTGTGTCACTGTGAGGTATAGTCTGAAATTCAGGTGTCGGTGACAGCGCAGCCTTTCAGAATAGGGATGAGCCCAACATGCTCATGTAACCTCATGGTTATACTGTGCTGGGGGGTGTGAGCCAACTTGGTCAAACCTACTCCTGTAGGACAGCAGGGGAGGGATCAGAGCTGTTGCTACCCCTGTGTGTGAGCACACCCCCAGCCTGGAGGCGGTCATTGCTGCTTTGTCACGGCCATACTGCAATATTCTCACTGTATTTGGTTTAAGTGTCGCCCAGACACCTGGGGATTTGATTAATGTGTTCTTGAAGACAGTGAAGCGGTGCTGTGCCCTGATGGGTCTCTTGTTCCTCCTTCACCAACAGGCAAAGATGCCTTTTGACGCCAACAAGCTGTACTGCAGTGAGGTGCTGGCTATCCTGCTCCAGAATAACGATGGTGAGATGTGCCCTGGTATCAGTATCCTGGTAGGGTGGGAGTCAGGCTTCTCTCTGACCACAGCAGCACTCCTCTGCCTCTGGCATCCTCTGCTGAGCTCTTCCTGTGCTGTGCTTTCCTGCAGACTCATGCATCCTCTCCTTCTCTGCGGCTTTTGTACTCTGTCAAGCCGTATTGATTTTGTTTGCTGATGTATCAGTGTTAGATGGCTGTAAAATCTGACAGTTAGCTTCATTTTTCTCTCTCTTTTCCCCTTCCCCCCACCTCCGTCTAGACAACAGAGAATTGCTTGGGGAGCTGGATGGGATCGATGTGCTGCTTCAGCAGTTATCCGTGAGTAATTCACACACGTCCTCTCCGCGTTGGAGGCTCCTGGGCTGGGTGGGAGGAGGTGGAGCAGGCTCTGGGTGTAGCACTGCCGTGGCAGGCAGGAGATGCTGAAGCACTGCTGTGCTTTCTGTTTACTGGTGGCATCGTCCCTGCGTGACTCGGCCAGGGGCTCTCTGGTAATGAGCTTATCCATGTGCTTCTGTGAACTGCCAGTGGTGAATTTGCCTTTCCCTTTGAAGGCTTGTATGGTCTTTAAGTCACACATTAGTCAGTAAGGGATCAGGGCAGCAGAGTTACAAGAGGGAGTGCATTGATGATGGGTGCGATTGCTGGCTTGGGCACATCTAATGCTGAAGGCTTGTGATAGAAGATGTTCGTGTGCCCTACAATGGTGTGCACCACAGTGGGCCCTCCATTTGAGGTAATTCTGCTTTCTTTGTCATGTAGGTGTTTAAACGACACAACCCTGGTACAGCTGAAGAACAGGAAATGATGGAGAACCTCTTTGACTCCCTTTGCTCCTGCCTAATGCTCAGCTCCAACCGGGATCGCTTCCTGAAGGGCGAGGGTCTACAGCTGATGAACCTGATGCTGAGGTACCCACACAGCTGTGGTTTTCTTGCCTGCCTTTGACATGCCAACACGCATTCTGGCTAGATAGTTGTGTTTTTCTGTTTCTAAAACTTCTGTTAGCGTATTTGTCTGTCTTTCCAACATGTATGTCAGACCTTCTCAGACATAAGCTCCACTCTGTCTTTAGCCCTGTTTCCTAAGAACAGGGGTTACTACGGAGCCTCAGGAAAGTAACTGTGCAGGTCAGTGGGGCAGACCCCCAGGTGGAAGAATGCCATGGGTCAGGCCACTAATCCCTTGAGGATTTAAGACCCCTGTGAGGGAGAACCTTTGGATGTGTGTAGGGAAAACATTTTTCTTTTGTCGCCGGTTGAAGCTTTGCTGTGCTCTGTGTCCTCCAGTTTTTGGGGGTATTGATACAAAACCTGGTTTTGTGAAGTGGGCACAGGTATTTGTTTCTCTTGTGTGTATCCTGTCACACCGTGAGTCACCAGAGCTCCTCCTCAACCCTCGCCCCATCCTGTCTGGTGTCCTCTGTGCTGGCTGGCTTCCTCCAGACTGTGGGGTTGGTTGGCAAATGCCACCACGAGGCGCTGTGTTCCTGCAGCGCGCGGCTGGCTCATGTGCAGCAGCAGGGAACTGAATAAAGAACCGAACGTGGATTATTCAGACAGGAACGCTGGGTTTTCTTCAGGCTAATTAAAGAAAAGCTCCAAAACTAAGACCGAGAGGGAAGGCTCCCCCTGCCTGAGCGCTAAGCTGCTAAGCCAGCCTTGCAGAACTAATGACTTGGCATTTTTGCCATGTGGGTGGGACCAGCATTCAGTTTTTAATGGCTTTTTCCCCATTTTTGGGCTCTGCTGTTTGCCACTCTCTGCACCAGGATCCCAGCTGGAAAATTAGCACGAGGGAAATTTCTTCCTGGATACGTTTCTCCCCATCAGTAGTTGCAAAAGGATTAGGAGGGACAAAGCATGACTGAACTGCCAGCAGCAGCTTGTCTAATGAAGGAGTGTCCAAGACCTCAATGTTCAATGCTTTGGGACCTATGGATGGGGTTGGTAAAGTGACAGTGGGGAAAGAAAGGTAACAAATCGTGAAATATTTTTCAGAAGCTTCTGTCACTGCTGCCCATAAGCACAGGCTGTACTGACAGTTGATGGACTTGTTTATTTTAACTCTTGTACTTACCTGACGTAGATTAGAAGAGCTGAAGCTCTTAGCTGGCTGTTTGAGCAAACAGCGCTTTGGTGAGGACACACAGAACGTTTCTGGAGCTTTCAAACCACCAGACAAAGCCAGGTGCCTGAGAACTGACTCTGCAAGGGTTTGTGGTGTGTTTGCTTGTGGGTTTTTTACATGTTTTAATAGCCAGAAGATATTAGATGGCTGTTACTTCTGTTAAGCACAGTTATCACTGGAGTGTTCTTGGTGGGTGTTTAAAAGCTCCTTGAGGTGCTCAGTTTTCTTGAGCAATTCTGCTTTGGGAACAGCAGGCTGGTGTTGTACATGGGGAGGGAGCTGTGGTAGTTGTCATCTGGGACTGCACGGGAGTATCGTGCTCCTGTGTCTTCGTGATCCCTCCTAATAACCAAGGCAGAAGAGCAGTGCCACGCTGCTGTGATTGACCACCTCGCCCACAAACAAGGCACAAGTATTTTTCTCTGCTGTCGGTGTCCTCTGAAGGCTGGGGGCAGAGATCTGTTACTTTTTGGTGTTACTTTGAAGGTGGTTAATCATTGTACCGTGGTCTCTGCAGATGAAAGGACAAATAAGCAAAGTTGAAAGTTTATTGATGTGAAGGGAGATAGATAAGCTGTGTGAGAATAAAGATACCAGGCTGGGATCTCCGTTACTGCCTTCGAGAACACAGCATTCTGTATCTCATGCTGCCTGATCCATCTGCCCTGCTTGTTCTGTTAGTAATGGACCTGCCCACAGACCTGCAGGGAAGTTGAGCATCTTCCAGCTGAGCAGGTAGCAGGCTTGAGACATTCCTGTGGGCAGTAATGGAAACAGGGCTGTTTGCTGCTATGGTGAGCCTTAGAATGTGTGGCCAATAGTACAAGGGGATGTTGTACTGTGAGAACTTCTACTGGTTTATGGGAGATGGTGATAACACCTGAAAATGAGCACAGTTTGGGTGATGGGCTTCACGTGCATGTCGATAGCAGTCAGTGTCCTGAGACCTGATTGAGCAGGATGGGGCCTGTGACAGCAGAAATGAAGCAGGAGGTTTTGGAGGGGAGGGGGAGAGCATGGGTGTATATTATTATTTGGTCTGCATGTTGGCAGCAGCAGAGGCTGGTTTATTTTATGGAGTGTCTTTATAAAACATGAGGTGGTTTATCAAGGTGGGAGCCACCAGTGGAAAGTTTATAAATGTCACATGGAATAAAAGTCAATTTAATGCTTTTAGGTCAGGAAGCAGTCTTTAGAGCAGAGCCCCTCAGCCTCGGTAACCTAACTGCAGTTTACCTTACAGAGCCAAAAGAGAAGCCCAGGCGTGTGGTGTCAGCTCCTCGCACGGTGACAGGAAGCTCATTGGTTTTGCTGCTAAATTGTGTTAAGGTTTGGAGGAGAAGCAGCCGCTCGGTTCCCAGGGGAAGATTCCCTGTTGCATAGGGAAAACGACGTGTGGCTTTCCCAGTTATTAACTGGGGGCACGTGAGTGTGCACAGGGACAGACGTGGCAGACGGCGCTCATGGCCATGTACATGGCTCAGGCAGCGTGGTCTGGCTGTGTGGCTGCTCAGTGGCTTTTCTTCACGCTGGAAAAGCATTTGCTCTGTGCAGAAAAGCCAGGGTGAGGACAGGCAGCTCTATCCAGCTCCCCAGAGCTCAGCTCCAGCCATTCCAGGGTGGCTTTTTTATGATGTTAAAATCCTTTTATGTTTTCTTGTCCTGCTGTTCCTAATGACCCTGTGGAAACTTAGACTGTCTCTTTACCAAATCTGGTGGTTAATTAAATGGAACCATTTTATGCTGCACTTTCCCAGGAAATCTGGTATTTTGAAAGTGGGGAATTGTGTTATGCTAATGTGGAAAGTCCAGATAATGTTCTTACCTCTTCTTTTTGAAAAAATAAATGCACCAAGAGAGTTCTCTCAGATGTAGGGGTATTAAAAGGACGAAAACCATGGTTAGCAAATAAAGTTGTAACTTGGGGTCCCCTGTGAAGACTGCGGTCACTCCCTGTCTGGTGACACTCACCTGTACTTGTCTTTGAATGAGTGTGCAGCTAAAAGTTACGTCAATAAGCACAGATGAAACCAAGATAAACTGCTTGCCCTCCGGAAGAATAAATATTTCAAATAAAATCAACTGGAGACAGTCCAGTCGAGCAGCTATTGATCTCTAAAAGCCTGAACTTAAACCATTGCATATTCCAGAGATCAGCTCTCTGCAACCTTCCTAAATGCTGATCAATATGCAGCTGCTTCCCCTGAAAACATCTCATATTGTCTGGCCTCAGAAGTACTTTATTTTTAGCTGTCTGTGGAGGGGAGGAGTGGTGCTGAGCTTCCTCCAGCACCGCTCTGGGGTTGAACTGAGCTGCACCAGCTCCCAGCAATACACGGTGCTTTCAGCACAGCTCAGTGCCAGTGGGAGCCCTGCAGCTGTGCTGGGCAGCTTCCCTCTGGGCAGGGTGTCAACACAAGCTTCTCAGTTTGCCTGTTGTGAGGGGTTCATGAAGGGAAGCGGCTGCTTTTCTGTTCCCATTGCCCAGGATGTTTTCATTTTTCCCCTGGATGAATTATAAATTCCTCAGTTTCTGGCTTAAGAGGTACCAGACATTTTGAGAGCGTTTCTAGACCAGCCAGGTTGCATTAGCATTCTGAACCTGCATTAAACCAGAATAGCCCAGAACCTATCTTCATCCTTCCACACGTGATTTCTGGAGATGGGGTTTTCTTCATTACAGCTGACCACCAAGCTCTGCTTACCAAGCTTACTGCTTTATTGAATTGAGTTATTACTAGATCTAAATCCTGATCATCTTGGTGTGTCAGTATGTGCCTTGTGTACCCAACCCAACTCTGCTGCTGCTTTGTGCTGCTGTTTGCAGGGTGGTGAGGAAATAACTTCTTCCCTAGCCAGGAAATAAATAAGAAAATAAAACCATAGCAGTAAAGTATATAAAATGAAATAAAAATGAAATAGAAAATAAAAATAAATAAAAGACATTAAAAAAGAAATAACCAAGAGAATACTCTCAGCCACAGTTCTGAGAAGAATATTTGTCAATATAATGGTTTGGCTCGAAGAAAATCTTTCATAGAGCTTGTGCTTGGGCTCTTTGAACTTCCCTTGTCATACCTGTTTCCCTTTCCATGCTGTCTCTTTAACATAGTGTGGTCCAAAGCTCCTCATGTCCCTGAAAAGTCCAATCTGCCTCTTTTCAGAGAGAAGAAGATCTCCCGCAGCAGTGCTCTGAAGGTGCTGGACCACGCCATGATCGGACCAGAGGGCACCGATAACTGCCACAAGTTCGTTGACATTCTGGGCCTGAGAACCATCTTTCCTCTCTTCATGAAATCACCCAAAAAGATAAAGAAAGTTGGAACAACTGAAAAGGAACACGAAGGTGGGTGTGCTTCAGATCCTCCTTATTGCTGTAGTGGAGGTGGATGGATGGTGAGCGTCTGATACGTGCCTGCAGGGAGGGAACAGCACATCACTGCCTGTTCAGGGCTCCTCCTGCTGCTGGGAGCATGCTTGCCACTTCCTTCTGATATCAGCACTTCTGGCAATTCCATTTCATGTGCTGGTAATAAGTTATTTTACTCCTGTAGGGTCTGTTGTTTGAAGCTCTGACTCTGATGCAAAACTCCTTTGAAAAGAGTAATGAGGCAACTACAAATGTCACCTCAAAAGCAGTGTTTTCATGGCTCTGAGCACTGAAGTGTGACTCAATGAACATCAAGCATTGCAGAAATAAACTGCATGCTTTTGAAGTTGCCTTTTTTTTTTTTTTTTCCCTTTTTCTATTTTTTTCCCCCTCTCTCCCTGGAAAAGTGCTTTAACAGAAATCCGTGGAGTCTTAACCACAGGACCTTGTGCCGGACTGAATCAGGGTCAGTCCCTCTTACTTCTGGTAATGTCATGGTTTTTATTTTGTTGATAACCACAGAATCCCAGACTGGTTTGTGTTGGAAGGGACCTTAAATTTCATCCAGTTCCAACCCCCTGCCATGGGCAGGGACACCTTCCACTAGAGCAGCTTGCTCCAAGCCCCATCCAGCCTGGCCTTGAACACTGCCAGGGATGGGGCAGCCACAGCTTCTCTGGGCACCCTGTGCCAGCGCCTCAGCACCCTCCCAGGGAAGAGCTTCTGCCTAAGAGCTCATCTCAGTCTCCCCTCTGGAAGGTTAAAGCCATTCCCCTTGTCCTGTCCCTACAGGCCCTTGTCCAAAGCCCCTCTCCAGGTTTCTTGTAGCCCCTGTAGGCACTGGGAGCTGCTTTAGTGCCTCCCAGAGCCTCCTCTTCTCCAGGCTGAACCAGCCCAGCTTTCTCAGCCTGGCTTCAGAGCAGAGCTGCTCCAGCCCCTGGAGCATCTTCCTGGCGTTGTCTGGACTTTCTTGAGCATGTGGCTTGGGATGAGCTTGTTATGCTGCCAGTGATGCTTGAGGCTTTGTGTCAGTTCATTACTCAGTTCTGTAAAGGGTGAATGTTGTCAGAAGCTGGAGAGGTGTGAGGGGGTCTCAGGCTTGTCTCATATCCGTCCTTAACTCTCGCAGCAAACCAAGGGAAAATGAAAGGAATCGGCAACAAAACAGGAGCTGTAACCCCATGTGTCCTGTTGTGGAGCTGTCCTCACAGCTTGGGTAGAACCAGTGTTCCCCAAAGCAGAGGCAGGAGGTGTCCCCTCTTGTGGACCCCACTGCAGAGGTCACCTCATCTGCTTGTTCTGCTCCCCCCCCCCGGACAGGCTGGTGAGGGAAAGGAGGCACAAATCCAGCCAGTAGCTGTTTTCTGGTAAACTCTGCCCATGGTGAGCTGGTGCTGTTTGTTCAAGCACCATGGCTAAGAGCTGCTAACGCCACTACCGAAGGCAGCGGCAGCCACAGAGGTGGTTCTGCTGCCTCCTCTGTCTTGACCATGTGCCTTGTCCTAGACAGGTAATGGTGGGGATAGAATCTGCTGTGTGCTCTGAGGTGTATGTGGTAAAATGGCAGGGATTGGTTTGATTTATCTAGACGGTGTAATAAAATCGTGGGTTTGGGTGTTAAAATACCCAGTTGTGCTCAGATGGTGGATTCAGGGGATGTTCTGAAATCTTCATTTGCAGCATGAAAAGGAGGTTGCTTAATTCTGCTGTGAGAAAGCTTGAGCTAGAACGTGAGGCTCTGAGCAAAGATCTGGGCCTGTGGCTCATGTCATCAACTTAGATTTCCAGTTTGGGAAGGCGGGTTAAACCCTGTCTCATCTGCTTAGTCTTGAGACTGCAGATGACATCTGAGTGCAGCCTTGGCTCCTGTGGGGATCAGGCAGCAGCCTGGAAAGCTCTGCCAGGCCTGATCCTGCCCGTGTATGTGATAGCAGAAGAGGCAAATGTGCCCTGTGGGAGACCAGCGCGATGCATGCATCCAGCCTGTGCCGTGCCTCCATCTCCTTAGTATTCAGAAGAAACGGAGGACATCAAGATGAGGCCAGAAATTGGCTTTATTAAAATAAACTCTCCCTAAAAGGCTGGGGCAGTAAGTCCAATTTTCTTTGTCTTGCATCGCTGGGCAGGTGAGTCCCTGAATTTCTAAAGAGGGAGTTAATTGAGACGTTTCGCAGGTGCCCGGAGCCCGTCGCAGCCGTTGTCCCGACACGTGTCCAGCAGCACAGTGTGGTTTTACTTTGCTAAATGTTGCCCAGCAATCCCCTGTGCTCAGGACAGTGCTGTCAGCTCCAGGAGCCACTGGCTGGTCGGGAATGGTGCAGAATGGTGTGGGGCTGGTGTGGCTGAGTCAATGGCCTCTGTGCTGTGTTATTCTAGGAAGGAGCTTCCTTCTGCAGCTCTCCTTCTTGTTTGTTTATCAGAAAGGATGCAGTGGTCAGTCTTGTCATTCTGCACTGTAAAAACTTCATCCTGTGTTCCCAGTGTTTAGAAAATTCACATTAAAAATGAATTAGCATGATCCTCTTCCGCTGCAAGAGCGTTCCTGTGCGTGTCCAGTGGAGGAGAGATTCCTTTACAGGATTAACCAGGAGAGCTTTGTAGCAGAGGCCTCAGTATTTGTTAAAAGCAGTTCTAAGGAGCTGTGCTGTGCACGGGTGCACTGTAAGGCCACTGGGTCACAGACCTGGTCACACTGCAACTACGGGGTCCTTAATGGGCTGGTGACCCTGGAGCCTGATTACACCTGCTTAGAGGACAGCCATGCTGAGAGATTCAGCACTGGGAGAGGGACAGGATGGCCCTGCCAGAGATGCTTGTAACTGAGACTGTCCCCCCACTGCCGGTCTGGGTGTTCCTCACCTGTAGCAGCAGCAGCAGTGCCACTGGTACTGCACTGCCAGGGCTCAGGGATGCTTTTGCTGTGCTTCACTGCAGGGACACTCTTCTCATGCAGTGCTCAGTCCTTAGAGCACAGAATCTTTCCTGTGTGCCTGATGGTGGTTGGAAAATACTCCCCTTGTCTGTCTTTATGGTAGTGTTGCTGTTAACACAAGAGTCAGTCTATAAAATACTGTTTATTTTATTGTCTTGAGGGCGGTGTTCCGGATGTGGCAAAATAATAAATACCCTGGTGGAAAAAACCTCTCTCACTGGGGCTTGGTGAGCTTTATTTATTAAAGAAATTTATAATCCAAATTAAATTTGATAAAAATATCTCCTCTGTAATGCATTTTTCTCGCTTTAAAAGCTCCTGTAAAGGTGTCAGTGCTGGTTAGCTCCATTTTAAACACTGTCACTGTTTAAAAATTATTTTCCTCTAGGGAGCCTGGGAACAATTTTAAACCCAAACTGCACATATTTATGCTTTATATATACTGTGTAATTAGGAAACAAGAGAGGGAAAAATTCTTAACTATCTTTATGGATGATCTGAGCCTGAGCTCAGGCTGGTGGTGTCTGGCTGCGTACGTGTTATCTGTGCCTGAATTTTGCCTGACTTTGTACAGATGATGATCTGCATCTGAGGAGGTTGGGTTTGGGAGAAAAATCTCATTTGAAGCAATTTCCCTTTTCCTGGGGCACTGAACAGCTCTAAACAGAAATATTTTTAGTTGATGGCAGGAATGGTTTAGAATTTTCTCAGGTCTGTGGGGTCCAAATACCTGCGAGTGTCCCAGGTCCCAGCCCCGGAGGGAGCCAGCCCATGGCTGTGGTGAGCAGTCTGGCCTGGGCACGGCTGCGCTGCGGGGCTGTGGAATGGTGTTGGGGGTTGTAGAGTCCCCTCGGTGCTGTGTGGAGTAGGTGAAGGTGGAGAAATAGCCACAGGTATTACTGCAGCAATGTCTCATTCCACCCGATGCTCAGTGTTGGTTTCTGTGACTGTCTGCCTCTGGCAATCGTCCTGGTGAAGGGTTGTGATTCCCCCCCGGTTGTGACCCAGGGGTGTCAAGCCAAAGGCTGAGCACCATGCATGGTGCAGCACACTGTGGCTGAAGCCGCTCCTTATGGCTTATCTGTGTGGTTAATAGGACACGGCTGTGTAACAGAGCTACCTGTAGTGAGCACCGGTAGAAAGGTAGAGGCCAAACTGTGGAGATGTGCTCTTGGCCACTGTGAGCCTGGGGGCTGCATCAGGCACGTGAAATGGTGACATCTGCCCTGTTCAGGTGTCCTGATGGGGACCCTGCTGGGACCTGGTGGCCCTGCTGAGCTGAGCTGGAGGAGCAGAGATCAAGTGTCTGGCGTGTGACCGCAGGGAGTGAGCAGGAGCTGGACTCTGGGTGGTTCCTGGTGTACATACAGGGTAAGGTTTGAAATGATGGTTCTGTTGTGACCTCTGACTGTGGGGGTTGCTGTGTGTCTGTGCCAAAAACTGCTGCTGCAGAGCTGGGGATCAGCTTGTCTCCATATCCACAGGGCTGCAGCAGCTCTCGGAGCTGGAACCTGAAACTCTCAAACAGTCTCAGTGGGCTAAAGATGGAGAAAACCAAATTCCCTCTGAAATGGCATCTGTAGTGCAGCAGTTGTGACCTGCTCCATGAGCTGGAGGTTCCCCTGTGCTTCCTCAGGATGGTAATTTCCAGCCTAGTTTTGCCCACTTGGAGAGCCTAATGAGGTACAAAAGGCTGTTTGTCCAATTCATCTTCATTTAAATGCCTTCTCTTGACTTAGATGTCAGGTTTACTTAGGAATGCTTAATTTGATACTAAGAATTAGTTCAGCCAATTTCCAAATGAGAATTCCTATTGCTGTGATGTCTTGTCCCTTCTCCCTCTCACAACAAGGAGATACTCAGCTGTACACCTGTGTAAAAAGCAACAGCAGAAACCCCATTTCTTAGTAAATGTGCTCCTGCTCCTGTGTAGAAGATGCTGACAGGCAGCAAAGCCCCTGGAATGAACCTGCTGCAGACCCAGCTCCCCGGGCATGGACCGGACCAGTGAGAAGGCAGGCACAGAAAGCGGCCTGATGAAGAATTATCTCTGAACTGGCCTCTCTGGCAGCCGCAGGGGAGCGTCATTCGGTGCTCTGCTGAAGTGGATACCTGGGGAAGGCATCAGCCTGTTTAAACAGGGCTTTATTATGCCTATTTGTTATTTTACCGTCAAGCCTCCAGAACGCGACAGGAATCTGATGGGAGTGAGCCATGATGCTGAGGGCAGAGTTAGATTTATCTCAATTAGTGCTCCCTGCTACAGGAACACCACAAAAAGAAACTTTCCCAGTCAACAGACAGAATTCTGTTCTATATTCAGCATGATGGTGGGGTCCAGCTCACAGGGGCGTTGTGCATGGAGCTCTTCTGGCCTTTCCAGGTCCTGCTTTACCCATCAGTAATGTCAGTGTTTTACTGTTGTCAGTGTTTTAAGATTTATCTTGGCAAAATACTGTGATACTTGAGAGGGTTACTCTGTTAGAATGCAGTTATTAATGCATGTGGAAAAAGGTAAGCTTGTTAGATGCTGCACCACTGCAGTAGTGTGACCCTGGTTCCACCAACACAAGTGAAGAGCAGTCAGTCTGCTGCAGCTTTACAAGGCTGCACTGCAAACCCTCTGTCGGAGCCTCACATGCATCCCAAACCAGCCTGGAGGAGGGTCCTGGTTTCAGCTCTGACAGTTATTTTTCTCCTTCCTCGTAGCTGGTGCAGTACTGTGTGTTGGCTTCAGTCTGAGAGCAATGCTGGTAGCACACCGATGGTTTAGTGAGTGAATGGCTGTGTGGTGCTGAGTTACTGGCTGGGATTGTACCATGACAAGGAGAAACTCCTGAAGTCACCTCTTGGTATTCCTCTCCTGCTGTGGATTTGGGCTGGGAGGGATGCAGGCTGTGTCCTGGCAGGTTTGGCAGCGTGGCCTTGGTGCGAGCATCCTCCTTCCTGGCTCTGGTCTTTGTGATGTGCCGGGGCTCCATCCATATTTCCCAGCAGAGGCATGAACTACAGAGGTTTGTGCTTAGGAAGTGGAGAAGTTTCTACAAGAGCTGTTTTCTCTGTTTCCCCTGATATTTTCCTGCTTTGAATTTATCTGGAGACTTCTTTAAAAGACAGAAGGCTCTGAAGTGAATTCTGCTGGGTTCACCAGGATATCACCAGGATGCCCAGGAGCATGCTGGCCTCCTCTACACCCGTGCTGCAGGGGAGTGGGCTGGGAGGCAGGTGTCTGATGGAATGAAATGTAAAAAATCAAGGGGGGGGGGGAGTATAATAAAGGCAGAGGAGGGTAATGTTGTGGCTTGATGTGACAGGACCTCCTGCTGCTGCAGCTGCCAGTGCCAGCCACGGAACAGATTAATCTGTATTCCAGCCTGCCTCCGCCGAAGTCAAGATTGATCTAATTAGGGTGGTTCAACCGCGGCTGCATCCTGAAGCCTCTGTGCCCGTCTGGAGAGGGAAGAGCTCCGGGGAGCGGGGTGAGCCTGTCCCGGGCAGGATGGAGCGGCCGGGCTGCGGCTGGCGCAGGGGAGCAGGAGCCGCCCCGTGTGCGGGTGAGAGGCGCCTCTGACCTCGCAGCGCCGCGCAGTCGGGAGGCGGTGGTGTTCCCGTGGCGGTGGTTCCGGGGCAGCCTCCGTGCCGCTGGCTTTCAGAGCGCTCGGATCCGCTCCTTCTGGGAAGCGGGGCTGGCGGCAGCGCCTGCCTCTGCCCTTGGCACTTCCTGCGCAGGGCTGTGGATGCTGAGGGATGCAGGCAGGATCATGAGGGGCTCCCGCAGCGTTCAGGGCGGGCAGGGACCCCGAGGCAGCGCCCCAGCTTGTGGCCTGTCTGCCAGTGGAGATCAGGGCCGGGCAGCCCCACGGTTTGCTTTCAGGTATAAGGAACAGCACCAGCTGCTAACCCTGCTCCGAAGAGGACCCGACCCTGAGCAAGTGCTGTGGTGATGGACTTGTGGTTGTTGGGGTTTGTTTGGCAGGAGCTGCAATAGAGCATAATTGGGATTTGGGGGGGCAGGATGGGGCACACCGGCGCGTTTCTTTCAGGAAGCTGATAAAAAGGTTTATATCGTTTAGAAATATTTCTGCAAAATAGTGTTGAGCATCCTGAGGAGGCAGCTGAACCTCTCCCGGGGTTCTGGAGTGATGTGTTGAAAGAACAACCTCCTTCTTAAAAGCCCATGTCAGCTGCTCCAGGCTTCTCAGTAGTTGTAAAGGTTTTACTGAAAACATGGATAAATACCTGCATGTGCGCACCAAAGCAAGAATGGTGGCAAAGCAAAAATGCATTTCCTGGTGAAATATAGTGTAGAAATATTCCAATGAATATTGAAAAAAGGCACTGAAGATACATCATTGGTGAGAACATGACTGCTAAAGTACTGTGTCAACACTTCTAAACGCTTCCAAAAACAGAAGGTTGGGGGGAATAGTGTGAGATGCAGAGCGCTGGCTGCCTCCTAAAGCAGCAGCTGCTGCTGGAGTAGATTTAAAATAAGAAGTCTTCATTTTGCTGTATATTTACCTGAAGCAAACAGGATCTTACAGGGACGTTGGAGGCTTTTACTGTGTTTTTAATGTAGAGCCTGTGTCTGGTGGTGGTTCCGTGGTGTGGTCACTCCTGTGCCACAGGCAGATCTGGAGCCATCACCCTTCATCCCTGTTCGCTGCCCAGTCAGGAGCAGCCGCGGCTCTGAGACCCATAAACCTGTTCTCCACCCACTCCTCCCCATCTCTTTGGTGCATGAAAAATCGCTACCACCTCAGGCAGAAATCTGTTCCTGGAAGGAAGCCCCATTTGTAGTGGCTAATGGAACGGGGTGCCTGCGTGCTCCGTGCCACAGCGCAGATAATGCATACAGAGGAGAGGGGACAGGGACAAGGACAGGGCCAGGCAGCCTGGGCAGCTTCATCTGCCTGTGGAGGCTCCCTGCAGATGTGTCTGTGCCACTTGTCCTCTGTACGTGGTGCCATTGATCATGGCTGCTCCTGGCTCCAGGCAGCACCATGGAAATGTGTGTTAGCGTGGCTTGGCAGCGGGAAGATGATCATCCCTTTCCTCTGCACGCTGCGTTTTCCTCTCTGAACAGACCCAGTCTCAAGGCCCTTCCCTCCCCACCACCGTGGGTGAGGAAATGTTTATGGTCGTTATTTTTCATGAGTCTTAACCAGCAAGATTCCATGAGGACATCTTGGAGAAGCTGCAGTTGTGAATCTGTTGAGGTATCTACAGCATAAGGTCTAAAACCCTGCAGCCTGTGGAGCTGAGTGGGGCAGAACCTGGGCTTTATGGGAGCTGCTTTTTCCAGGTCACTGAGGACGAGCAGGGCTGTGATCAGTGTGTGGCAGGAGTAAGTGCACAGAACCAGAGGAGACATCCCTGCCTGGGCTGTGCAGGCTGAGGAGCTGCCTGGCCTCCTGACAGACTTCCTGCTCCTGCTGCTCCTGCTCTGCCTCCTCGTGCCAGTGATGGGACGAGACCAGGGTTCTGCTTATCATCAGCTACACACAGGAGTGCAAGGAGTAAATTTGATGCCATGTTACAGAGTAAATGAGCCCCCGTTCCTGATCTCAGCATGCAACTTTCATTTTGTATCTCCAGAGCATGTCTGCTCCATCCTGGCCTCCCTTCTGCGAAACCTGAGAGGGCAGCAGAGGACACGGTTACTGAATAAATTCACAGAGAATGACAGTGAGAAGGTGAGTGCTCGGTGTGTGGCTGCCGGATTGGGAGGATACTCAGTACCAGCAGATTGCCTCTTTGCACTCAGTGAGCTACTGAAAAGCCTCGTGGTACCTGCTGCAGGGACTTACGTGCTCATTTATGGTGTTATCCAGAAGCTGGAAGACTGGAAGTGCCTTTAGCACTTGGCCTCCCACATCCCAGGGGCTTTTGTTTCCTCTTGCACACAGCAGTAGTGATGCTCAGTCCCAGGCTGTGTCTCTGCTGCAGGCTGATGATGTAACACATTCCGTGGTTTCACATCACACCAGCTCTGAAACCAGGGCAGTGGGGAAGGTGCTGGTGTTTGTAGTGAAGCTCTTTTGCAGGGAGTCGAGGAATTGCTGTAGTACACGTGTAGCATTCCTCATGCTTCTCCTAGAATGTGTCCCTTCAGTGGTGTTTACTCTGGGAAATTCGTTCCAAAATACTTACATGGTAGTGGATAGATCAAAGAGCTGTGAGACAGAAACAGCAGCTTTTGCAAACCAGTAATCCCAAGGGGTTTGTAAGTTCCACCACTGGGGAAATACTGGTTTCTTAGTTCTCCTCACTCAGTGTGTTTTAAGGGTGTTCTTCATAACCTGTTCTGCCGCTTGCAGACTGCTTCCAGTTCCACTTCAGAGGAGAGCAGCAAAGCTGTAACATGCCTGGTATATCCTATGTAAGCCTGACCAAAGAAACCGGGAGAGCCACAGCACAGGGGAGCGAGCTGGGGCCCTGTGTCTTTGCTGCCTTTTAGCTGGGGCTGATGAATGCATACTGTGATAGGGGATTGGGTTGAGCTGCCTGCAGACTCTGTGTTCATCCGACCACATCCTTCCAGAACGTGTTCCTTCCTGTGAGTGACAGCCACCTGTTCCTCTGTGGAGACTGCAGCTGGAAGGAAAACAGAATGGCATGAAGGATTAAGGATGATTGCATTGTTCTTCTTTCTTGCTTAGGTCTCTCTCTTCTGCCCTTGCAGGTTGATAGGCTGATGGAACTGTATTTTAAGTACCTGGATGCAATGCAGGCAGCTGATAAGAAGATTGATGGAGAGAAACATGTATGTATTGCTTAAGTTTTGCTAGCTCATGTCTAATGCCTCTGCACAGAACTTGTGGCTCAGCTGGGGTCACTTCCAAGCTGTGCCCTCATACCTGTGCTGTTAGCTCCTTATTCTTGTTGCCCTCCTCTCCAGCTTCCAGTTAACCTCACGTAAAAGAGGCTGAGAACTTCTCTACAGCAAATACTCTTGGCCTTTTACAGTGAGTTTTACCAGGAGGGCCTAAGTGTGCTGCAGTTTGCTTTCATTTTTACTTGGCTGTGATCTTCCTTGGTCTGGCAGATGGAGAGTAAGTGAAATGCAGAGAGACAATTACATGCTCATGTGCGAGGCCTCCTACCCTGGTCTAGAGTTCGGATCAGCTGCGAGGAAGCATCTGTTTTGATTAGTTAGAGGAGGCTGGAGACAGAGGCTGGGGAGCTCCCTGTGCTCCCCGCACACCAGCAGTGAGCCATTTGAATGACACGAGCCTTGGTCCCACACAGCACTTTCTTGGAACCGAAGCTGAACAGACTTGTTGAGAGTGAGCGAGCTGCTGGAGTCAGGAAGCAGCTTGCAGAGCTGTTAGCGAGCTTGGCCACCTTCCCGCAAGATTATCTGTATCAGCACTGAAGAGGGTGTGAGATTGATTAGCACTGACAGAGAGTAACGGCTGCAGCACATCGCGGTGTGCTTGGTGTGCCACTGGCTGCAGCCCTGAGAGGCTCTGACACGCAGCTTGGTGCCCATGGCCAGGCCCCGGCACCGGCACCAGGAGCACTGCGAGGGCATCGGAGCAACACTGCTGCTGCTCAGAGAGGCAGGGGGTGAGTGATGGGTGGAGGTGAGCCTGCTGCCAGCATTTGGGCTCCATACACACAGCTGCAGCTTCACACACGAACAGTGGCCTGAAGGAAAATAGCATTTACCCTTCCCTGCTATCCCTCCGTGCTCTGTTCATCTCCTCAGAATGAGTTGTTCTTTCCATTTCAGTGTTGGTGTGTGGGTTCTAAACTCAAAAACTGGAATGGGTTTTCCTGGCCAAAGTCCTGTGGTGTAATGGCAGCTGCAGTGCAGTACAGGAGCCCCTCAATGCGACAGGCTGAGCCAGTGCATGTGCCCTGTATCAAGAAAGACCCTGGAGCACTCTGCAACTGTTAACTCCTGTAGCAAACAGCCAGCACAACGCAGGGGTGAAGGAAATTTGAGTGTGAAGAAGCTTGTGTAGAAGCTCTTCAGTTAATAATATGAACCCATTCATGTCTACTGATGCACAGGAGAAGAGAAACTAAAGAACCTTTGGTTTTCCTCCTGTATCCAAGAAGACCACTGTGTTTTGGCCCCACTGCTGGGCTCTGTGGGCTGGAATGGCTGGAGTTCTTCACCTCTCTTAGAGCTAAGAATAGGATTTTGCAGAAACATATCTGCAATGTATTAGGCACAACAGGTATGACAGACAATGCTGAGGTTTGTTTCTGGCTTGGAAAACTCTTGGAATTGCCATTTGCTTTGTTTTGTAGTGCACTCAGATGGACAGTGGGACGTGGTCTCCCGAGATCTGAAGTGGCTTGAGCATTTTCCCCATGCAGAAGTAGTCAAAAGCCATCATTCTGTCCTTTGAATCACAGCATTGCCTGGCTGTGACAGGATTTATGGAGCACTTTAATGTTTCTTGTTGTGGCACATGAATCATTGAAGTGGATGGGATGAACACTGGGTCCTTTAGAAACTGCTGTGGCGTCTGGGGGATTTTGACCTTTTACTTGCAGTAGAGGACATAGGACCTCCAAATTCCGGTCATCCTTCTCTCTGCCCCTAGGAAAATGATACCTTATGAGATTTTACAGGTTCAGCTGCGCTGACAAGAATGAGATCGCAGTCTGAGGGCAGAGTATCCTGGTGTAAGTCCGGCATTACAGGAAGTGAAAGCTGATTACACAAGGCAGGACCGAGTGTATCACAGCTGCTGTTCCACCTCTGGTCGTGCAGCTGGTATAAGAAGCTCCTGCAGTTCTCCTCCTTCTGTCTTTGTGTGGCTTATTTCAGTGCTGTGGATTATAGCCCAGCTCTTCAGCCTGCAGTGGAGGTGTGGGGACAGCTGGGGGTGGAAGGGGAAGAATCACTGAAGCCAGGGTTTCTGAGGAGGAACCCATGATGAAACTGCATCCTTGATATGGCCAGTGGAATGGGATGGGGGCCCTTCTCAGTGGTACCCACTTGTTTGCTGCTGTGGAATCTATTCTCCAGTGATCAGAGGTGATAATTACCCATTACCCGTGTGAAACCCGGGAGCAAAGTCCATGTGTGTGTTTGACACCCGGTGCCTGCCTTAGAGCTTTTCTTAGAGTTTTTAGTTAACAAAACCCGGGAGATACCTCCTCCACCTCTCAAATTCTTGAATTCTTTCCATAGGAAGAGGTGGGAAATCCTGTGCTTTCAGCTCCCTCTAGAAGGAGGGATAATTGCAGGTGGCAGCAGTAGCCTCAGTGATCTCTGGTGGTGGCAGGAAAAGGCAGGAGATGGTTTCATGGTTTTACAGTTCCACAGAAAATTATGCTCAGCAGGTTTATTCCATGAAATATTCTCACCAGATACTTTGTGCTGTAATGACTTACAAATTACATGCTAATTGTGCTACAGTTAAGTCATTCCACCCTTGAAAGGGAGAGGTGGAACTCCTAGCAGGAGAGCAGTGTCCACACACTGGGATAGCAGAAACGGGAGTTTGTTTGTTTAAGAGGGTTTGGGTTGGTTTAGGAGGATGGAGCTGCCTGGAGCTGCATCCAGGTGTGAAAGCACCTTCTGAGCACGGCTGCACCACTGCCCCTCCACGTAGTGCAGACCCAGAGTAGTGAGGGGAGAGAAGCTCCGCTTGGTGTAAGAGACAAGTTGGAATAGTTTTGTACTCGGTGCTTGCAGCCTTCTCCTCTCTGCTCACCTGTGTGGGCCTCACTACCCAACCCACTGAGGTGTCCTTTGTTCTTGACCAGCACCCACCCTTGCTGTGGCTGCTGGGGAAGGTGAAGGATAAGGAAGGAGGAAGATGAGAATCTTTTGGGTCCCATTCCAATGACTCTGTGGAGCAAATGTGATCTCTTGTTACCTCATTGGCAGATCCATTCTGTGTTTAGGTTTTGAGTCTCTACTTCACACCCTGAGGCCTGTCAGTCCTGCCTCATTAGTGTGAGAGGCTCATTTTAGCTTCACAGAAGCCCATCTTATTGCTGTCTTCTCCCATCAGCAAGGGGCATCTCAGTACATATTGTTGGCAGATTAGAAATGGCATCTGAGCGCTCATTTGGAGGTTAGAGCCTTGACAGCTTTGCAAGGGAGACAAAGTGGAAAGGTGACTGGTGCTGGGCTGGAGGCAGATGAGCATTTACAGGGTGGATGTGGCTTTAAAAACAAGGCTGTGAAAAGGCACCTTAGAACCATGCTTGTCTTCTAATTCATATCTGCCTCATTTACTGGTACAAAATAATCTCGCTTCTCCGCGGAGAGGGGCTGTTAGAGCTGTCGCCTTCCCGCTGTAATCAAGACAGCCGTTGCCTGGATCCAGCTCCAGTGATCGCCACGCTGGGATGGGAATACAGAACAGACACGGGCTTTGTTTCCTGCTCTGGAGGGTCAAATCCTGCCTGTGGAGGTTTTTCTCTTCAGGAATTTGGCACTGCTGAGAGGAGTAGCCAACAAGCTTGTGTGCAGAGGAGGGTAAGCTGTAGTTCAGCAGTGCCAGCTTTGCCTTCTGCCTTGAGTGGGGTTTTTGATCCTTCAGACATTACCCCAGCCTCTGGCTGGCCAACCTCATGTTGTTTAGCTTTAGAGACCAGATTTGATCAGACTCCTGTAATCTGACATGGATGTAGGGTGAGGAAGGTTGCTCCTTGCATAAAACTGGATTTTTGTTTTACTGGCAAAAGCTTGCTTGCAAGGTCGTGCTGGTGCCCATAGTTTTGAGAACCTGGAGTGAATTCCAGTTGTGCAGATGCTGGAATACACAGGATCCGGTGCTGAAGCATCATGGAGTAGAGCCAAAGCAATTGACCTTATGGCATTGGTAAGCAGGCATTGTTCGTTAAACTTCTCCTTTCACTGCAGGCTAGGTTTCTAGGAGGAAAGAAGTATTTTATTACCTGGGCTTTCCTCTCTGCCTCCCAGAGGCATCTGTATTTGCAAGTCGCTTCCCCAGCTCCCTGCACAGCGAGCATCCATCGCACTCTCTCCAGTGGGAAGTGCCCAGGGTTAGGTTTCCTTCTTGTGCCCGGAAGACTTTACCTTCGGCTGGATGTGAGGGCTTGGCCTGACAGGACAGGGAAATCTGGCGGCCTGGATCCGCTCTGGTGCTGGTGACCTTGTGTGTGTTTGCAGGAGCACCCCCAAGGAGCAGCGCCGAGCATGTGGGTACGGAGCTCTTGCGGGTGATGGCTCTAATGAGAAAATATTGCTCTGCTGGAGTGTGCCCACCTGCCAGATGCTGCATAATAAATCACACGGGCTGCAGGCAGGCAGCAGGGCTGACAAGCTTCTTCCTTTGTTTAAGAACAAAACCAAAACCCAAACCCCAAATGGAGAAGGTTGCCTGTGCTGGAAGCGATTCCTCCTGTTGGGTCCATGAGGATGGGTAGCAGGGTCAGCTGGTGACAGCCCTGGGCACCGGGAGGCTGCTCCTACAGGCTTTGAAGGGGATCCTGTCTGAAGCAGGCTGATGGAATGGCCTCGTGTGTTCTGTCTTTGGCCTCTGCTTGGGCAAGTCTCACCAGTGACTGCTGAACGAGCAGGGGAGGAGCGAACCCTCAGCGTTCCTGGGGGAGCCAGTGCTTGAAGCTGGAAGAGCAGGGCTGGGCATGGTGAAGCTGTGCTTGTGCAGAGCTTTCCGACCTGTTTATTCCTTCAGCAGTCGATAATGAAGTTGGAAGCCTGATAGGTCTTTGAGTCGCCTGGAGTCACGTTCTACACTGCTTAACAGCACCCTCAGCTGGCCAGTGGAAGGGCAGGTGCCAGGGGACTTGGAAGTGAGAGCCAGGCAGGTGTGTTCCACAGTCACAGCCTCTGATCCTCCACTGAGAAATGCAATTTGGTGCTTAAATTAAAATTTTAATTTTCAGCTGGACACACTTCAGCAGCAGCAGAGGCAAAAGCTGGGTCACAACTGGTGAAGTGTCTGTGAATGGAAAGGAATTATTAACAGTGCTGCTTTGGCAAGAAATGTCTGGAATGTGTTTGGGGAACAAAGCATTCCTTAAAACCACAACTGTCTCCAGCATTTTGCCACCCTGCTGGGAGGTGCCTGGGGAGGCAGAGGGCATCACACCTTTCCTTTGTGCTGCTTTACAGGACATGGTGCGTCGGGGAGAGATAATAGATGATGACATGGAAGATGAATTCTATCTCCGTCGCCTGGATGCTGGTCTCTTTGTTCTACAGCTCATCTGTTACATCATGGCAGAGATCTGTAATGCCAGTGTTCCCCAGGTAAAGCTATAGACAAGGTTGGCAGATCATCTGTGTTTCCATCCATGATACGACAAGGCTCCACATCCTTGCAAATATGGCCTGTGAATAATCTTCTCTGTAATTCCTTTTTTGGGAGGGAACCTCCTTCTTTCACTTGTGCATGCAGCTTCCTCAGGTTGTGGCAGTCAGGAGGGCATTAACGGGTAGAGGCTGATAATTGTCACAGGATTCATGCAACACCATTCGAGTAAGGCCAGTGCAAAATACTGCAGCTTTACGTGTGTGAGTGCAGGGGGATTGTAACACTGTTACGAGCTTACGTGTGCCACACACCTTCCTGTGTGTGAGTACGTGCTCTGGGACTGTGGACTAGGAAAGGCTGAGTTGGGTGTTGTGGTGCTCGGGGTTTCTGCTCTTCCCTCAGGGTGGCACAGATGGGGTTGTGTGTGGGGTTGTGTTGTACTGGAGGCTGATTGCTTCTCTTTCCTGTCCCCCGTCAGATTCGTCAGAGAGTCCATCAGATTCTGAACATGAGAGGCAGCTCCATTAAAATTGTTCGACACATCCTAAAGGGTGAGTTGAGATACTCTTGTGGATGTGTCTCATCCCTGCAGCACAGCTGGGTCACCGCTGTGTGGGATGAGCCTTCACATGTAATTCTGCTTGATTTCATGAGCGTCTTCAGGCAGCAGCTGAGTAATGTGCTGAGGTATGGGCAGGGCTGGTAAGAGCTGGTAAGACCTTGGAGTTAGGCCACTTGCTGTTATCTGCTGTCATGGAATGGCACATCACCTCGTGCTGCCATCAGCTGCACACTGGCTGGAACTCGCTGCTGACATTAACTCTAGAGTCAATATTTAAGGGAAGGGTACATGCGTGCTGAAGAGAAGAATAGTGGAGTCTCATCTTTCATTAACGTGGCCCTGCACTTCACCATCTGCACCGTATTAGTATCTGTGGTGTATTTGTCTTGTTCTTAGTGTCAGATTAATAGGGATTATAGCATTAAAGTATCCTCTGTAGCTTTAAAATGTAGCTGTTGTGATTTGCAATCCCAGTTTTAAAGTACTGCTTGTTATTTTTAATGCCTGTGTTGAGTTAGGGCAACGCTGGTTTGAGCTGTGGCTCTCATCTGCAGCACACGCAGCCAATTGAACCAGGCAAGGAGAGGACAGGACTCGGGCCCTCCCTGGGGATCTGCTGCCCACAGGAGGTGCCTCCTTGTTTAGCAGAGGCTTGAGCCTGCTCCTGAGGGGCTGTGTTGGCTTTGGTGAGGAGTCTCTTTCCCTCCTAGAGAGGAGGGAAGGCCAGCAATGTCTCTGGGGGTGCTGGGCTGTGGTGTTATAGTGCCTCCTTCTTAGGCAGTAACAGTGATGTTCTGTTGGGCCTCTTCTTGCCCCCCCTCAACACTGGCAGGGACAGGCAGCGTTTCTCTTGAAGATCCTGTCGATTTTGTCCCTTCCCATATGCGGGAAAGAAGGGGATCAGAAGGATGGCTGGTATGACAAAATTAAGAGTGATTTTCTGACAGTGAGAGATTACCTGCAGCTATAGGCAGTCTCTTTGGCTCTTATCCTTTGCCAGCAAGTGCGAGTTAATGCCTGCTGATGAACAGGGGGACTGGATAGGGTGTCTTTTCTGATTTTGATCATGATACTTGACAATTCCTGCTTCCAAACTGTCCATTTCCAACTCAGAGCATGGCACACGTCTGCTTTCAGGTCCCCACGCTTGACCAGGGCCGTGGGTGCCCATGGGGTTTGTCTGCACACCTCGCTGCACCCACACACCTCACGCTCATTTCTCTGCCTTGTTGATTTACATGCTAAGCTGAATTGGAGGGCAGCTGCATTAAAATTTCATCTGGTGCCTCCTTTCACAGACAGTGACTTGCATTGTGAGGCTTTTTCAGGGGTTTCATTGTGTCTCACAGGCTGCAGGTTCTCCTGCAGGTTTGGTGCTCAGCAGTGACGTGTTCCCTGCCGAAGAGGCCATACGTGGCTTGTTAATAGTACTGGTGATGGACGCAGCACTTGGGGCTCTGCTGCAGCTCTCCCCAGCTCTGATGCTTGGCAGTTCTAGAGACTTTTGCCACCGCAGTAGTCAGTGACCTTAGAAACAGATTTATGGTGGGTCCTTGTGAAATAGTGCCGTGGGGCCCAGCAGATTCCTGAGCACAGGAGCAGCGCTGAGCTCTCCTGCAGCCTGAGCTGGTGACACGGGAGTGCTTCAGTAGTTACACGCCAGTGTCCAGGTATGCTCGGTGTAAGATTCAGCAGCTTTGACAGAAGCAACACCACAGACACGGACCTGCCCTCTGGAGGGCTCTGCTGGTGGGACGTGGTTGCCTGTTGCAGCCGTGGGTTTGGCTGTGGAGCTGGTGACGTGTGGGCTGGGGCAGTGGGGACACCCCAAGTCTGGCTGCTGGAACAGTACCCCTCTACCCCAAATGGCTGAGAGGAGGCTGATGCCTTGACTGAGCTGTTCCAGGCCACCCCAGCTGCTCCCAGCGCAGATCAGGGCTGCTTTATTTTTACTCTCGGTTCAGCGTGTTGCTCCTGTTCAGTTTTTATTTTCTATTTTTGCATACTAATTAGCTGCTTGGTTTTTAGTTTGATTTTTATGGCCTACATATTCTCCATGTTTCTCTGGCAACCTGACAGCTGATGGATCCCTTGGGGTTGCTCAGAATTACTTACGATGCAAGCGAGGAAGCCAGACTGTTTTCCTGTGGTAGGGCTTTCAAGGGGGGGAGAGTGGGCAGGGGACAACTGAAGGCTCCTTAAATGCATTTCTGCAGCCTGACCATTCCTCCTGCAGCTCTGTTGCCTGGGAAGATCAGGTGTAACTTGCAATGGGACAGTTAATTCATCCTGTGGAAGAGAATGCCTGAGCAGTGTGTGCTTGGCTGGGGATGTTTTGGAGACTGGTCTGCATGACAGCAAGTGGTATCTGCGTTCCGTAGGGATCTGGATACAGCCCATGGTACGTGCTCCCCCTGGGGAGCTGCAGTCAGAGGTGCAGAGCTCCTTCTCCAGAAGCACCAAGACCTGGTGCCCAGTTAAACTTGTGGTTTCAGTGCAGATAGTACGCATGACAGGGAGGCAGGAAGGTGAAATGCTTCCTGAGCGCTACAGCCCAAACCCGCTAGCACAGGTAATCCAAAAGCGAAGGTAGGAATGTCATGAACACTGTGCTGAGTCTGCCCTATGGTCCCTCAGTATGTGCAGCCTTTACAGCGTCCAATATCCATTACCAGCTTCAGTATTCCCCTATTGATTTTTACTATTCCGTAACCACTGTATTTTATCTAATGAAGCAGAAACCAATCTCAGGTCCTTTCCCTTTGTGCAGCCCCAGCACGTGTCGGCTCTGGTTAACCGTGGGCAGGGGCAGCGTACGTTGGGTTGGGTTTTTGGTGTCTCACTGAAGAGGTGGAGTTTTAAATTAAAAAGTAAATGCAGACAGCCTTGGTGCGAGATTTCTTTGGGGTTTTAAGCCTGGTGCTGGGGTTTATCTGGTCTCAAATCAGCATCAGCAACTCCTGGAGGTACAAGTGCCCTGTGCTGGTGCCCCTGCGCCAGGACAGCGAGGGGGTCAGGTTCACCTGCAGCAAACCTCAGCTCTCCCCACCTCCTCTGGTTACAGGTGCTGTCATGGCCTATAAATATTAACAGGATTTCTCCCAGAGGCCCTGGCAATGAGCTCCACTTCTTGTACGTGGAGAGGGAGAGTACCCGCAGGAGACTCGCGCATCAGCCAGCTTCTCCCTGTCCTCGCTCTTTTCAGGGCTCTTATAATGAAGGCTTTGATGGAGCTCAGGAGCACGTAGCGGTGCTGAACGTATAAATATTAAAAGCAAACTTTCTACAGCAACTTACCATTCAGAGGCTGAATGTGAACTCTGTTTGTTTAGGAAGAGGGGAAGAATGTGGGAAGCTGGAAGGCGCTGCCCGAGCAGGCGTCTGCTCTGGTTTGCGAAGATTTGCTCAGCTCCAAGCCTGCTTTTCAGTTTTCCTTTTTGAACCTCCTTTGAGCATGCAGGTTATGGTGGCAGAAGGAGGGAGCCGGTACGGGAATGAGCTGCTGACTTCAAACAACGAGTGCCAGGAAGGAGAGCTGGGGAGGAAGCCTTTGGTTCTGTGGTGTTTGGCTGTTTGTATGGATGAGCAGGACTGTGATCAGGGTCTGGTGTCCTCTGCTGAGGACAAGGAGTTTGTTTCGTAGTTAGATCTAGGCTGGTGCTTTCTTCCCTGCGGGGTAGAAGCACTTGTCCACAAGATTGGTTTGTACTTGAGACAAAATCCTCCTCTGGGATGGTCGGACCGTGGTCAACCCGGGGTTAGGAACGTTCACCAGCTCTGTGACAGCCCTGCCCCGGTGATGCAGTGTGAGGGGACCGGGCAGAGCTCTGTGAGGGGCAGGAGGTGTTTGTTATACAAAGCTTTAACCCTGGGGATGGGGAGAAAAGCCACGGATGCTCCCTGCATCAGTTCCCGTTCGGGTGTTGGCAGTGGATGCAGGTTTAGGCTCTGCTCTGGCTCTGCATGAGAAGCTGCCATCGCTCGTCAGTGTCTCACTCAGCCTGTGCCTGTCTGCTCTGTCCCCTGCAGAGTATGCGGAGAACATCGGGGACGGGAAGAACCAGGAGTTTCGGGAGAGTGAGCAGAAGCGGATCCTGGACCTCCTGGAGAGTTTCTGAGCCTCGAGGTCTCGGCACCTGGTTCTGCCTCTGCTGCCCCCTCCACCCTGATTGCGCGATCAGTGATGTTTCTGTGAAACCGCTTCTATTAAAGACAGTTTGTTTTTCTTAACTCCTTTGTTACAAGCAGTCTGTGCGTGGGGATGTAGCCGTGGACCTTGTGGTGGGGCAGCTCAAAGGTTGTCCCCCGAGTCCAACAGCAGTGCTGGTGTGAAGCAGTGGAACAGTAGATGTGTTGGGGGCTAAGAGGAAGCCCAGGTAGCTCAGGAGACTGTTTGCAGGTGATTCTAGCCCCATACACTAAGAAAGTGTACATCCTGCTGTACTGGCATAAACTGGGGGGACTCAGGTGTTGGTATGTGCCCAGGCCAGAGGCTCTTCAGTGGCAGAGGGGACCCAGAAGCCAGACCCATTGAACATCCCAAGGTAATCAGAGGTGAGTTTTGCATGGCCTAGGCCATGTCCCTGCTCCCGAGGGGATGCTGGAGTGACTCTATCAGGTTATACTCGGGGCTAGGAGGCAGGGTGCATAATCCATGACCTGACCAGACCCCACTGGCTGCCTTTTGTGGTCAGCCTCAGGTCTTGGCTGTGCTTGTCCTGTAGGAAACGAGTGTTGGGACTCTCGGGTCTGGATCGTCAGAGCAGCCCTAAGCTCCTGCAGAGGAGGGGACCCCTCCGGGGCAGCCTCTACCCACAGCCTGGAGCTGCAGCAGGGCTGAGGGCCGGAGCGTGGTGGGGCAGACCCACAGCTCCTCCCATCGCCTCCCACACCGGCCACGGCGCTTGGCTGCTGCTCCCAGCCGTGGCTTCACCGGGACAAGGAGCTGTGAATGTTTTCCTGCATCCTCCTTTCTTGTGCTCGAGTTAATGAGTGTCATCAGGAGCCCCGGCGGCTCCGGCAGGCTGGGCCCTGCCTCATTTAGAGAGATTTGCATGCTGGCAGCACTCATTTTTTATCTCCAAGAAAAATGCACTGTCAGGGAAGCTGAGCGGCTGCTTCAGCCGCGGCTGCGGCGCCGCTGCCGGCCTGGGTGCTGCCGAGCGCTCCTGTTCAGGGGATCAACGCGGGGGTCGTGGCTTCGGCAGCCACCAAAGAGCTGCAAACCCACATTTTTGGTGCAGAACTTGCTGGAATTCCTCATTTCTTTGTTCTGTTTTCAACCGGAAAGGTGTTCTTTCCTCCCTTTCTCAGCTGTGCTCAGTGTTGTACTGGAGCCTGGGAGCTGTTGGCAGCACAGCCAATGGATTTGAGGTCAAAGCTGGGCTCTGGTCTTCCTCCTGGAAGAGGCGCTGTCCTTCCCTGCCTCATGGTACCTGTGTGCCTCCAGAGCCAGAGGAGACGCTTGTGGGATACAGGAAGGCAAAATGCCTGTGTCTACCTGAGCCCAACCGTCTGTGACAGACGAGGATGCTCCAGCTGCTGCTGGGGAATTAGAGCAGAGCTTGTTACTGCAGGTCAGCCTTTACAAGATGGATGATGAATTCTTCTCTCCTCCTCTCTCAGAGGGGAAAACCCCACTGGGCAAGGTTGGGATCCTCTGCGTGGTGGTCCCAGGGTGCCGGAGGGGCTGGAGCTCCCGGCCCCGTCTGGGATGCACAGAACGGGTCATCTTGGGCAAAAGAGCCGGAAAACCCATTCTGTGTCCCAAGGCAAGCTGGGGGCTGCTGGGCTGGGGGCTGTGTGGGCTCTGGCTCCAGCACCCAGCACAGGCAGGGGTCGGAGCAGCCCGGGACCATCCCAGCCCACAGCTCGGCCTCTTCAGCAGCATCATCTGCTGGGAAGCATTGAAGCATCACAGCTCCTGGTGCTTGTGCTCAAAGAGATCCCTGGCTGTGCCCTGCGGTCACTGGAGCGTGCAGGGAGAGCCCAACCTTCGCCGCAGCCCTCGCTGGGTTGTGTCTTGTCTCTGATTGTAAACAGGTTTGACTGAAGAGGTAAATGAGAAGTTAATTAGAAGGAACATGATTGATGAGCGCTGGGTGATGGGGAGGTGGGATACTTGCCCTCGAAGGGAAGGGGTTGGGGGTTGTTCTGCAGCTGGAGCATCGCGCTGTGCCCCTCCGCTGTCCCCCTGTCCCCTTCTCTGCAGAGGGACCTCAGGACACGGTGCTGGGGGCTCTGCTCCACCAGGAAGCCGGGAGCTGCCTGGGCTGAGGCTGGTTGTGGGCAGAGAAGGGTGAGAATTGTGACTGAGGAATATCCCGACATCCCAGCAGAGAGACCCAGGCTGCACTGGATACACAGGCACTGTCAAAACTGGGAAACACGCCTTCAGCAGCACAAATAAGTCACCTCAAGCACTGATCGTTGGAGGGGGTTGTAATAATTCTTTCCTTCTAAGAGCTGGGTTTCAGGGGAGGCTTTTCTCATCTGGCCATAAATAACGCGGAGGGGAAGGGGCTGCTTTGGGGGTTGTGTTTGTTGGCTGTCTTTACCTTTGATTATTGGCTTTGGTCCTTAAAACAATGGTTTGGAAAGAGGGAAATGTTCCTGGACTGATTCGCAGCGGTGCCGGCATCCGGACCCTGCTGCTGGGTTCTGCAGGGCAGGAAGGAGCTGGAGCCAGGCGGGGCTTGTGCTCGGAAGGAAGAATTCTTTGGGAGTGATTTCTCCTGAGGTTTAGCCCCTCCTCATTGACCCCCCCTTTGCCCTGGGACCCCCACAGCCCTGGGGAGCTTCCCGCTGCCCCCCCCGGGCTGGGACCCTCAGAGGCCCCAGAGCTGCTGCACTCAGTGCCCCAGGGATGCTCTCCCTGTCCTGGGGCCCGGTGCTCTCCCAGCCGGGTTCCCTCCACCCCAACCCCCCGGCCCCCCTCCCTGGTTCGTGTAGTGCGATGTTCGGTCAGTTTTGCTGTCCCGGCAGGGTTGGGTTGGGTTGGGTTGGGTTCACTCGCCCCAGCCCCTGCGCTCCGCACCAGGGCCCCACCGGGCGCTGTCTGCGTGGCTGTGCCGCACCGGGACGAGCAGTGGAGGAGGCTGCGCTGCTGGATGTCGGAGCTGTTGTTTTCCTGCAGCACGCACAGACCTTTGCGAATAATCTAATAATGCAGGAATGTCAAAGTCAGCAGTGGAAGGAAATCCTTTTATACAGGGATTGTCGAGTCTCTAAACAAGTATCAGAAATGAGCTCGGGATCAGCACGGAGGGTGTTTATTCTGCCCATCACAGCGATGAACAGCAGCAACGGATCTGAGTGATGGCTCCTGGGCATGGGCACAGCCCTGAGCCCGGCCCCATCGCTCATGGGGCTGCAGCAGCAGCCACCCCCGGGAGCTTCAGGGGCATGAGCAGCAGGAACCGAAGCGCAATCTCTGTGCTGTGTTCAGAGCAGGGGGTGCTGAGCACCCCAGTGCTTCAGCAGTGGTGGCGTTTGGGTGCTTTTGCCTTCCCCGGATGCCTTAAGCTTCCACTGTCTGAAGCAAGCACAGGCTTTGGGTTGTGTCAGGATGACCATGGGCAGCACTTGGCTGCCAGCAGGAGCAACAACCCAGCCTGGTTTGTGTCTGGGTGTCCCTGTGGGTGCCACCAGGCTCGCTGGGGTGTTGCTGTGTGGAAACAGCCACCGGATTCCCCCATCTCGCCGGTTCCCACCCCGAGCAGAGCCACTGGCACGAGCCACATGAAGCAGTAGGCAGAAACCCTGGTGCTACCAGAGATAAGGAGCATCTCATCCTTGAGTGAGCCTCTGGGGCCCTTGCTCTGGCTCAGGAGCCCTGCGGGGAGGCACCAACTACTCCAGCGCAGCAGCAAGGGTGCACATAAGGGACCTCAGGTGCCTGCTGGGTCTGGAGCTGCGGGCTCTGCTCTCTCCTCCAGTGCAGCAGCTCCCTCCTCTCCCTGCCAGGCGTGTGGGGTCCATCAGGGCTGCGTGGCCGCTGCAGACAGCAGCTGCTCTGGCCCTTTCCGCTGAGGAATTAAATTGAGGAGGAAAATGGAACCTTCCAAGCGCACCCAAGCCACGCGGGCGCTTGGCTTTTGCCCGCCTGCCGGGCCCCTGCACAGAGCCCGTGTCCATTTGTCATCCTGCTGCCGTGGCAGAAAATCAGCTGGAAATGAGACCTAATTCAGGCTCCGCAGCTGGAGGTGTTCCCAGCTCCGAGAGGGATTTATGCTCTTTGCTTCCTTGTGCCATGATTTAACCATCCACGAGGAGACACTGGAGGTTCCTGGCAGGTTCCTGCCCTGGAGGTGCAGCCTCAGCTCCTGCCACTCCTTGGGCTGGGGCTGTGGGACCTGGAGCAAGGAGCCCTGCCTGGGACACCCGGTCCCCCGTGGGTGACGTCCCCACTCACCCCGCTCCCCTCACTGGCCGGTAGCAGGGGATGGGCCAAGGGCCACACAGCACCGGGAGGCTGGGCTGCCCCGACCGCGGCTCCTGCTTGGCCTCGGCTGCTCTTCCTGTTGCGCTTGACCCTGTGAATGGAGCCCGTATTTTGGGGTGTGGGTTTTTTGCCCCCCCCCACATGACTCTGGGCTCAGTTCCCAGCCCAGATCCGCTCCAGGCGATTTCCCTTGGGAAGCTGGGGCCCTTCATTGCTGTTTCTCTCCTGCTGTCCCAAGGTGGGATCCTCTGAATTCAACCAGCCACTGCTGTGAGTGCTGTTATGGCAGCTTCCTCCTTCCCCCTGCTTTTAACTGCAGAGGGAGTAACGAACTCGGGCAGAGATCGATGCTCTCCTCTGCTCTGGGCTTTATTCTACAGGCAGAAGCTCTGCAGCAGGTAGAACTTTGAACCCGGGGGTCTGTACTGCGGGTATGAGGCAGCGCAGCTCCTGCTGCCGGGCACAGCTGGGCTCCTCCTGCCCCTGTGCTGGAGCCCGGCTGCAGGAAGGGTGAAGGCGCAGTTTGTATTTTCAAGTCTGATTTAAAGGATCGCTTTGCCACAAGCATCTGTCATCATATGGCAGAAAACACCTGAAATAATCTGATTTTTACCGTTTATCTGGAGCTCAGACACCCTTCAGGCTGCCATACGGCGCGCAGATAACACCGTGTGTGTGTGTGTGTGTGTGTGAGAGAGAGAGAGAGGGGGCTGCGCTGCGCTCCCAGCCCATGTTTATGCTTTTAGACTTCAAAATAGGTGCGAATGGTGCAGGCTGTGGTGCCGCGGTGCTGGTGTCGGGGTCACGGTGCTGGGGTGCCACCAGCCGTGGGGCTGGGAAAGGCCGGCGCTGGTGCTGGGTCTGGCCTCAAGCTTTGAGTGGCTGAAGGGCAGCGGGCACCGTGCCCGTGGCGTTTCGGGGCAGGAGCTGGTTTGCCGGCCCTGTCCCGGTGCGGTTACACGGAGCAGCCCCTTCGCCCCCGCCCGGCTCCGGCCGAGGGCTCTGAGCCCCTGTGTGCCCCCTGTCCCTGGGACACGAGCCCTGGTACTGGGGGGGGGGGGGTTATAACAACTGCACCCGCGGGCGGTGCCGGGGGGAGCCCCGCGAGGGTCCCCGAGGTCCCTGCTGCCGGGCCCCGCACCGGGCACCCCGCACCCCGGTGCCCACCCGGGCCCCGCTCCCCGCCGTGCCCGGGGCTGGGGGGTCCCGGGGGGGTCTCGCGGCCCGGCCCCGCCCCGCGCAGTTTAAGAATGAACCGTGGGAAAAACTTCGTGGGTGCGCGCGGGGCCGGGATCCCTCCGCCGGGCGGGGGAGGCTCCGGGCTGAGCCGCGGCACCGCCTCGGCGCCCTCCGCGCGAGAGAAGAGCTCCGCAGCGCGGCGGCGGCGGGACCGCGGCGCAGCCCCGGGGACACGGCTCGGCCCTCGGCAGCGCCGGCCCCGGGACGGCGGCGCCCGCGGCACCATGGGCGGCCTGGGCCTGGCGCTGGGGATCCTGCACTACCTGGGGCTCTACCTGCAGCTCGGCGCCGCCTCCCGGCACCCCCCGTGGGACGCCCCGGCGGCGGGCAGCGGTGAGCGCGGGCGGCGGGCAGGGAGCGGGGCTCGGCTGCCCCCGGGGGTGGCGGGCGCAGGGCGCGGTGCCACCGGTGCCGTCTCGGGGGCCGCGGGACGGGCGGCGGGAGGGGGGGAGAGCCCGGGGTCCGCGCTGGGCTCCGCCGCCGGCGGCAGCTCCGCGGCGCGGTTCGCGGCGGCGGCGGCTCCGGGAGCGGGAGGCGGCCCGGGCGAACCGGGGCTGGGCTCCGCCGCTCCCGTCCCTGGGGCCCGGGGGGCGGCCTCTGCCTCCGCCGCTGCGCTGCCAAGCCCGGGGCTTCGCACGGTGCGTCCCCCTGCACAGCCGTGCACCCCCCGTGCATCCCCGTGCATCCCATGCACCCCCCGTGCATCCCATGCACCCCCCGTGCATCCCCGTGCATCCCATGCACCCCCCGTGCACCCGCCGTGTGCTGCCACCCGCCCCTGGCAGCGGGAGCGACTCTCCAGTCTCCCGTTCCTGCTCTGCCGACTCCGGTGCTCGGTGGCCCAGCGGGTCGGTGGCTCCGTGGTGCTGCCAAGCCTGGCAGGGTCCAGCCGGGAGCTGGGATGGAGTCGTTCTCTGCGCCCCTGTCTGAAACACTCTCCCAGCCAGGGGTAATTCCCACCCCCGGGGCACTGAGCAGGTGACAGGAGACAACCCCCCCTCGGGAAGAGCACCGAGACCCTCCTCGCTCCCTGCAGCTGACACGGGTGGGTTTAAATCTGAGCCCCAGCAGAGGGCACAGGGCGCTGGGTGCCTTTGCCCCCATTGCAGCCATTCCCCTCACACGGCTCCGGGGCTGCGGCCTGTGGCAGGAGCAGCTCCCTGCCCCGAGGAGCCTCCAGGCTCGCCAGGCCCTGGTTCCCACACAGTGCCTGGTCCAGCGGGTACCCGCCTGTCTGGGCAGGGATGCTCTGCCTTGTGCTGGAGGAGGAATGCAGGAGGGTTTCTGGACCTGCCGGCCTGGCGTGCCGGAAGGAGATGTGGGCAAAGAGCCTCCATTAGCCGCTGCTGCTCCCCTCAGAAATTCAGCAATAGGCAAATAAATAGTGAAATGGTCGCTGAGAGGGAGCAGGGAGCCAAGGAGAAGAAATATTCTGGGAGGGCGAGTGCACTTCAGAGCCACATTACAGCTTGCTACTATGAGCAGTTCTGCAGCAACTCACTTAATCACAACAGAAACCTTTATTAACGATACTGAAAAGCAGTGAATAAGTGGGTCATGTATAATAAGCCGTTTGTGTTCAGTAGGTGAATACCAATTTGATAAAAGCTGTGTGTGTTGAAAACCTGTATAAATCGCTGTTTAGCCTATCAGAGATTGATCATTTCATTACTCGCTGGTGGAGCTTCTCCTCCATGCGGGGCAGGAGAGAGGCCGGGGATGATGGGATGGATTCATCTGTGCTCAGTGGGGCCGGTGGGGCCCTGCCAGGCTCTGCCCGCTGCAGGCAGTGCCAGGAGCTCACTGGCATCTCTGCCTGGTGCAGGCGACCAGAGCAGCCTCTGCAGCCTGGCCCTGCCATCGCTGTTACCTGTATCCTGCCCGCAGCAGATGCAGCGAGGGAAGGGGCTGGGAGCCGTGTGCTCTGCAGGCGGCCGAGGCAGCTCCACGCTGCTGCCGGGCAGGCGGGAGCCATGGGCAGGCGGGCTGCTGCCAAGGGACAAAGTCTCGGTCAGGGAAAGTCCTTTTCCTGCCCCCACAGGGAAGGCTCTGACACGAGCGAGGATGGAGCGAGGATGGGCTCTGTCTGCCCTGCTGCCCTGGAAGAGCGCCTGAGCCGCAGGCTCCTTCCTCACCATCCCTCCCCTGCCCACAGCGCTGCCTCTGCTCTGCTCTCCCCTCCTCTCTCGTCTCCGCTCTCTGCTCAGGCTGGCGCCTTCAATTATTCATGCCCCCCATTGCAGAGCCTCTGCACGCTGGGCTGGTGCCATCCATCGCCTGCGAACCGGCGCTGCCTGGGAAGCTCCGGCCGGCTCCCGGCACAGGGCAGGGGCCGCCGCTGGGTGAGCAGCTGGAGCAGCGGCGGCTCCGTCCCCGCATCCTTCCTGAGCACCGGTGTCTCACCGGCCCTGGGGCCGCGGCTGGGGCTGGGGCTGGAGGGAGCCTTGGCTCCCTGGGGCGCTGCCCTTCTCCTTCTCTCACACCCGATGATTATTCTATCAATTACTTTCATCAACACTTTGCATTCTGCCGGATTTTTTCATGCTTCCTGGTGGGAATTCTCCACCCGATGTGTTTTTCCTGCTGCTGTTCGTGCAGTCATTCAATGCAATTACTTCTGACACTTCTCCTCATCAAATGTCTGTGCTTTCTTTTCCCTTGAAGAGGCTGACAGACGATGGGCCAGACACTGGGAATTATTACGTTAGGACAGTGACAGCTAATTTTAATCATAACGTTCCTGGTGAGTGAGGCAGTAAATCACACGGCCGGGGCAGCTGCACGGGGCTGGAGCCACCAACAGCACCGGGACAGGGATGGGGACCTGTCACTGGGATTCTGGTTCATGGAGCAGGAAGGACTCACCTGCCTCGGGGTGCACAGCCCTTCCCAGCCCACCCGACGATGGCTCTGGGTCCATCTGAGCTCTTCTTCATGGCCATTTCCTTGCCTGTGGGTCCATCTCCCGCCTGGTTCTCTCCTCCCCAGGGCACCCAGGGAGCACCCCACCACACTGCGGTGGGTGCGTGGCCAGGTACTGGGTCGTTGGCTGGACTTAGCTGTGCCAGATGTGTTGGTGCCATGCACCGTGTGCTCCAGATGCAGCTGGACCAGGATGATCCCATGGGTGGTGGGGTGGGCAGAGCCAGGTAGGAGGGTGCTGTGCCCATGAGAACCGGGAGCTGCTGGCTCTGTGGTATGGGAACCAGCACCATGCGTGGTGTGGGCAGCGCTGCCAGTGCTGATGGCCCCTGGTGCTGGGCATGAGGCTGGGGGTGCTGATCTGCGGTGAAGCAGAGCTTCCGTCTGCCCCACGCCGGTTCCTGCCTGCTGCCAGGTTCCCTGCCCATTGGGAATCATCCCCTGGCAGAGACCAGCAGCAGTGCGAGTGGTGGCTGCAGGGCGCTGCCGGCGTCCCGCCAGGAGCTGCTCCAGCAGCCGGTTTGAGGGGTCACACTCTCAAATAGCTGCCCCAGGAAAACCGCGGTGCCCCCGGGAGGGGATTGTCAGAACCGGGAGCTGGAGCTGGGAGCCCCTCGCCCGGGCAGCTCCTGGCAGCCGGGGCCGGGTCTCTCACTGCCGTTCTCCTGCCTGGGCAGCGGGAGGGCGACGGTGAACGGATGGGAACATCCGCGGGTTTCAAGGTGAATTCGAGCTCCCCGCAAGGTGAGCTCCGGCCTCACGCAGCCGCTCGGGGGGTTTGGTTTCATTTACGCTGCAAATTTGAGCTAATTCTGCTGCTAATGTGACAGTAAATAGGGGCAGAGAAATGGCGCTCCCGGCCCCGCCGTGCCGGCGCTCGCGGGGCTCAGCCTCACGCTTCTCCTGTGATGGCAGCATTGCCAGAGGGGAGCAGGGCTCCCGCGGTGCCGGGTGGATGCGGGATCCAGCCCTGGTCTCATCCCGTCCCTGCCGGCTGCTCCCTGCCAGAGCCGCCTGCCCTGCCCTCCCTGGTGCCCCCGGCCGCTCTGTTCATGCCCCGGTTTGTGGCCACGATGTGATTCTGGTGACCCGGGGTCAGCATCCCTGCGCCAGGCTTGTCAGGAGGAGCTGCATGCCCAGATGTTAACCTGCAGACGGGAAGAGGAGGGAGGAGCAGCAGTGCCAGCAACCCCGTGTCCAGCGGCAGCCGGGCTCCTGCTCCTGGATCCATCCAGGGGGATGCCTCCTGCGCCTTTGCCTCTGCCAGGGAGGATGGAGGCAGGTCTGGGTGTTGGTGGGGACCCGCTGGCCTGGGCATGGCTGATGACAGTGCCTGGGGACAGGCTCCATGGGGGCTTGAGGTGCCCCTCGCCCCAGGGCTGCAGCAGCCACTTCCAGGGCCGCTTCCTTCCTGCAGTGCCTCACGGCACCATCCCACTGCCGGGGAGTGGAGAGGGGGCTGCCAGGGCGAGAGGCTGAGCCCACATTGTCCATGAGAGTCTTGGCTCCCGGAACCGCGATAAACCAGGAATTACGGTGGAGGGGGGAATAAACCACGTCTGATCACAGCCCATGGCACAGCAGCGGCAGCCGGAGGGAGGGACAAGGGGCGGCAGAGGCTGATCCGGTGACACGGTCCTGCACCCGCCTGCCCAGGGCTGCCTCCTCCTCCTCGTCCACCTCCCCTGGAGCCGGGGGCTCCCCAGCCCTGCCTGGCCACTCCTCCAGCCCAGCCGTGGCTCTGCCAGGGGCTGCTGTGCTGTCAGGCAGAGAAAGGAGCATCTGCCTGACCAGTGCTGCGATGCTTCAGTGGGGTTCACAGCTCAGAGCAGGCGCGGGCACGACCCGGGTGACTCAGAGGCATTTGCGAATGTCCAATCCCTATTTAACCACCCTCCAATCCATGTTTACACAAACGCCGACCCCAGTGCATGCCCACGGCCCTGTTTAAGTTGCGGTTGTTGCAGCTGGTGTCTTGGGGAGGCTGGGAAAGGCAGCACGGCCCCTTGCAAGGCTGCACCAAAGCTGGGCAGTGAGCAGGGTCCTGGCCAGGCTCGCAGGGGCTGCATGGCTTCATGTGCTCCAGGGGCTGCAGGGGTCCAGCGCAGCGGCTGGGCCGTCATTTCCAGGTGCTGGGGTGATGGACAGCCTGGCACAGGCTGGGGGGGGGCACCCATTCCCTGCCACCCTCCTGCCCGTGCCGTGCAGGGCCATGGCAATGAATCCTGCCCGCGTGGGGAGGAGAGCAGCAGCCTCTATATCTCCGGTTTATGAGAGCACCAAGCTGTCCCAGCAGGCGTTTTCAATTGTTTATCTGTGTTTCCCCGTTGAGTTCATTTTATTTCCCCTGATTTTTGTTTCCTGCAAGATTTATTGATCCTGATTTTCCCAGTTTATGACAGGTACCAGGCCATAAAGCACGCGGCAGCCAGCCCAGCACCAGCCCCCCTCCTGCCGCCAGGATGCGGCACCGATGGCAGCAGTGGGGAGAGGGATGGTTCTGAGCAGCTCCAGCACCAAAGCCCCATCCTAGCAGCGGTGCCGCGGGGAGCCGGCTCTGTGCCCAGCCATGGGGCTGCTCATTGCCCCACCACGTTCCGTTCTCATGGCAGGGACTGTCCTGATGTGGATCCGGGGCTGGCGGTGGCCCCGTTGCCCCTGATCTGGGTGTCCTGGGGCGGCTGCTGGGGTGTCCCTTGGCACTGGGGTCCTGGAGCCCCTTCCCGCAGAGGAGCCCTGTGTGGGAAGCTGGGATGGAGGGAGCGGGCAGTGGGGCGGAAGGGAAGGATAAAGAGCCGGGATGTGCAGGGAGGAAGGGACCGGCCTCACCTTCCCTCCTGCTGTCAGACCCTGCTGTCCATCCATCCATCCATCCATCCATCCATCCATCCATCCATCCATCCATCCATCCATCAGCAGGCGCTTTATGCCTTGTCTGTCCCGAGTTCCCAGCGTGTCACTCACAGCTGCGGCCCTGGGGAGGCGAGGAAGGGCTGGGGGGGATCAATGGGGTTCATGGTTCCCGGGGGTGCTGGGGGGGGGTGTGTGTGTCCAGGCAGCTCCACCGGTGGGACCTGCCCTGCTTTGGCTGTGCTCTGGGGTTAATTAATACACGCGCTTCCCAATTAAAACCTGAAAGGAAGGAGGCGCCTGATTCAATCAGGCCTTTTCTCTGCTCGGCTGCCAAATCCCATCAGTGGGACCAGACCTTGAGTAACCTGGACAGTCAGAAGCTCTCTGGCCATTGCCGCTGTCTGGGCTGGCGCAGGCTCTGCCAGGACCCTCTGGCTTTGTCCATTGCTCCTGCCATTGGGAATCCCGCGGAGGAGAATCCCCATCCTGGGCTGGGGCTGGGGAAGGGTGGGTGAGCGTTGACTGGAGGTGCCTTTGCTATGTGCCGGGCAGTGCCGGACCCTCCTGCCCTTCCCTCAACCCCTGGTGCTGTTCCCAGTCGGATCCCCCCGGCACAGACACCCCCCCCCCGCCCCTGCTGGCTGCTGGTGCTGGGTCCTGGGCTAAGGGGCTGCAGGATCCGTGCTGGGAGCCCGGCGGGAGCCCCAGGGTGGTGGGAGCCTTGTGCTGGGTATTTCCCTCAGTTCCCCTGCTAAGATGGATTAAAGGGAAGTGATAAGTATAGAGGATTTCATGCGTCCGGAGGGACCGGGAGATACCGAAGGTATTAACTTTTCCGTCTGGGCTGATAGCAGTTCTTTTTCAGAGGGGATCAGGGCTTGGTGGGAAGCTGCGCGCTGCTTCCGAGCGGGCCTGGGTCCCGGGGGGCTGCGATGGCACCGCAGGGACCTGCGTGGTGGCTGTGAACCGGCAGTGCCGGTGGCACGAGGGGCCTGGTGAAGGTGCGAGGGCAGATCCAGCAGGACCCCGTCCCAGCCCCACTGCCTCTGCGGCCAAAACAGCGTCAGGGGCACGGGGGGCTCTGGCAGCCCCAGGCTGGCTGTGCTGGCGCTGGAGGCTCAGCCCCTGTGCCTGTGCCGTGCCGCGGAGAGCCTGCCGCAGGCTGTGGGGATGCATTTGGCAGTGACCCGCGCGCTGGGGCCGTTGTTACAGAGGAGCAAGGATCCCTCCAGAGGAGATGAAAAGAATTCTAATTACATCTCTGAACAATATTTGTTTTGAGCAAGGAAAACAAACCGTATGGCATGTGGGAGAGTGTTTGAGGCCGCGTTAAACAGGGATTTGGTTTTCATTTGTGCTCTGATCTAAGCGGATGCTGTATTCAGCATCCGAGGTGCACTGGGGCCCTGTCACCCTGGGGCAAGGTCCCAGGGGGAGGTGGGGCGGGGGACTCAGGGGCTTCTGCTCCCTCCCTTTCCTGCCACCGCCCCTGGCAAAGGGTCGGGGGCTGGGTCTGCCTGCCCAGGATGGGTCCTGGTGCTCCTGGTGGCCCTGCTCGCATGGGCGGTGGCATCGCCCCTTGCTGTGACAGTGGCACATCCCCGCAGCCCTCGCTCTGTCTCCTGCAGCCCTCTTCACCGAGACCCCCCACGACATGACAGCGCAGGCGGGCGAGGATGTGGAGATGGCGTGTTCCTTCCGCGGCACCGGCTCCCCCTCCTACTCCCTGGAGATACAGTGGTGGTACGTCCGCAACCACAAGGACTGGGCAGACAAACAGACGTGGGCTTCCAACCAGGTAATGCCCCTCGTCCTCCCCATCCAGCAGCAGCAGTGAGAGGCAGAGCTCTCATGGGACTTCCCTTGCAGCAGCATTTGAGGCTCAGGGGGGTCCCTGTCCTGCAGCAGCAGCAGCAGCACTGACTGGTCCTGCAGGACCATGTGTGGGGTGCACAGCATCCCGCTGCACTGAGGATGCTCCAGTGCACAGGCCTGGGCTGTCCTGGCCACTCTTTCCAGTTATCCCACCCCTGGGGACTGACCCAGGCAGAGGCTTTGCCCTGGTGCTTTTGCCTTCTCCCATCTCATCACAACTGCCCTTGCGTCCGGCCCATCCCTGCATCCTCCCCCTCCAGCCCTCCCTTGTTTTCCCTATTTCCATGTGTACTGGTCTCGGCAAACAGCTGTCTATTTCTGTTCACACAGAGATAAGGGCCAAATAATGGGAAGGCAGCTTTAGGTATTTTAATGAGCCTTTATTACTGTGTCTTTGGCAGAGCTGCTGCTGGTATTACCATAAATTGAGCAGCATCCACGAAGCTGCCGCTGGCTCAGAGCTGCCAGGGGCTGCAGGGCGAGGGTGGTTGGAGCGGGCATCGAGCCCAGCCCAGGTCATGGGGAGCACCCACTGATGGAGCTGGATGCGATGGGGACCCACGGGCAGGCACCCTGTGTCCTCCAGCCACTGAGGTGCTCCCACCCCTTCCCATGGGCCTTGTATGGCTCCCACCTGCCCAGGGTGCTCGAGTTTGCCAGGGCTGGGCAGCCCCTTCTCCCTTCCCCTTCTCCCTTCTCCTCCTCCACGGAGCAGCCACCCCGGGCTCCGCTGGGCTCCTGCCTCCTCGCAGCTGAGCTGACGGTTTCTCTTCCCTCTCTGGTCTCTCCCATCCCGCTCTTCCAGCAGCTGAAAGCTTCGCCGCAGGAGGAGCCTGGGAAGGATGCGACTAAAATAAGCGTGAGTGGGGATAATGGCTCCTGCAGGGCCGCCGGCAGCGGGATGGGAGGGTTCCTGGTGCCCGGCGCTGCGCAGGGCAGGGGAGCAGGAGGGTCCCCAGGGTTGGTGTCCGTGCGAGGCCGGTGCCCCAGACAAGGTGTCCTGGGGCTGGGGGGTGTCAGGGACCCCCGGCACTGGGGGCTGCAGCCTGGATGTGAGCCCCGACCGGCTCCTGGCGGCATCTCAGGGACACGCTGGTGCTGAGGAGAAAATGAATCTAATTTAGTCAGGGACTGTCATCCCAAAGCCCGCCGGGTTCACGTGAGCAGGATGAGGAGACGCTCCTCTGTTGCTGGCAGCATGACCCCCCCCGGCCCTCCCAACCTTGGGGGGCTCTGTGCTTGGGGGTGCCACTGAAACAGCAGCATCAGAAGGCGCTTCCCACCCTCCTGCTGCAGGCTCTTCATTCACCCTTGCAGAGCACAGGGGGTCCCCACGGCAGGAGGGGTGAGGCGGGCGCTGGGCTCGGCTCAGCTCCACCGCTGTGCCCGGTGCTGCCGATGCGGGTGCGGTGTAACCGGGGGTATCTGAAGTGCTCGGGGTGCAGCAGCTCTGCTGCCTCCTGCAGACCCAGCGAGAGGCGTGGGTGTCCAACCGGCTTCGTTCTGTTGTTTTAAACGTCCCTGAGTCTGAAGTGTTTCCAAAGGGAGGCGATGAATGGCCATGGGCAAAGGCACCACGAGCCCCTCTGATAAACCCCACGTTACAGCCACAGCAGCAAGTGACTGAGAGCAAAGGGCAGTGCCAGGCGGTGCGAGACGATGTAAATCACACAGAAACGGCTGCATCGGGCAGCCCTGGGCCAGGCTTCCTCTGCCAAAACACACTTGGCGCTGGAGAGGCCGGCGCCGGCTCTGCCCAGACGCGGCAGCAGCAAACACCACGGGTCTGGGTTTATTTCCCACCTCATCTTGCATTCTTTAACCCCTGTTTTGGTGCTGAGCGCGGCACGCTGGGGGCTGAGCTGGGGCTGGGCACTGCTGTGTCTGTCTGGCCTGACCAGCGCGGGGGTCTCTCAGGGCAGCAGGAAGCCACAAGCATCACAACAGGTCATAAACTCATCCCTGCCGTAGCCGAGGCGCGGGCTGAGGCTGGCGGAGCTGCGGGGCAGGGCTCCAACGGGAAACTGGGCTTTTCTTGCGTTAGTTCTGAACTTCCCGCCCGTCCACCTCGGTGCCTCCTGGCTCTGCTGACACAAAGGTGTTTTCTGAAGCTCCTTCAGCACCCAGCTCACTCACACCAGCACCCACTCATCTCCCCCAGCGCACAGCCCCTGCCCCATCCCGGGCACGGCTCGGAGCCTGCCTTGGCCTGGGCCCTCTTTCTAAACACCATAAAATCTTCAGCTAACAAACGCAGCGGCGAGCAGAAAAATGGCCTTTGCCGTCCGGCGTGATTATAGGGAACAGAGGCAGGGGCCTGGGGCCGGTCATAAATGTGATTTATTGACCTAGCCCAGCAGCAGCCCCGGCTCTGGCGAGCGAGCGAGTCTTACATTTCATGGGGTGATAAATACTGAGAGCGAATCAATTTGGTAGGAAAGCTAATTACCGGCGCGGATGCGCATCGATCCCGAGCCCCCCGCAGGGACCGCGTCACCCCGGCGTCCGGGGTCCCCCACCTTTGCCACGTCCCCTGGGACCCCCGGAGGGGGCGCTGCGCTGGGTGTCAGCGGGGATCCCCACAGGCGCCTGACCCCCGTGTGCCCGCCGCAGGTGGTGAAGGTGGTCGGCAGCAACATCTCCCACAAGCTGCGCCTGTCGCGGGTGAAGCTGGAAGACGAGGGCACGTACGAGTGCCGGGTGATCGACTCCAGCGACGGCCAGGCCCGGCACCACAAGGTGAAGGCGTACCTGCGCGTGGAGGCGCCGGGGGGCACGGGGCACCCCCAGGACACGCAGCCGCACGGAGCAGCGCTGCCGGAGCCCGGCTCGGGGCACGCTCACCACCACCACCACCACCACAAGGCCGGGAAGGAGCTGAGGAAGCGCTCGGCGGACGCCTCCTGCGCGCTGTAGGCGGGCGGTGCCGGGGGGACGCCGCAGCCCCCCCCTCACGCCCCGGACTCAGCGGAGCCCTCGGGGGTCCCGCGCCCCTGCCAGAGACTGGCCCCGCCGCCCATCTTGCCCATCGACCCCCTCGCCCTCCTCCTCTTCCTCCCGCCGGCCAGCACCGGGTCGGTCTCTTCCCCAGCCCCGCGGTGCAGCGGTGCCAGGGCTCGGTGCGGGAGCAGGACCGTGTCCATGACAGGGGCATCACCGGGGCTGGTGATGGTCCCCATCCCACTGGTGCCATGTGGGGGTGCCCTGCTGTTTGCTGCCACCGCGGTGCCACCGGCCGCTTTGTGCCCCAGCTTTGGTGCCCGGTGGAACCCCTCTGCCTGTGGGACCCTCCCTGCCCTCCCTCGTGCTTCGCAGAAACCTCCTCCTGTTCCCGTAGGAGCCCTGGTTTAGTTGCTCTGCTCAGCCCCGCTCTGTGTATAAGTTCCAGCATCCATCTTACAGACCACGTGAATCACCTGCCCCTGCCCCTGCCTGCCCCAGAGCTGCCCCAGCGCATCAAGGCTTGAGCTCAGCAGAGAAGGACGGCGCAGCATGCTCCCGGCACGCTCCCGGCACGGCTGTGGTGCCATGGGCTGCGCCGCGCATTGCCCAGCCAGGCACTGCCCGCGGCCCCCATGGGAGCTGTGCCATGGGAGCTGGCCCCGCTTTCACACATTGCTCCTCCCGGCCCTTTGCATTCCATGGAGGAAGGGGGGCTTTGGCCACGAGCCCCATCCGCCCTCGCTCTGTCCCCACTGCCCGTGCCGGTGCCGCATGGCTGAGCATCCCTTCCTCCTGCGCCACAGCACCGCACTGGCCTGGGCCACAGGCTCCGCGTGGCTGCCAATGGCACGTGGGCAAATGCCACTGCTGGGGATGGGGCTGTGGGGAGGGATGGGAGGGCCCCGGTGTCCCTGCCAGGGTGCTGGGTGCTGCTCCCTGCCACACCAGACCTGCTGCAGCTAATAAAGCTCTTTAAACGAAGCCTCTGTGGGTCTGCGGTCTCTGTGCCTGGCACAGGGAGGGGAGGTGGCTTTGGCACTGTCTTGGCTAAAAGGCACAGTTGGGGCTGCCCCTGGGGCTGGTGGGCTGGGGGCAGTGGGGATGGGATGGGATTGGGGTGTGGGTGATGATGTTCGTCATCACCTGCAGCTGAGGGGTCAGAGCATTTAAAAGCTGCAGCTGGGGAGCTCCACCTCCTGCTCTGCTCTGCTCTGGCTGGGAGTGGGGTGATGCTGCCCCACGGGTGCAGGACACAACCAGGTCCCAGGTGAGCTGGGCCTGCCTCACACCATGGCCATGGGGAGCTGGGTGCTGTGGTGAGGCTGGGCGGGCTGCTGGGGTCTGGCCCCTCTGTGCTGCTGGGCACCAGCTTCAATCCCTGCCTGGGCACCAGAGCAAAGGCCTCATCTCTGGCCAGGCAGGAGGCTGGGTCCCTGCAGTGGGGTGCTGGGGGCTGCCCCTGGGTCAGGCTCTGCTCTGGGTGAGGAGCTCCCGGCAGTGGCAGCGCTGACTCGGCCCCATCTGCCGGGAGCCCCCCGGCTGCTTTGCAGTTCATTGCTCCCTGGGGCTCGGCAGCGCTCCCCTCGCCTCGCCTCTGCTTTGCTCATCCGAAGCCCTTTGTCATGGCTTAGAGTAACAAAAGCACCGGCCGCTGCCCGGGGGCTGAGGACGGGCACGGCGCTGCTGGTGACCGCGGCGAGAGCCACCGTGTCCCTTGCGCCCGGCCTGGCTCCCAGCTGCAAAGCCCGGTCCCGGCGGAGCAAGGGGCACCGGAGGCGGGGAGGGGAGCACGCAGGTGCTGCCAGGAGGGAGGGGTTCGGGGGCCGCAGGGCAGGGGGGCTCTTGGTGGCAGCTCTGCTTTGCCACAGGCAGCCACAGCCGCGGGGCTTGGGATGCGCTTGGGTTCCTGGTCAGGGACCCGCGCCCCGGGGGAAGGAGGGGAGCGGGAGGCGCCGTCTGCCTCGGAGGGAAAGGAAGAGCCGGGGCTGCGCTGGGGAGGGCGAGAGGCTGCAAATCACCTCCAGGGGAGAGTAAACAAACCGCTGTGTGGAGGAGTCACCTGCAGAACCCAGAGGCGAGCTTTAAAACGAACGGGTTTTATTAGCTGAGATTAATTTTGCCGAGTTTAGGGGAAATTTTGGCGTTGGAGCCAAAGGAGAGGGACCTGCTGGATGTGGGAGCAGGACCGAGCACCTGACCCACGGGCTGTGTGGGGCTCTGCCCTGGGTCTGTGTGTGCAGGAGGTGGCTGGACACGGGTTTCTCTGCCCCTCATCCCTGGGGAAGATGCTTGGAGCAGCCCCGCTCCCTGCCCCTGGGGAGGGCTGAGCCCCTGTGCAGCCCCTCCAGCTCCGCATCCTCCAGGGCACTGAAGGTGCTCAGTGGAGCTGGGCACCCTCCGCACCCTGGGTGCTGCCGCAGCTCGGTCCCTGGTCCTGGCACGTTGGGTGCTGCTCGGGTGCCTGCCCTGGGGAAGGGGGTTCGGGCAGGGCAGTGGAGCAGCCCCCGGCCCGCTTGTGAACGGGCTGAGCTTAATATGCAAGTCACTGCTGGGGAGGAACCAGCCTCATGAAAATGCCATTTCCACGCAGTCGCTCTTCTGGCCATTATCCTGCTTCAGACAAAAGCAATTTACTCTGCCTGTAATAAAGCAGGGGTGATAACGAAGCTGAGGAGAGCCGTGACAGGCGGCTGTGACGGCGGCGCCGGGGGGGTCCGGGAGAGCCGTGACACCGGATGAGGGCACCGGGGGTCTTGGTGCAGTTGGTTGTGCTGGGGCCTGGATGGGGGGGGAGGCTTGTCTCGGTGCAGGTGAATCCAGAAGGATTCTGCTTCCCAGAGGGACCAGCTCACACCACCAGCAGAGGCTTGGTGTGAGCACATGAACCCGAGGGGTGAGCTCCACTAAGTGCTACAACCCCCAAAACCCTGTGCCAGTCCTGGGGTGCTTTGGAGCCTAAAGGTTTCCTCTCCCACCTCTCCTGTCTTCCCATCAGCTCAGCTCTGCAGGGCACCTCTGTGCAAAATCCAGCCCCGTGTTAAACAGTCGGCGTGTGTATCCACAAAGCATGAAAGGGCAGAAGCTGCGCTGCAGCCCTGTCCTAGCTGGTAAAAAGCCATCGATCTGTGTGTTTCCTGGAGGACCAGCCCCCTTGGTTCCAACCATCGAGACACGTTTTGGATGCTCACACGGGATCCCCAGCAGCGATGCTCGAAGCCTGTGCCATGTCACCATCAGTTTATTGCTTTGGTTTTTGCCTTTCTGAGCTTGCTCCCACACTCGCAGTCACAGTCTGTCCCTTTGCTCCCCCAGCACAGAACTCTTGTGGGTGCTGCAGCTGCCAGGAGCCGCTCGGGGTGAAGGAGCTGAATCCCAGAGACACGGCCTGGGAGCAGCCGGCTGCAGACTGTCTGCGATGGAGCCTGGAGGACCCGGAGCTGCAGCGGGTTCCTGTGAGCCCTGCGTGTTCCGAGGGGCAGCAGGAGACCCCAGGGACTGGCTGTCCCCCCCTCTTGCTGCATTGCAAACCATGGCACTGCCATGCTCACACCTCCTGTCACCTCCTCTGACCACGTCTGCGCCCACCCTGGAGGCTGCACAGGGCACAGGTAGATAACTTCATCCAGGTCTCCTCAGGGTGGGTGATGGAGAGGGGTCAGAAATGCCCTGTGGAAATGGCAGGCGACTGGGGAGGCAGGAGCCTTCACTCACTGCAAGCTGTCAGCCAGGGCTGGGTTTCACTGCCACATCTGGTCACACTAATCCTGCTCTGTGGTGGGACTTTGGAGCACAATGCAGTTGCCTGGTCTCAGCAGCAGCCTTGATGTTCCCCAGAGGATCTGTTGCTCTTGCTGGGAATACTGGTGAGGATTTACTGGAAATGCATTTTAACTTTTCTGGTATCAATTGGTTTTACAAAGAAAATGGCTTTAACACACCCAAGCTGGATTCTTTCCTGGGAAGGGTTAAGGCCAGAAATGGGCTTCTGAGTTGTCAACTGCTGTCAAGCAGAGAACAGGAGAAAGGATGCCAGTTGTGAGGAGGTTGGAGGAGTGGGGTGGCTGCTGCAGGGCCACTGGCCAAGGATCCAGAGCTGGGAAGTAAGTTCTGGAAAATGACTCGCTCTCGGTACTGAAGCCCTTGAAGCAGATGTGCTGTGACCCTCAGAGTCCTGCCCAGCACCAGGCCAGGAGGAATCAGAGCAATGTACCCACCTCACCTCGACGGCTGTTTAGAACAGGCAGCTCCTCCTCTGCCCCGCACGATCCGGGCTCCAGATCCCGGCCTCTTCCTGGGTGAGCTCCATCCCGGCAGCTCCTCTCCCGCTCCAGCCACTTCAGAGCTCCCTCAGGGAGGGGGTTCCTGGGCTCCGCTCTCCCGCTGCCGCAGCCGCTCCAGCAGCAGCCCCACGTTGTCCGTCAGCTCATTCCGCGGCCTCCCCATCCCTGCCAGCTTCACCGGCCGCAGGCTGGCGTGGGGGGGCTCGTACCCGTGCGGGCAGCAGGTCTCTGTCAGCAAGAGCCATGTCCAGTCAGGGTCCACGGCCATTAAGTGGAGGAAAACACTGGGAAACGGTGGGAAGAAAGGAAGGAGTGAGAAGGGCTTCTGCTTGGCACCCGGCAGGGCCCTCAGCAGAGCTGCGGGATGCTCTGATGTGCTCTGCCAGCTTGAACAGAGGCGCGTTAGAGAGCACCATTAAAATGGCTCCTGTGCTCAAGAGAAGACAGTGGAGCTGTTTCACAGCTGCTGGCAAGTGGGAGAAAACCTGTTCTGCCCAGCAAGTTATGGACATCAGCCCAGCACCTGCTGACTAACTGACCCAGGCTCTGGTCTGGCAAAAGCCTGTCCCAAGCACTGGGAGGTGACCGCAGCGTACGCACGTGCTGCTTACACCCAGGATGCTCTGGATCTGCAGCGCTCCTAAAGCAAGGTGTGGATGTTGGTCAGCACCCTCGCTGGGTTTGGCAAATGAGGGGTCAGCCCACTGGACTGCTCTCCATTTTAGGTGGTGAACACAAGAGGGTTCCTGGGCAGCTGCCACAGGTAAGGTTAAATGCTGTATTGAGGGCATTGTATCCTAATCCTTATTTGCTGCCTCCAAATTGTCTTCCTTCTGCACAGCACCTTTCACAAAGCAGGATTTTCTTTCAAACCAAACAAACCCCACACCTCCTTCCTTACCAATGGAATGGAGGAGGAATGGCAGCTCCTCAAATGCTTTACACTGTGTTGTTGATGGTTTTCACTGTGAATGTCAATACCTCGGGTAAGCCAGGGATCTGATCTCTGAGCAAGCACCCTCCTGCCTCCAGCTGTGAGCCCCATTGCAAAGCCTCTGGACAGTCCTGCTGGAGAGCAGGAAGCTCCCAGGAGGGGAAGGGCTGGTTGGCATGACCTGCACTTGCTCATTTCCCCTGCCAGCTCTGCCTGCAGTAACCTTTGGGCTCAGCCAGGCCTGTCTCGGGGTTTGAGAAGCGGCGTCCACTGAAATCAGTCACGGGGCCATGAGGAGAACAGTGGGATGAGGCGATGGGAGGGGCAGAGGTGGGTCTGTCTGTCCCCGCAAGCAGCACTGGACGGAGCTCCCCTCTCTAAAACCAAAGATCACCTGCTCCAAAAGCCACACAAAATGCAGACCCCACTGTGTCCGAACTCTCCCTGAAGAACCTGCACCCCTCGAGTGAGCTCATTTCCGACCTAAACCAGGCAGGAATCCTGTTTAGCAGCTCTCCTGTGAGAGGGAGCACGGTGCTGAGGGGAACCTGGGAGAGCACAGAAACGAAATGAAGGCACTAGAAAGCTCCCTCACCTCACAACAATCCTGTGGCTGGGTGACCCTTACACCATGAGCAGCCAAAGCTGTTGCTCTTCCCTGTCTGCCATTAACCCCTCGCCTCTCTCTCGGCGCAGGTCTCTGCACAGCAACGAGGGGAGATGTCCCTGCAAGCTGCTGGCAGCGTCCCCTCCTGCGGGTGCTGTGGTTCCTATCGGTCTGCTCCTGAGGAACCAGCCTGGACGTGCCCCAAAGCCATGGGCAATGAGCCTCCTTCCTGGGAGCGGCTGGATGTAGGTGAGCTCACGGGGCTCCTGCTCCCCTTCCTTGTTCCTGCAGCTCTCTGATGGGACACAGGAGGACAGGCCTGGCCCCAGGGGGAGGGCTGGCACCTCCTGCCAGCCCCACACCAGCTCTCCAAGCTGCTGGTGCTCGCTTGGCCGTGGCAGCATGAGCGTGCTGCTGCCAGCAAACAGCAGGTCCCAGTGGCTTCCCCAGCTCGGGATGGGTGCTGGGCAGCTGCTCGGGAACAATCCTCTCTCCATGTGGCAGGGCGGATAGGGCCAGGCAAGATGAGTCACTGTGAAGTAAACATAGGAATGGGGAATACTGTTCAGCTGGCTTCTGCTTCTCCAGCATGGGCACAACCTGGGCTCTCGTACCCTTCCAATACCTAAAGGGGCTGCAGGAAACCTGGAGAGGGGCTTTGGACAAGGGCCTGTAGGGCCAGGCCAAGGGGAATGGCTTTAACCTGCCAGAGGGCAGACTGAGATGAGCTCTGAGGCAGAAGCTCTTCCCTGTGAGGGTGCTGAGGCGCTGGCACAGGGTGCCCAGAGAAGCTGTGGCTGCCCCATCCCTGGCAGTGTTCAAGGCCAGGTTGGACACAGGGGCTTGGAGCAAGCTGCTGCAGTGGAAGGGGTCCCTGCCCGTGCAGGGGTTGGAGCTGGAGGAGCTTTCAGGTCCCTTCCAACCCAAATCAGGCTGTGGTCCTGATTCCCAGAGAAGACCTCTGCTCCCCCAGCCTCTCCCCATCAGCTGCTCTGCAGAGAGCCACCCCCAAGAGCTTGGTGGTCCCTGGAGAACTCCACAGCCTCTGGTGCTGCAATGGCCTGAGGTGTGTGATTATCTCCGATAACCCGGAGTGCCGTGCAGCTTAAAGAACAACTTGACTTTCACATTTCAGACTAACGCTGGGGTAGTTTCTAAGCAACCTGTTTCCATGGCAAAGAATCCTGGGGTTAATCCAAGTTTGTTTTCTGATGTTGCTTTTTTTTTAAAACTTAAATATAATTTTATTGGATTTTGCTTGTGCAGGTGGCTCTCAGTGTACTTGAGCCCAGCACGAGACTGATGGCTGTTAATCAGCAGGCAGTGAACTACACAATCAACGCAAAGGAGGTACACTGCTAGACCAACTCCCAGATCTAAAAAGGTCCAAAAATAGTTCCTATTTGTTCCTGTTGTGCTAAATCACTTATTCTACCAGCACAAAGCAGAGCATGGCTGTTTTCTTACCTTTTCCCAAGCTCCAAGCAAAGCCAGGGCACAGTGGATGGGCTGGCAAAGGACAAGTCTGGCTGCTGCATCTCTGCTGAACATTAAACTAACAGGCTTCAGTAGGCACTGGGGAAATTATTTCTGGAGAAAACCAGGAGAAAACCCCCATTCCTACCCAGGTGGTTGATGCAAGGGTCAAATGGTAAAACCTCCAAAGCTCTGAGGGTGCATTAGGAATGGAGTGTGAATTTCCAAGCAGCCTGCAAAATGCAGAACTCCAAAGTTGGCACAGGCTAGTGACAACTCCTTAGACCCTATCCCTTCAGTTTCTTTTTCCCTGGAGTGAAAAGCTTGTCAGGAATGATACAACTTAATGGACTGATGAGAAGCTCAGATTCACACATGGTGACTTTGTTTGCACCATCTCCCCCCACCTTGTTCTAGTGCTTGGGCCCCACATGCCCCCTTAGCTGCTCAGGGGTTCTGGTCACTGTACCTGCAGTGCACTGGCTTATTCTTAATGGCAGGGCAGACGCAAGCAGTGCTCCCCAGCTTCCCAGGCTCTTCTGCAGCAGCTCTGGGTTGGGTTTTTTTAGTGTGTTTTAGGTTGTTTTGGTGCATTTTGTTTTTCTCAGGCTTTGGAAAACACTCCTCTCCTGGAACACTCCCAGCAGTCATCTTACAACAAAGCCCATTGTCCCATTTTCTCCTCCTCAGCCATGCTGGAGTCCTTTTTCCTTTTTTTTCCCCAGTGTCTCTTTTTGCCTGGTGAGTATCGCATGAAGCTGCAGTTACAAAATTCACTTACTCCCAGTGGTTCACCTAATGAAACTACAGGGTTCCATAAATGGGATTAAGCGGCCTCCTTGGGGCATGATAACATCCCTGGATGACAGCCAGAACTCCCTTCGTTTTTTCTCTTGTGGTTCCAGCACCTTGGCTAAAATTCCTGCTCAGCCCTTTGCATACCTGCACGCTCCTCACTCGCTCAGTGCAGGGAGTTATTGGAGCTATGACTGACTTGGTAAGACCTGACCTTGCTCTTGGCAGGTCACAACTCATGAGTTGAATAAGAATCCAAAAAGCTGAGCAAAGGCCACTTAGTATAAATCAATATGGCAAGCTGGTTCCAAACATCTTTTTACCTTGTGTGATTTCTGCAGTGATAAAGCTGAGTTATGTGACGTATGTTGGCATTCAGGCTGTGGCTAAGATTAGTTCTGGCCCATCTGTTTTTAGAAGCATTTAAAATGCAGAATTCTTCATGTATCAGGTGATAAGTGCCCTTGCCTGGATGGAAAGGGCCTTACATGTGACAGCCTGTGTCAATTTGCAGGATTGCTTTTGGGCACATGGAGAGCAAGGAAAAGGACTGGAGCTTACAGGAATGTGGTGCTTGAGCTGCTGGAGAAAGGAAATTGGGGAATGGCTGAGAAGTGATTCTTATCTGGCTGAAGCCTTGTATCATGTATTCTAGTTAGAGGTGATTGTGCTGTGCTTAACTCTGATCCCCTCAGGCTCCAAGACCAGGGATCAGACAGGACTAAACTAAAACAAATAGGAATGAAAACTACAGGTACTGCCATAGGCATGGTTAGTATCAGGCCAGATACAATGCATGCCTCAGAGCATGTATGTGTCTGGTCAACACTGCTGTACAAGAGAGCTGTTCACAAAGGCCTTTCTTTGTTCAGTGAAATGTGCAGTGCATCAGAGGCAGGGGGGAGCAGTGTAACATGTGCCATTTCCCTTAAAATAGTGTAAAAATAATATACAGGAGAAAAACATTGCTTGCCCTGAACTTTACTGCCCTTTTCCTCCAACAGCTGTGAGCATCCTTCACAGTACAGCTTCTAATGACCCCATCGCATCGCAGAGCTCAGGCAGTATTTTCCCCCAGCCCTACCGGGGAGGGAAATTGCACAGCTTTTTAGATTGTTTTGTTAATGATTTGAAAGCTTAAGGTTCCAAATATCTAGATGGATCCTGGTGTTCTGCTTTCCTTCCAGCATTGCTTACACAAATGAAGGCTTTATTGTGCTAAGGGTATGCAAGCCTACAGCGACGAGCCTCTCAGCAGAACAAACGCTGCCGAAGCCTGCTGCGATGCAATGAAAGCCACGAAGGTAAAAATAAACCTGCTCTCCCCAGTGCAGGAATACAAACAAAGGCACAGCTACAGCTTCTGAGCACGCTCCTTCTGAGCTGCTGCCCAGCCACACAAAGCCCTTCACCCCATGCACCTCGGAGACCGGTGCTTGGCGAAGGGAATGGCAGCTCTTCTGTTTGCCCTCTGAAGTCTCCACACCCGCTGAACCTGCTCCCTGCTGGCTCCCTCCCCATAGACAAGGCTGCCCACACAGAGAGGGAGCTCTCCCCTGTCCTTCAGCAGGGACAGAGAGGCACAGCTCACCCATTCATGCTCTGTAACTGGGCTCGTTTTGTCTGCTGAAATCTCTGGCCCTGTGTCCAGGTGACAACATATGACAACAGCAATTTCTTATCCTGACGGCAGGAACATGCTGAGCAGGATCTCGTACACCGAGCAGCAAAGTATGTCTGTCAACACTTCATACAGCTGATGTGTGTTCACCTAAACTGTCTGTGCTCCTCTAACCTCTCCCAGAGCAAGACTGGTGCCAAGACTGACAGCTTCCCAAACAACTCTCATCCACCTGGCAGAGCCCCGCCTGGCATCTTCACAGGAGCCCAGGGAAAATGGAAGGATAACAGAAGTAAATCCCCAGCCTGCAGAAGGTACTACGTGATAAAACGCATGGGAATGTCTGGCACATCCTCTTGCATAGCTGCCTTCTCCTCTGCAGTTTTATGCCACCAGTGGGCATAGAGCCCCAAGTATTCCCACAAAGGAGGCAGTTAGAAAACAGCAAGTAGCTCATCTTCTCCCTCTGTTCCCAAATGCCCTGCAAAGAAATCTGAAAGTAAGCTGAGGCTTGTGGGCATGCTACCCTCTAGCTCATTTTGGGTAGTAGATGGTACTTAACCAGAGAAAGGGGTTAACTTCCATGATACCCTGTTGTGCAGGACTCCAACGTGCCAGAGGGAGGAGTGGGAAAAGTGCCTAGGGAAAGGGGCAACTCTGCTGCCTCTGTCCCTCATTATTTGTACACCTGATACAAAGGCATTTATGAGACATTACCTCTGGGCAGCTTCTTGCAGTTTCCTGGGTTGCTTGGCGCTGAGGTAAATCAGGCAGGCATCTGCCACTTTATTCAGGTCACACTCGCCTGCAGAAATGGAACAGAGAAGAAGGGTAGGAGGTAACCCACTGCAGCCTGACAGCTCTAAATTGGCAGCAAGAGGCTTCTGAGACTTTGAACTGTCTGACCCAGAGCTCTTCTGACCTTGCCTTTTGAGCATCTTGCTGCCAAGCTAGGAAAGCAATCAAGGGCATTGAGAGAGGAAAAGAGCAACTGCCCAGCAAACCTTCTCCCTCATCAAAGTCAGCTCCAGGAATTTAACCTAGAAGAATTTCAGAGGGTCTCATTCTGTAGAAGAATGCAACGTGCTGCAGAGAGATGCCCCAAAATGGAACCAGTCAGGTTAGCCAGAAGTCTTAGCTGGGCTCCAGTTCTCCAGTTAACTGAGAACAAATCATGGCCCAACAGGCCCGGCTGCAGCTATCCAGGAGCTCCACTTTGTACCCACTTCTCATGCACAAGTGACATGATCAGTCAGATTCTGCAAAGTGTTGGGAATCTTCTCTCCCATTTGTCTCTTGGGGAGTAAAGAGCAACCAGCCTCTCTTTACAGAGCTCTCAAAGAGGACACATGAAGGACCTGAATGAGATGAGGCTGGGGAAATCAGGAAATCAATCCCATGGAGGAGCAGAGGGCTAAGAAGCAACTGCAGGCTTGGTCAGTGGAGCTGAAAGGAGAAGAGGTAAGCCTGGCAGAGATCTCGCACAGCCTGTACCTCCCTGGTACTCACCCATGTCCAGCTTCTCGCACAGAGAGCCCAGGCCCTGCAGCACAGCCAGCTGCAGCTTGAAGGCGAGCGTGTGGGTGTACACAGGCCCGGCTCTGGCACTTGCTGGGGCCTGGCTGAGGAGGGAGCTGGTCAGCTTAGGCAGGACATCTCTGGAGAATCTCAGCCTCAGGAAGTCCCCACACTTCTGAGCCAGGGTACACAGCACCTAGTGAGGAAGCACCAGTTACTGGAGGGTAAGTGCACAGAGCTCTGGGAGGAGCCCAGCATTCCAGAGCTCTGTTGGGACATGGCACTTCTTTCCTGGGTAGTTTTATTGCAGCTGAGGGCAATGTGGCCACACCTGATATGGTTTTCCATAGGGAGCAGAAGGTGAATGCTCGATTGAGGGGCTGAGTGACATGCACCCTGCTTTTGTTTCACTTGACCACCTCCTGGGACTGCCTTTCTCCCACCAGCACAGTAAAGGTAGGAGTAGCTTGTCAAGTCTCACTCAGAATTGCTGGAGGAGCCTCTGATGGAAGATGCCACTAAGATATAAATCCCCTTTGTAGTGGAAACAGCCCATCTACAAGCATGGCAGTGAGCAGAAAGGCTGACTGGCTACAGCCCAGGCACCCAGCACCCATGGGTGTGTGCCCAGGAGAGAAACCAAACTGACCTAGAGAATGGCCTTAAATACACGTGAAAAGGAAGGAGGGATCCATGGCCCCAATCCATCTGGTCACAATACTGTTCCCTCTTAGAACTTGGCTTATCCTCTCCTCTCCCAGTACCTCCATTGAGGAAAAAATCCCTTCTTTTCAGTCTTAACACTTCCAAAAAGAGTATTGGTACTCGCTCCACCAAGGGCAAGTTGCACTATACAGTGCCTCTGACAGCTGCTTAGGCTATAAAAGAACCATTTTCCTCTTCCCTGCAATACCCACTACCATTGCTCTTCCCCCCAGGAACGGTGTCAAGGTTTTATCTGTGGACAAGCTGCAGTGGGTGTGGTACAAGCCTTCCCTCTGCAGGGTGGTGACCCTGTGTTCCCAGCCACAGTTAACATCACTCCACAGGCTCGGGGCTTCTCTCACGGGCAGAGCAATGCCTGAGCACTTGGCTTCCAAGCACCAGCTTGAAGGCTCTTGGCAGAGCCTCGCTGCTGTACCTTGAAGGCTCTGAGCACTGCCAGAGGGTCATCGCTGATCAGGCGGGTGACGAGAGCTGGCCAGACACGGTGAGCCATGGGAAGCAGATGGTTTCCGTGAGGATGCAGCACAATTACACAGAGCTCCAGCACGTCCAGAACCTGGGCAGGAGGAGCAGGCAACAGACCTTGAGCATTGCAGCTCCAGGCATCCGGGTGGATCCCCAGTGACATGCCAGGAGAAAGGAGGGTTTAACACAAAAGGGTATAGCTTTGCCTAAGCATGAGCTGGGATAACTGAGCAGTACACGGAGCACAGGCCTGGTAGGAAAGGGACAAGTAGCACAGTGACATAACCTGCACTGGGCTATGGGGATGGGCTGGAACCAGGGCATGTACCCGGCCTTATCCTGCAGGCTGAGCTGTGCACCAGGACCCTGCTCCTGGGGAATGGGAGCAGGACCACCTGGCAGGGCTGGGGCCCTGGCGGCAAGAATCTGGGTTATGCCTCACTGCTGCATGTTCTGTCTCACTTTGCAGTTCAAAAGGAGGCCACCTTCAAAGGATTTTCATAATTAAAAAGCCTTCACCCCAGGCTTTCAGCCCTGCTTATCATCCCCAGCACCTTCTGAACTGATCCTGCCTGTGCACTGCAGGCTGAGGAAGGGGGATGGAATAAAGATGCTTCTGCTTCCTCCACCAAGGCTGAGGCATAAGACTTTGCTATCACGAGCATCAAGGGAAGGTGCTGATGTGAAGCCACCCCGGCTGCCATTCCTAAACCAGACAGCTCCTGGAAAACTGTCCCCTTTTCCCCTGGCAGACTCGGGGAGTCTGTCCTGAATGAACCTATGCAGCACCGACCTTCCTCGGGCAGGAAGCCCCTCATGCATCATGCACGTGCTGACAAGCACCAGCCCCTTCTTGGCCACCACCCGTCCCCTTGGCGCTGGTGCTCACCCACCTTGAGCCGCACACGGAGGCTCCTGTCAGACAGCAAGTGGATGCACCTCTCCAGCACGTCTTTGGCCAGCTGAGCATGGCTGGGCAGGGGAGCTTCTCCTTCTGTCTCACAGTTGTTTGGCTCTGGCTTAGCAAGGGTGGGAACCTCATCTGGAAGGCAAAATCATTACTGAGGCCACGCAAACGACCTGGAAACCCTGGTTTCCAGGTTGTGCCACCCACAACTCTGCGGGTTCCCAAGTGAGGCCTTGGGCATTTTTAAACACATCTAGATACAGGCAAGTCCATCCTTGAGTTCTGTGAGCTAAGTGTCAGGTTCAGCTCAGTGTGGGACTCGGGAGGGTTTGCTTTCTTCACTGGACAATGCAGCTGGTGTGACATTTGCAGGCTCTCCTCACCATGGACTTGTCTGCCATTGATTTTTATGAGACGTGAAAAGCCTGGGTATTTAAAGCTGAAGTGTTTAAAGGTCAGGATCGCAGCACAGCCCAGTAAAGACTAAAAATTCCCTGTATTTGTGTCTGTAAGGCCTGTCAAGGACAAATGAGAAGGGAGTGGTAGCATCATTAGCCAGAGAAGATGGTACAGGGATTCCCAAGGGAGGGTGAGGAAAATGCAGCAGGATCCTGGGAAGAGGAGACTGGGTCCTGAACCCAAATGACCTGTTATGAGGTAAGGAAAAACTGAGTGTGCTTGTGTTTTAGAGCCACGCAAGCCTTGATCTCCAACCACTGCACTCCCCCCTGCACAGAGCACAGGAAGAGCACCCAGCAGCACTGGGTGTGAGCCAAGGTCAGCTCAAAGCAGACCTGAGACTGCCAGGAGGGTGCCAGACCTTCAGCCTGGGCCTGGGTTACCCGTGTGACAAAAGGCAACCCCAGAGGTCCCCGTCTTTCTCCAAGTCTAACACACTCTGCTCCCACCAGGCACAGCACTGACCTGCCTCCTCATCCCCTGAGTCGGGAACATCGCCCTCTGCAATCTGCTTCTGCCTGATGTAGTCCAGGAAGAACTGCTCCATGTCTCGTGCTGTCACCGCCTGTGGCCCTGGGGACAAGGTCCTGTTCTGGCACTCGGTGCTCTGCTGCTGTTCCTCACTGCAGGATGAGCCAAACCACTGGACTGCAAGAGAGGAGCTGAGATGTCACTGAGCAATTGCGATCCCCCTCCTGCAAGCCAGTAGGGTACCGCAGGCCCCTGGGGACAAACAGGACTCTCCAGTCCCATGGGACTGAACTACAGAACCAGGCACCCGCTGTCACATCACCATGACCTTCCTGATGGGATGAGAACGTTAAAACCCTGCTATAAAAAGGAATACACTCCATGTGCTTCTGCAGAACACTTATGGGAGCAGTAAACCCATCCTTTCTCAACCACTAAAGGCCATGTTTCTTCAGGTCAGACACAAACCAGCTGTGGAGAGGGGAAGCTGCTGGCCACCTTTTCTTGAGAGCTGGCCCACCAGCAAAGCCAAGCTGCCACCACCTCAGCTACTTGAAACCTCCCATGGCAAGTCCATAGGCCAAAGACAAGCCCCCTTAGACTGAATTACACAAAGCAAAGGTTGTCTAGATACCTAAAGCTGTCATTAGTGAGTGCAGGACCCCGAGGAAGGTGGAAGCCTGGCTGTTGTAACACTGATCTAGCGTTGACAGGACATCTTGGATAATATCTTCTACCAGTGGCAGCAAGCTGGCATCTGAATGCCTCAGCATAGTGTCCAGCACCCGGGAGGCATGGGGCTGCTGTGCCAGCTGGCGCAAGCCCAGGGAGATCCCGTTCACCAGATAGTCAGAGTTGTCATTAATCAGACGCTGCACAGAGCCGTAGCCACAGGCCTCGCTCATCTCTGCCAGCGTCCCCAGCGCCGTCTCGCTGATGAGCAGGGTCTTGTCACCAGCCTTCTCCAGCACCGGGTACAGAGCCGTCAGCAGGAGCAGCCGGAACTCCTTCCCGAGGACAGCAGCAAAGCAGCCGACCCCTTCCAGCTGGATGCACATCTGCCAGATGTTGCTGTTCATGGTGCGGGCCGTTGCGTGCAGCTCCGGGGATGGAAGGAGAATGGTGCTGCACGTCCCCCCTGGGCGGGCAGGGAGTCCTGTGTGCTGCACAGGGTGCTGCTCATGGCTGACTTCTTCCGTATCAACGCTCGTGATCAAATACCAATTTGCCTGGTCTGTGTACTCTTCGAGAATGGATGTTACGGACCCTTTGAGATCGTCCATGCTCGGTGACGCTTCCCTTTCCTGGAGGACATCCACTCCCACTCCAGCAGCTCCTGCAATCAGCTCATTGAGGACCATGGCCGCCTGCTTTCGGTACATGGCAGATTCGCCGTACAGCCCCATGAAATGATCCACAAGCAAATAGAGGTTTCCGTAGTAGCCAAGAACACGACACACTTGTTGAAGGAGCTGGAAAACCTTCTCCTCTGTGAAGAAGCGGAAGTATTTCCTCTGGCATCTGCCATTCTGCACACCAGGCTGCAGGGAGCCCTCACAGCCCCAGCGTCTATCCTCCACTACCTTCACGTCCGTCACGTCCAGCTCCAGAACCTGCATCAGTGCCTTGGAGAGGCGGCCGAGGTGCGATGTGGAGTTGAGGACGACGTTAATCTTGGGGCCCAGCAGCTTCAGGTAGCCGAGCAGCAAGCTCAGAGTGGAAACCTTGCCTGTGTCATCCTGAGAGCTCATCAGGCGAGGAAGCGCTGTGGCAAGGGAGTGGAGGTTCTCGGAGAGGACATCAGCCAGAGCCCTGCTCTGTGCTATGATCCTCTGCTCTGCAATGCCCTGCAGAACCTCGTTACATCTGCTCTGGACTTCGCTGCTTTCGTCGTTAACCAGTCCCACCAAGGCCTTCAAGAGGTGAGTGAAGGAGCTCTCCAGCGAATGGCTGCAGTTCCTCAGTAAGTGGTGGACCAGTTCCACCAGCTCCAGTCTCACTTTCCAGTGGGGGTGAACTGAGGAGAACTCAACCATTTTCTGCAGGAGGAGAGAGAGTTTTTCGGCTGTACTTTTGCTCCAGTCGGCTCCTCTATGGACCAGTATTTCTGATACTCTGCTTTCCTTCTCTGGTAGCTTTTCTTTGCTCTTTGGGACTCTGGCTAGCTGTGCATCGGCCATCACCAGGCCAACAATCAGATAAAAGAGTCTGATGGCAGCAACGGTGGGTTTGTGCCCTTGTTTGATGTCTCCGGTAACGACCCGGGACAGGGAAATGGAAACCCCAGGCAGAAAGGAAGCAAACAGATCCCCACATTGCTGCGCCTCGTCATCGCCAAGGGGCCGGTGCTCCTGGCAGTCGCACTGCAGGACCAGGACCTGCAAGCACTTCAGCGCAGAGACCTTGAGCTGCTTTGCTCTCTCTCGCTCCGCCAGGCCCAGGAGCAAGGACACAGCACAGCCGAGGAGCGGGAGGGTGGCCGGCTGGTACAGGGACAGGCTCACATCGCCCGAGGCCGAGTGCAGCAGCGTGCGGAGCGCCTCGGTCACCGCCAGCTTCACGTCCTCGCTCGGCGCGGCGGGGCCGGGGGCGAGGCAGGCGCAGAGCTCCGCCAGCAGCTCCCGCAGGAGCTCCGGCCTGCGCACGGCGGTGGCCGCGAGCACCGAGGCCATGCACTGCACCGCGCTCTGCACCAGCCGCTCCCGCTGCGGCCCCGGCGCCCTCAGCGCGAAGCGCAGCGGGAAGAGGACGTACTCCTGCAGCTCCTGCAGCGCCGGGCCGCTCACCGCCGCCAGCCGCGCCGCCAGCCGACACACGTTCTCCGCCGTCTGCACCCGCGTCAGCTGCACGCAGGCGGGGCGCAGCGCCCCGAACGCGCTCCGCGGAGAGCGGAACAGGGCCATGGCCGCGGCCTGCCCGCCCCGGCCGGACGCGGCGTCACCGAACCCGCGCCGAGCCCGTCCCGCGGGGCCCGGCGGCGGCACGCGCCGGGAGGAAAGCCGCGGCCGCCCGCAGTGCTCATGCGCCGGAGCGGGCGCATGCGCTGTACGCCTCCCCCCCCTCCCCTCCGCCGCGCGGGCGGCGGCGCCGTTCCCCTCCGGCGATCCGTAGGATGCTGCCCTTCGACCCGCGGCGGCGGGGTGAGGGGCCGGGCGGCCATCTTGTGCGGGCGGGCGGCGGCGGCGGCGGGAGCGCGGCCCGGGCCGGCCATGTCCTCGTTCTCGGAGTCGGCGCTGGAGAAGAAGCTGTCGGAGCTCAGCAACTCGCAGCAGAGCGTGCAGACGCTCTCGCTGTGGCTCATCCACCACCGCAAGCACGCGGCGCCCATCGTCTCCGTGTGGCACCGGGAGCTCCGCAAAGGTACGCGCGGCCCGGGCCGGGTCTGCCCCGGGGGGGGGGGTGTGTGCCGTGTACCGGCCCCCGGGCCCGTTCTGCGGCCGCTGTGGCTGTTCATTGGGCTTGGTTTAACGGGCCCCGGGCGCAGGGCTGGAGCCGGGAAGCGGGGGTGGGAGCGCTGGGGCCGCAGCGCCGGAGGGGCTCGGCCGGGCTGTGGGGCAGGGCTGTACCGATCCCGCTGTGCTCGGTGTGCAGCCTTGTTTGTGTACCTTTGGGTTCGTGTTATCCATTGTAGAGTTGCACTGAGGGGTTGGAGATAAGCAGAGTAAAGGATGGTGTAGAGATCTCCAGCACTCGTGTAGCAGCATCGCCCAGGAGCATTTTGTGCTTTATCCCTTGCAGGTTCACTTAACTAAAGTTAACCGTTGGTAACTTCTCAGTCTGCCCCCTAAGGAGGGCAGGAGGTGCCTAGTGCCCGCGTTGGTGCCAGTGCCCAGGGGCAGGCACCGTCCCCAGCCCTGGAGCAGGTGATGCTGTAGTAAGTCCTGGAGCAGCCTCTGTGCAATTGCCAATGGTTACAGTTATAGCACATTAAATGAACTGCTGAGAGAGCTGAGCAAGGCCTGCCCTGAAAACGAGCCTTTTGTTCTCTGCCTCGTGTGTGTTGCACTCCGGAGAGCAGCATCTGCCACCGGTTCTGGCTACAGGGCAGCGCAAGCTGTGGTGCCAGGGTGGGAAAAGTTCTGGGCTATGGAGGAGTTGTCACATTGCCCTGACCCAGCATTGCCTGGAACGTTGTTGAGCGTCTACACCAGCTTTCCCCTACAATTCCGCTGGGCTCTGAATTAAGTGGTTCTGTACTGAGGTTTTTCCCCTGAAGTTAATGAAAAAGCAAGTCTATTGTATGAATTTGCTGGTGGGTTACAGCATCTTGTTTTAATTGTGTGTGAAAGTTATTTCTTACATGGTTTTCTTCAAAAAAAAAACCAAACCAACAACCCAGCAGAAATAAGGGGAACAAGAACCACTTGTTCAGGGCCTGGGATGTGCCTTGGGAATGTGGAAATATTTAGAACTTCGTTTTTAGACTGAAAAGCTTTCAGCAACTTTGTTCAAACCATGTTAATGGGTCTGGGTGAAAGGGAAAAACAAACGCAAACTCGCTCACTTCTCCCCTCTCCCTTTTTTTTCCATTTCCCAGCAAAATCGAGTAGGAAACTCACTTTCCTGTACTTGGCCAATGATGTCATCCAGAACAGTAAGAGGAAAGGCCCTGAATTTACCCGGGAATTCGAGTCTGTTCTTGTGGATGCTTTTTCTCACGTTGCCAGGTGTGTTGCTGGTTATGTATTTTTTCATCTGTCCTCTCTAGAGATGTGCTTTCCTGTTAATCGAAGTTGAATTCAGTTGGATTTTGTTGTCCTGTTGCTATGTTTCAGTCTGTGCAGTGGAGGTTGGATTCTCACTGCTTTGTGGCCAGGAACTGTTTAGTGTTAATATTCCTCCTGGGGCAAATTCTGGTGTGACCCAGCCCCTCACAGCTTCCCCACTGCTCCCTGCATGCAGCTCAGTGTGCTTTGTTACCACAGGCTCTTGCAGGTCTGCTGTGGGCACCGAAACTGAGGACTTGCAGGTGTGTGTTAAAGCCACGTAGTGAAGGGCTCTCCCCACTGTCAGAAGGAGCTGGTGTTTCGGGTCACTGGGTTCTCCTCGGTCATCTGGTTTGAGCAGTTGCTTTTTGTACTGTTTTAAGTTGTCTGCTCATCAGTCTCCTCACTAGGGGAAGGAAGAAGTTGGTGCCTAAAAGGGAAGCAGTGATGCAGCTTCCAGCCTGTTAGGAATGGACTATGCTGTAGCTAAGATTGTCTCTAAATGGCACAATAATTCCCATTATCTCAGCTAAACAGCCCTGTGTCGGGGTGTTTAGTGGTGTGCTTTCTGGGTGAGTGTGCTGTATGGCTGTATTTACGTGCCTAATGATCCAAACAACCTGCTTTTAATTGGGATGTTAGTGACTGAAACAACTGCTTAATACTCTGAATTGTAAACACGTCAACTTGGGGGTGGTTTATAACTCTTCCTGTGAATTCTGAATGAGGGCAAGTTCTTCCTTCAACACTTTCCCTGCCCTTATTCTGGATAGGAATGTGGGGCACTTTCAGGCAATCTTTGGTTCCAATGAAAGGGGAAAATTGGCCACAAATGTGTTTTGCACAGTTTGTCTTGGACAGTATGAGAGATTCTCTCCAAACATGCAGCTAGTGCAGGGGATGCAGCTGCTGGTTTAGAAGATGCTCTCTTAAAACATAAGGAACGTTTCCGAATTGAATCATAATTATTTTCTAATCTTTGAACAGAGAAGCAGATGAGGGCTGCAAAAAGCCCTTGGAACGATTGCTTAACATCTGGCAAGAGAGGAGTGTGTATGGCAGTGAGTTCATTCAGCAGCTGAAGCTCTCGATGGAAGACTCCAATAGCCCCCAGACTAAAGGTAAATGTGTGTTGCTTTTCTTATGTGCTTTGGTTTTACACTGATGCATGTTTCAGTGGGTGTTCTGTGAGGAATGGAGCTCAGGGCTTCTGCAGCCGAGCTGCTGCCAGAGCTGCTCATGGGGAATCCTCAGGACTGGCTTCAGAGGAGGCTGATTTTCCTTAAACCTGCAGTTCCAGTTTGCAGATACGTTGCCTCGTGACTTGGGGGTGGCAGTAAGTTGAACTGAAGGTTATGTCTGCCACACTGCTCCGGGGCTGCCCTTTGGTGTGAGCACAGGTGAGAGGGGTGCAGGGAACTGCTGCATCCACCTTGAGAACTGAAAGTGTCCCACTGCCTCTGAGAGTGGTCAGCTGGGTCATTATAATGGGTTATTCAGTATTGTTGGTGCTTTTATTCTCATCCTGGTTTATTTTACATAGTTACTGTATTTTGTTATGCTTCTTCAAGGACTTTTTAGTAACTGAAGGCTGGAATATATGCCCAGGAGCTGGGCTGGGCACTTTTCTCACACCAGCTGACGTCAGTTGGGGAAGACATGAGCTTTGCATCATTTAACATCATTAAATGTTGTGGTTGGAAACTTATTGCTGCATGAGACAGATGTGAGGAGCTGAGCAGAAGCTTCTTGCATTTAGTCTGCTTTTATACGGCTGTGGCAGATCCTGCCTCTTGTCTGAAAGGGTCTAACTGGTCGGACAGTAGTGAAGGGGTGGGGTAGATGAGTAACCTGTGGCAGGGTCACTGAAAATCGAGTGTTTTGGTCAAGGGGATATTTGGTTGCTCTGTAGCTGAAGAAAGTGTCAGTGTTTTCAGATTAGCTGAAATCAGGTTGCTGCTTTGACCACGTTTTGCTGTGCTCCCACGGAGGTGTGGTATATTGAGAGTTGGCTCAGGCATCAGTGAAGTGCCCTTGGGCTGTTCTGAGGTGGTGAAAGAGGCAGATGTGTCTACTGGAGATGGTAATTAATGCAGAATGAATATGAAAATGAGCATTAATATGAGACGTACATGTGAAGACATACACCTGTGGCTGCAGCTTTGTGGGTTTTCACATGCTGCTTCAAGCAGAGTTACCGGGTTAAGCTGGCGACCAGCTGAGCTGACCAGTGGGTTGTCTGCTCTGTATCAGCACAGAGGAGGTCTCTGTTCTGAGGGGTGGAAGGTGCAAGTTGTACCTGCCTAGACCCACTAGCTGGTGTTGAGGTTTCCCTCTGGCCTGGGTGCAGTGCATAGGAGCCTCTTGTCATGAAAGGGGAGGATTTACATGCCGAAATTCCTGTTGAACTGATTAACTGGGGATTTGAAACTGTTAATTCAAGGTATCCAGGTAGGAGTTTCACAAGCGTTTAAGGTGTAATCTAAAGAAATGATACTGTGTGTCCAAGGAACAGGCAGGGATTTCCTGGGGGATTGGCAGCCTCCCCTTGCTCTGTCTCCTCCTCCCTTTGGCATCAACCAGCCCTGCTACTGTTACCTTTGCAACTTAAAAACATTTACATAGAATCAAACCCTTCTGAGGGTAACAGACCTCTCCCTGTGGGAAACAGATTGAAGACGTACCAATGTTTTAACAACTGCCCTCTGCAGGACTTCACTTGGTGAGAAACTTAGCTCTTGCCAGGGTAATAGGAGGTACTGATGTGATATTTCTTGCATGAGGGAACAGAGCAGGCCTTTCCATGAATGTGACTGTTGCTGCCTTCTTGTCAGTTCATTGTGTATATGGCAAAATCAACCTTTATTGCTGTTTTGCGTGTGAGTGTTTGGAATACAATGCCAACATTAGAGGCCACCTGTGGTCATCCCTCTCTGTAGAGAGCTTAACCATCAGAGCATCTGCTGCTGTGGTTTTGAAGCAGAGATGGTTGAGGTGGGTAGATCCGGCATCCAAATGAGTTGCGTATGTGTGTCCTTAGTTACAGAGGAGAAGAAGTCTCTGAAACGGACTTTTCAGCAAATACAGGAGGAGGAAGATGATGATTACCCCGGGAGCTACTCGCCCCAAGACCCCAGTGCTGGGCCACTGCTGGTATGTGGACGGGTTTTGGGTGGGAGCAGTTCCCAAAGCCACCT